CAAAAAGCACGGGTAAGCATAGCATTGAATCCCCCCTCTCCCCAAGTTCTGTGTGCGAACTTGACTTAAATGTACACTTGTCCCACGTGATCAGTTGGTTATTTTCTGAAATGGGCATTTTTGAACTATTTGATATTGAGTAAAAATTTCAATCGAGATGATTCCAACTTCGACAAATTAGAATCGCATTATGGAAAACGCGAAAAATTTGTAAAAAAGCACTGAGAAAAGAATCCGTCATGTGAAATATAATTCTGCAATTCGAAATTCGTAGATGTGTTCGGTTTGCACTTTTTGTTATCGCTTTTTCAGTTACACGAGTTAATTAAAACTTTTGTTGTTATTTCCGATATAGAAATGTCGGGACTGTATTGCTATCTCAGGTCGGGTTCTATCGGGTAATACACACGTCGTTGATAAGTAAACGGGTTTGAACTAGTTCCAGAAAGGAATGTACCAATCGATTATTTTAAACCAGGCGTTGCCATCAGCGGACCAGTTTGAATCAAAATAGTTTTGGGTTCAACGTGTGTGATGAACTTCATGTATTCCACTTTACTATGAAATAATAAAATCACGAGCCTATTGTGCGGATGAACATGCTATTAATCTTTGAAAATTTCAAAATTTAACCCCTTTTTTGATATATATACGTAATTTGGCGCTTATGTAGTATGTGAACCAAGAAGGCGGACAACGGTACGTAGTATGAGTACCAGGTTAGGGTCTAACCCTCACGTGACGTCATCCACAGGCATTTTTTTTTGTCAGAAAACTTCAAGCTGCGGTTGACATGGTTTTTTGACATGACATAAACCTAACCCTGGGTAAGCGCGACCAAAGAGGAAGCACACGTTGCATAATGCAACCAAAATGAGTAAACAATAATTTATAGCTCCCGTATGATTTAGCTTCAGCTTACTCGTCAGTAAATGTTTATTATAAAATTATTTTTAGATAATTTCAAATTCCAACTCATTAAATTTCGTGATCTCATCAGAACAATGAATTATGCCATACAGTTCACATTTTTTGTATATTTACTGTCATTGTCAGGTAATTGATATTTATCTTCTAGTTGAAACCAACAGATTGGTATCTTACCAAAGTTAAAACTATGTGGTCAATACACCAGGATCTGCCCCAACATATATTTCAATATTTGATTGCCTATGTTGATAGTTTTAAAAAAATTTAATTTTGCTAAAAAGCGTTGCATTTCACTGCATAGAATTCAATTCGAACTCATTATTTTAGTCAGTATTTTTTTAACAAAGTGATTCTAACGATCACAACACAATTTACGTCAATAAACCATTAACTATAAGGAAATGAGACTTTGATAGTTTAGTCATTTTAAACTCTCCTCACTTCTCATACAATTATTTAGCATTTCAAAAAGATAATAAAAAATAATCAGAATTTTAACTCGCATCTGTCAGTATTACTATTTGGTTTCGGTACGTGTCGAATCTCTGTTGACTGTTCAAGACTCCTAAAGTCCTAGCATTAACCTCAGGGGCCTGGCAAACGTTTTGTTCTGCCCATGCCGAGTTTCTGATGATGCCTCTTATATCAAACTTCAAAATTAATTCGGGCGATAAACAAATATAGATATTATTATACAAGAGAATAAATAAATGAAATTGCTTTAGCTTAAATAATGAACATCGAGAATAACATGTGTAATAACGAGAACTCAACAGCTTGTCGCCCTTTACAACTCGCTTTCCGGGTTGTCTGCCCTTATTGCCCAACTCAGCCATGCCCCTGATCGTCCAGCATGCGATCAAGTTAAAATATTTGTAACCTTGGACATAGTCAACAATCGTTAAGTATTCGATTCGTTTTTGTTGTATTTTCGAATTAACGAGTTTGTTGTATAATCGTGTGTCATCCAGAAAACATTACATTTGATAAAACTGGAAAATATGTTATAATGGGAATATCTGATTACTGTTAATAAAGTAATTTTTAATGAAATTCAATTTTCTTAGTTCTTAAGTTTTTTTTTTATAAACTTTTATTAGGGCGGCGGAGCTTAAGAATTATCATGCAGGCATAGGTTCAATTACATTTGAACCCATAATTTGAACCCACGACAATTGTACCTGCATACTATTGCACCTATGGATATTTGAACCCATACTAACCCTAACCCATGGATTTTAGCACCCGCATATAAATTGAACCCGCGGATATACGGGTTCAAATGTACGTGGATTCAAATGTGCTGCTATCGCAGGCATAATCCTGTGTTCTCAAACCTTTTCTCTTACATGGCCGATGATAAATTTGAGTGAAAGTGACGTGGTCCACTACTCGGTGGATAACTTCCACAGCGTACGAAATGAAAGTCGAACCGAGGCCATGTTTGGCTAGTGATTATTTTGCATGAACTTTGTTCAATATTTCTAATTTCCGTAAAGTCGTTTAGTGATCATGAATGTCATTAGGAAATTCGTAGTTTTGAAAAATGATACATGCCGTGTACAATATGTGAACAATATAACGGAAGTGTGCGAAACAATTTGGGAGTTTGAATTGTAGAGGAATCCTCCATATGTGATATCAAAATGTACAATTTCAACCATAAAAACACTCGATTCAAGGTCGCTTTTGTAACTCACTCACTAACAACAGGTTCCCTCATTTCAGAATATGTACGTGTGCCACTGCGAGGAGTACATTAACATGACACTCTTAACATACGTCTAATACAAAACTTTCGCCAAATATAACGCTAGTCATTAACTGTTTCATGTTCTATCCCATCCAAGTTTATTATCAGGGGATCGTGTTAATTAATGGACTTACAGGGTTGTTCATGTGGTCTCGTTGCAATTTGTCACGAAGCCAGTTATTTATATATATAAATATATATATATTATCCAAGTTCGTTTATTTAAATTCGTGTTAATTCTTGATTTTGAGACTTTATGAGCAGGGGGATTGAATTCAGAAAATTAAATATACAGTCTTTTTATCTCAATTTTAATTTTCCTGTAAATTGTTTCAATTTTTCATAATATACTATCAATGCGTTAGCTGGTACGAATTCGTAAAAAAGATTCATGGTAGAGACAATACTCTATGTTGTGCCAAACGTATATTACCCCCCCCCCCTTAAACTATGCACGTGCGGGATTGAAGCATCAATCATCGTGCCGTTTCCATAAAGATAAAAAGAGAGCCCACTAAATTCACACTTTTTTGTGACGAAATGCAGAGAGAGAAATAATTCTCTTCTCTTGTTAAAGCAGTGAATAAGCTCACATAGAATATAATGCTATGCAAACAGTGTCGAGTATCACTTTGTTGCAAACTGTAAAAGGATCGACTTTCAAGCAGAGGAATTTGGCAAAATCTTCAATAAATTTAAAATGAAAATTCCTCTTCGAGTCCTATTGATCGGACTTCTCCTGATTATCGAAGCTTTTTCGTTGATTAAAGATTAGTACTATTTCAATTAAAACGTGGATGATTAGGTTTGCTAGAATATTGTGTATTGCATTGCAAGTCTTTTATTTTTTATTACTTCTTACGTAGGATCCGTAAGTGGGCGTTGCTAAGATGATTTAACGAATTGGTATTAAGGTTTTACTTTAAAGTACAATCGTTTTTTTTTTCAATGAAATAGCAAGTATATTATTAAGCTTTTGATCGCAGTATACAGAAAAAAGTTTGACTATGTTCTAATGAAAGCTTACAAGTATGCTTGCTATTTACTGGAAAGATATTATGCTATTCTTATTCATCGCTTTGTAATTGTTTGCAATTTTATCATGGTATTTGGAAGACAATTATATTGAACGGAAGAACACGGTAACATGGTTGTTGAAATTGTTCTTTCATTTTAGTATTCATTGCGGAATATGCTGCCAAGGAATTTGTGTTTTTTTCAATGACACAATTAGGCTTTTTAACATGTGTACTTTAGAGTTTAGACTACTGACATTTTTGTCATTCGGAATATTTCACTTTATAGCTCCGAAATAGGCTCTAGAAAAGCTGTCATTACAGAAGTTTAGTCTGATAGTTTGTAGATAGACACGTCAATCAATCAAATTAGCTGTTTTGGTGCAAAAATATGTGGTTTTCAATATTTACTTTGAAGTGATTTTGTCGGTGTTATTTGACTGATGTTTTACCAAATTGTACACGCGTTTTTGAAGTTTTATTATTGTAAACTCGTAGGTACGGTTACAGGTACACTGTCGCGTTTACGCTATACTGCGTAAAAAATAAGTATAATTGCGTAAACCAAAGGTTCTTCCTTGAATTGACGACTAAGTGTGCTTGACAACGACGTCACCTCCATTTAATCTTATTTATTTTCAAAAACATTTTCGTATCCGCATTAAAGTTTGATGAATGAATGATATGAAGGAGTGTGCAACCTTTAATACAGGAGGGCCAGATGAAAATAACTTGTTGAAACCATGGGCCACATCTTTATTTAACATAGGCTTTCTTGTAGGCACAAAAAGTTTGGTTGTTAAACTAATGACGTGCGTTGTCCGCATCGCACTAGCTAGCTGTTAGGCAAGTATAGCGTCGTTAGCATATATAATAAATTGGACTCGGGTATGAGATTCGCGACGAAAAGGGAATCGAATTTATTGCACCTAACCGATTGAACTGAGTTAAAACTCGTTCGCGGGCCGCACACTCTTTGAAATTAGCACTTCTCCGCGGGACGCACTTTTTTGCGGCCGCAGGTTGCACGCTCCTGATTTAAATACCTATTTCTGTATAATTTCGAGGTTTTTTAATTTATCGATTTACTTTCTTAATATTTTGAAGAAATAACGTTGGTTGCGTAGCCATTGAGTTTAAACAAAGCACGCTCGTTCGAAATAGCGGGGAATCATTCGTTTAAAAACGCGTTCTATTTAGACCTAGAATACGACTTTATTTAATTTAAAGCAGTGGTTGTCAACCTTTCTTGTTAAATTCGTCCTGTCAACTATTTTGGACACATTTATTCCCCCCTCATCATGCCTGAAAAGTATCGATAATTTGTTTATAAAATCTCTAAACGATCTAAATTTATGTTATTACGATTAAATGTTATGCGAAAATCGCGCCATCGCTTTTGTGCTGTTGAAGTAGTTTATAATGCGTGCATGAATAAGTTTTATAGTAATAAAAGTAAACTACCGATTATTAGCAATAATACAGCAAATAGAAAGTTCCCAATCCCCTCAAAAACGGAAAAATTTGCCTGCTTGTTGATTTGCTTGTCGTAGCCTCGGCATAATCTAATTTGATTGAGGTTATTGTGGATTGATTAAACATAGCGTTCGTTATTACGTTTATATTTTGTACGGCTATTACGTCACAGCTACATAAGGAAGTGGACAACTCGAGCGATTGCGTACTATTGAAATATTTGTTAAATTACCACCTTTTTACTATTAATAACTTGTTACATTTCCGAGACAAACAATGTTCTTGATTTGTCGTTGTTTTATCTAACTATATTTGTTAAATTACCACTTTTTTACTATTAATAACTTGTTACATTTCTAGGACAAACAATATTCTCGATTTGTCGTTGTTTTATCTCACTATATATCTTTCTTCAACAGGAGAGAAATGCTGGACACCAATGCTGTGTAACAATATACCTGTGTGGAAAGTATTCCGGGAATGCGGAATGGTAAGATATTTCTGATAACTTCATATCATAGATTTATTTGTTTCAAAAATAGTATGACTGGCGACATTCACACTATATGGAAAATCATTTATTTCACTTTGTTTATTCAAAATTTGAAAATCCTGTAAACATTATGCGCTCAACAAAACGGCATTATTACATAAGTTTTAAATTTTCCGCAAGTTCACGAGGTTCCAGATAGGTCATTTCCATTTCTCATTTTATAATTTTTTTTTAAGAATGAAGAATTGAGAAACAGAAAAAAAGCTTTGGAAGGTTCGTAACAAATAGAAACCTTTAACGATTCAGCTGTGAGCCCCATTGGATGGTTATTTTATATTTTATCAAATCATTTTCTCAGATTCGTCATACTAGGCTAAGCAACTGTTGCGTAAGAATTATATCCCTCAGAGTTGTAGTCTCCCAGTTTTGGTCATTCTATCCTTTCATTGACAGGATATTTAATAATTCAACATTTTTTATTTTATTAATTCATATAATTGAAATAATGGCTTTGTCGAATCGGAAACTTTAACAATAGAATTTTTTTAAATTAAATTTTAATATTTAGACGAAATAAATTTGGCTTATCATATTCTTCTGAAAATAGATTTTGGTCTAAATCATTTCAAACAAAAAAATGGTTGATCAACTAACAACGGACTGATATATAATTTTTATTTCATTCATAGAGCAAATTACCCTTCTAGAAGGAAAACTGAAAATCATTACAGCAAGGACAACACAAAACAACATAATACACACCTCTGCCACAGATGTAGAAGAAACAACCAAGCCACAAGGTAAATAAACTCTTCTTATTTCATTTTCGGTTGTTCTAGGCTTTTTGTTTTTTAACATTTTTCCTCGTAGGCCCTATAACCAACTTAAGGAAACCTAGCCGAGCCACACAAAATATTTAGAATTTTTATGTACACAACGATGAATGATAAAACAAATTAAAAAATGTAAATTGGAGTAATAAAAGCACTGGGCAAAAAGCGAAAAATTCAACACAGCGACAAGACTAAGAAACATTCTTTATTTCTAATCATGTAAGCTCTTTTGTGAAAATAAACTGTCGGGTTAGGACTTTGATGTTTGATGGGGGAAATTTGAGTGTTCACAGGGACCACACTAAATGGTTTTACGGACCGGGTTATGGCCCGCGGTCTGCCTGTTGCACAACTCTATTTCAAGCAGTGTTTTTATGAATGTATTTCTTTCTGCCATAATAAGAAATAATATTTAGAGACGCTGAATAAGGAGTTCGTTATTGATTGAGTAAAACGGAAAAATATCGGATTTAATATTGCCGTCCTCGTACGAAAATCCCAAACTGCATATCAGTTTTACAACCTCGTTTATAAAATAAATTCCATTTTCACACAGAATTCGACAACGTGAAGACTTCATCAGTTACTGTGATTCCACAAACTACATCTGAGCCAGCCGTCCAAACGATTCCGTCTGGATTTACTGAACAAGGTCTGTTGTGTTAAATTTCTATTTGTCAGAAGTTATATTTAATCGTATGTGACATTAAAAAATGTGCAGTTACAAAGTAAGTATTTAAAGTAAACAAAGTATTTATTCGGTTCCACTTTAAATAAGGCTCTGTTAAAGCATCCACTGTTAGATGAAAAAAATACTACTACTTGGAAGAACAGGAATATTTCCGATTTCGCAATACTTACCCAATTTATTAGGACCTGGATTATGTGCTTGCTGGACATGGTATGATTCTAAATCTTTTCAAAGTTCAAAAAGGAATTTGACAAATTGCTCGGATTTTCAACTTATCAATCCACAAGGTTTACCATATATGCAAATATAGATGCAAACTAACAAAGACTAAAATCTTGGATGGAACACAACAAAAAGTTCAAATTCTATAATTCATCTTCATATACTCATCGCTGATATTGCCCGCATTTCATCCAAGGCTTGTTTAATCGGCAAGTGGCAACCGATTTATTTTTGATGAACTGCAAACCGTAACCTGATATGCAAATGTACGACGACACATTTATATCAATACCTATATGATTTAACAAATACGAATTATTTGAATTACAGACATTGTGCGCTATGGCGGAAGAATATTTATACCATTAGCATCTGAAGCGGTTGGTAAAGCATCAGCGATCGACAAATGTCAACAAATAAACGGAGATCTGGCGAATATATACAACCAAGATCATATGGAAAAAATAATAACATTCATCCGTGACAACAAGATGGACGGGGAGGAAAGGAAATTTTTTCATCTCGGCATGAAATACGACCCTGCGGTAAATTGAATATAAAAGTATTGTCAGTAATTCTCCTAACTGCGCATATCGTTTAACTTTATTGTTTGCAATTTAAAAAAGTGTGTTGTAACGTCATAATATCTTAGCAGTTATTAATTTTCATGGTTCTTGCATTTTCGCTACAAAGAAGGCTCTGCATGAGACTTTACTCAGACCTAGGGTGATTGGTAGAGCCGTTATCATTCTTGATCGGATGTTTCTTTCATTTATATAATACTGGTTGAGATAGCGAGCATTGGCGGGTAACTGGTTAAACCATGATTCGAACCCATATCCTTGAAAAATGGTGCAGATAAGATGAAAGTTAAGAGAATCTATAAAAATTGATGATATACAAATTTTTATAATAATTAAAAACCTAATATTCATTAACTTTTTTTTAAATTTATATTCCGCGTTATCTTTACATATTATGGTAATTTAGCGAGGAAAAAGTTGACAAATTCCATAATTGTTGAAATTAATCAAGTTGTTCCAATAATTAAACACTCAATATTATCCTACCTCTTTTTTTAGACTAAGATTCTTCGTTTTCACAACGGAACTGTGATATCACAAAGTGATTTCAAATGGTATGATGGGTATCCAGAAAATAGGCAGGGTAATGATTGGACAAACATGTTTATCGATATCCGATCTCACTACTTTTTCAATCACCCAGATACTGCAGGCTACGTTCTGTGTGAAATTTAAACATTTAACCAACTGTTATAGCAAACTGTCGCATAAATAATAAAAAACTTTTTTCGTGTAATTAATGATATCAATATAGAAAAAAATAAAACGTGGCCGAGGTAACCAATGCTAAGATTTCTGCCAAATCGTAAAAATAAAGAATACGGACTACAGTTTGAAAATTTATAGAATTTTTGTGAAAACCTATTAATGATGAGTCCACTCGTAGCTTTGTCGAAGCTGTCTCTCCTACGTAGAAAAATTTTAAATCCTTGTGAGTTCAGCAAGAATACACTGCTAGAGACCAAGCGGGTTTATACCCGAGATACTTGATACACTGTAGCAGTAATAAAGATCGCGAAGTGTGGTCAAATTGGTCGATTTTAAGTTCTTGACGTTGTGGCCGACATTATTGCTCTCACAAATTCGGGGTATTTTACGTTTTGTATTATAGTGAATATTCACAGGACTCAACAACATTTCTGGTTTGTTTCCTTCATTTTCACTCTCTTATTTGCTTTTTTATCTCGGCACTCGTCAAGCGCCGACTGTTTGCTTAAAAATACAAATGTTTCAATAGTGTGCATCTCATGTCTCCCAATATAAATACGAAATTCTATTCAAAGCATTCACTCCTCATTTATGAAATTGTTTATTCTCAGCATTTGTCTTCCTCTAAAAATAAGACGAATTTGAAGTTGAATTTAAACTTTAGTTTTTCAAAACCCAAGATTAGTTGTACGTATAGCTGTTTAATAGTTGATATTGTGAGAAAATTTCCAACTTGTCATCCCCTTCATCTGTGGGAACACGGTGGACAAAGGTAATCTTTTTTTATTTTAGTTTTAAGTAAGAATCAATGTAATATATGATTTCTTCTGATATTGTGGTATTATTTTGTTTCTTAGATGTGTTTTACGTATTTTTTTTATCATTTTAACGAAGAATTGTCCGAGCCATTTACATTTCACGATTTTTATTATCAGTATAAGTATGCCACAAATAAATTGAGAAATTGGAAAAATAACTTGAGCTTTCATCCTCATCTGAAAATCCCTTTCTCGTTAAAATTAGAAATGTGAATTGGTATTTGATAAAAAAAAATATGCTAAACTAGTTTCAATTGAAATCCAAATTTAGTTGTAACCTGATAAAAATGCAAAATTTGCCAGGATATCTTTATAGTCCCCTCTCTTCTCGTGGAAACATGAAAATCAAATCTTAATCTTATTTACATTTTAGTTTACGTTTAGTTTACGTTTATGTTAAAATCAATGTAATATATGATTTCTTTCTATATTTTATTTGATCACATAATCAAATTTTGGACCTCCTGAGGTATGCGCACCAAGATGACGCATAACCTGATCTCAGGTTGTGTACCAGGTTAGGGTTCAGGTTATGCGACATTTTGGTGCGCATACTTCAGGAGCACCCAAATTTTATATATACCTTAAGTGTGTTTTACAAATATTAATCATTTCAGAAAATTTGTCACAAATGTGATTTGAGCTTTTTTAGCTTCATAATTGTGTCTCGAAATAATTTGAGAAATTGAAAAAATGTTTTCTAATCGTCTTAAAGTACTTGAATCTTTGGAAAAGCCATTTAATGTGTGCATTAATGCATTAATGTGTATATATATATATATATATTAGAAATAAATTTTTCGTGCAAAGGTATCAATATTGTTTAAAGTAAACATCGATGTAAGTTGAGCAAATCAAGATTTAAATCAGGACTGCAGAATCAGAAAGAAATATCAGGAATACGCAATATTTATAAAAGCAAGTAGACAAAGTCTGTAGTTCATTGTCCAATTAAAATTGAACTATTTTTCTCTACTCACTTTTAACTAGATTCCTACAATTCTCGGTGCTCCCGTAGTATGTGCACCAAGACGGCGGACACTGGAACGTAGTATGTGTACCAGGTTCAATTTTTCTTATTTTAGTTCTATTACGAATTCGGGGACTGGCCAAATGAGTCCTGTAGTATTTGTACCTAAAATCATGGCCTAACCCTGACCTGGTACACATACTACGTTCCGGTGTCCGCCATCTTGGTTCACATACTACGGGAGTACCCAATTTTCATCGTATATATGCCCGATTGTTGTCAGGTTTAGTTTAACAACATCACGAGTCAAACTATCGCCCGATCATCAAGAAAATCAGAAGCTGCTGTTCAGCCTCTACGTCAAATTGAATAACGTCTAATACGGGGTTCCCCAAACATTTATGGCCGCGGACCCATGTTTGTAAATCTTTGTTTTACGGGATCCTATGCCGTATTAATTTCTGTGCCTAACTAACGAGGAAGGATGATGTTTCATTTGCATGACAGACAGCATTAACGTGAAGGATGAGATTGCTTTTTACTGCACAATTTATCAATTTTCGGTGCAATGTGTGACAAGCAAGTTCGTAGTTCCGACTCTACGGCAAGTCTCGACATGTATTTTGTCATTATATTGATAAACGCTGCCTCGCATATTTAGGTCGTTGCAAAAGGCAATAAAATTTCAAGTGCCTTTTCTGACAACAATGAATATTGTTTGTATGTTAACTCAAACTCAACGACTCGACAATTTTTTCTTAAAATTGTTTGAACCAACAACAAGTGGGTATATCTATCTGCCTTAGGAAAGCACTTGAAATTGGATGTTTTGACAACAGTAGTCTGGGTTTGCCTCATCAAGTATTCAATAGCACAATAGAAGAGTTCTCGAGTCAAGTAACTTTAGAAAACTTGTTTCTGTCAGGATTTCAAATTTGTTTGTCTCGCAGGTGCAAAAAAGAATTACCTAGAGGCATAGGTTGTAATCATCAGAAAGTATTTCTATACTAAATAATTGCTCAGAGTTTTTGCTTTAAAATGTATTTGTTGATTGATAGCTTGCGGACGAGGTTGTCGTGTAAGAATCCTTAATGGTGACTTAAACTTGCTGAAAATATATTGTCTTAATCTATGTCTTAATATTACGATATGTCTGAATGTAAACTGTGCAAAGTCAATTTTTGTGGGATAGGTTGGTTATGAAATAGGAAAGTGTATCGATGCATTAAAAAGTCAAGGAGAATGTACAGTTTGTACAAGTGAAACAATTTCCATTTTTCATGTCATGTTTCATGTCCAAAATGTCATTTATGTGGTTCTAATATTAACATGATTTACAATTTTTTTTACTCGGTATTCATTAATTCTTGAATAATAATTATTTCACAACTACTGAGCTGAATAAATAAAATAATGTAGAATATAAAATTAAAGTGAAGTGTAAAACTGTTGCGATAATGCGACTGTATAATATATTCTTTCTGAATGGCATATTCAAAAATTTCATTTGGGGTGGCGGCCTAGATAATGTAATAAAAAAATAGACTTGCATAGTCGTATTCGATCAATGGTAGTGAAGGACCGCAGACAAAATTTCATGCAGGGAAATTACGATCATGAAATATTATACTTATTGGTGTCGCTACTCGTTAACTGCTCGAAAACCAAATTTCGTTATCCATGGCTCCCCTCACCCCGAAATGCTTTTTCGATATTTATTGCAATTTTATATGAAATGTTCTTCCAGTATGGTAAGAAAATAAGTTACTGATTATTTCCCCACGAAGCATGGCGCTTGCATGCAACTAAGATTTGGTAAGTTTAGACTTACCATACGTCCTGCTTTAGGCGGGACAGTCCCGCTTTTTAGCGTCTTGTCCCGCCGTCCCGACAAGTCAGTCAAAAGTCTCGTTTTTGCGTTCAGCCATCCAGCATAATACACGAACATGTTCTTGGTAATGTGGTTACTGTGTATCGCAACGCTAGCCTACTTACTGGAAAAAGTAAATTCTCAATGCTTGGAAAAGGGCAGTCTATTTCATTATTCTTTATGCCTTTTGCTGTACATAGAAAAATCTAAATTCGGATCATTTGTATCGTTAGCGTCTATTCCTTTCTATTTTTCGATCTGAACCCGATATTTAGACAGAGAATATGCGCATGAACTCTCGATGACAATATGGTCAGTGAAGACAGCCGGAATGGCTTTGAATGTAGCCTATGTAGTAAAATCGGAAACTATAAAGTTACATGATCACAGCTAAGTGGTCGTGTCTTTCGAGGCGTCCCGCTTTGAGGTCCAAAAAATATGGTAATCCGAGGTAAGTTTAACTTTTAAAGTCGAATTCATGATAAAATTGACTATCTGCGCATATCGTATGTGATAAATAGTACTAGCCTCGGTATGCAAAGGATATATATATGTTCAGTAAGCTATTGTTATTAAATGATATGACGACACGGTTCCATTTCATTTGAACCCATGACAATTGCACCCATGACAATTGCACCTGTATACTATTGCACCTATGGAATTTTTTTTTGTTTTACGGATATTTGAATCCATACTAACCCTAACCCATGGTTTTAGCACCCGCATATAGATTGAACCCGCGGATATACACATGGGTTCAAATGTACGGTCACCTGACAACACAAAACCTTGTTTGCACAAATTTCTCTCGTTTTATCACCGAACGAAAGTATGCTAAACCTATGACCTAACTCAGGGGTCGGCAAATTTTTGTCGTTCGCAGGCCAAAATTAAAGGTTGCAAGTCATTGGCGGGCCGCACACATTTTCAGAAAGTTAAAAACCGAGGGAATGGCCAGTGCATCACACAGATTTCAGTTAAATTTCAAGCAGCGCGCGAAGACTGATCATTTGAATATTTTCTGCGCCATTAAACCATTTGCACTCCGCATCAACTTTTCTACGTTCTGTTGTCATTTGTGTAATTATGATCAACTTATAGGCTCATTAAACGAGTGATTGTGAATTGTATACTTGTTAGGTTATAATATAACTTAGTGTCTCAAAACAAATTCTGTTACGTAAAGAATATAATCGTCAATACAGTTGTTTTGTTAATTCAAATGGTTTTGTTTAAGATTCAAATGGTTTTAAAATCTAATGACCTCGGGTGTCCCTGGATCATTTTGACACCCCTCTTTAATTTTTTGGTATTTCATCAACCAAAAATGCCAAAAACATCAATAATGTGTCCTTAAAAGCGTCTTTATTATGGCTATTTGAGCTACAACGCTAACAACGTATCGCGTATCACGCGTTCGACGCGTGACCAAAAAAAGAAAGAAATTTAAAAAATTTCGTGGAAAAAGTTTTCTAAGTCTGCGACCTATAGTCACCTCAGAGGAGAAACTTGCACTATCTCTTTTTCATCGTAACGCGCAACACGCCAGCATTCAAATAAAACATGAGTGAATCTCACGACACAATCCAGACGTGATATATTGAAATAAATGTCATCGCTTGTCGATTACTCGTCTGTAGTACTAAACCTTGTTTCTTCGTGTTTTCTGCGACATTGATTGATTTGCTTTCTTTCTCCAAAACAAGTGTGTATATCTGTCTTAGGGAAGCACTTGAAATTAGATGTTTCGAAAACAGTAGTCTGGGTTTGCCTCATCGAGTATTCAATGGCACAATAGAAGGGTTCTCGAGTCAAGTAACTTTAGAAAACTTGTTTTTGTCAGGATTTTAAATTTGTTTGTCTCGCAGGAGCAAAAATGAATTACATAGTATTGAGTGGGATTTGCAAAAGGCATAGGTTGTGAACAGCAGAAAATGTTTTTAGACTAAATAATTGATCAGAGTTTTTGCTTTAAAATGTATTTGTTGATTAATAGCTTACAGACGAGGTTGTCGTATAAGAAAACATCAGGCTGACTTAAACTTGCTAAAAAGATAATGTCTTAATCTGTGTCTTTATATTACGATATGTCTCAACGTAAACTGAGCATAATCAATTGTCGTAAGATAGGTTGGTTATGAAATAGGAATGTGTATCCAATGATGAATTAAAAAGTCAATGAATGCAGTTCAAACAAGTGAAACAATTTCAAATTTTTGACAATTTCATTCATGTGGTTGTAATATTAACATAATTTACTATTTTTTTTACTCGGTATGCATTTATTCCTGAATAATAATTATTTCACAACCACTGCGCTGAATAAATAAAAGAATGTAGAATATAATATACAAGAAAGTAAAACTGTTGTGATATTGGGACTGTATGATGTATTTATTCGTCGCATAATTTTATTCGATCAACGGTAAGAAAGGACTGTAGAAAAAATCCGAGCAAGAAATATACGCTTATATAATGTTTTATTTCTTGCGATGCATGGTGTTTGCATGTAACTAGGATTTGATAAGTTTAGCTGTGAAAGTATATCATGATAAGTAATGACAATGTGCGCATATTTTATCTAAAAAATAATACTAGCCTGGAAATGCAGAGGTTTATATACTTTGTTGAAATATTAAACATTATGACCAAACAAATCTTTGTTTTTACAGATTTTTGTCGTTTGAAATAATCAACTATGACATCACCAATAGTCACGTCGGTGCTATTACTCTCACTTTCCATAGTCACGACTGGAAGGAGACAAGATAGAATTTGTTTCCAATTAGACAGTGTGGATGTGGAAGACCGATATGGCGAAAATCGGTATGTAGCAAAGTAACGTTTTGATAATTTTACAAAATCTTACAAATATTAGAAGTAGCTGCAGATGGATATCATCGATAATAATTTAAACCGCTTGTTATGAAGACTAAAACAATTAGTCTATAGTCTATACCAGGGTGGTCCAAACCTAGGCCCGCGGGCCACATGTGGCACGCCACTTAATTATCTGTGGCCCACGTTGCATTCGTAGAGGAATCAAAAAATCGCATTTCGTGTTGTTTCGTCATAAAATGAACCAAAAAATCTTTTGACATATTGTTGCATCACTAATGTCACTGAATTGACTATTGTTATGGCTTGCTGGAAACGAGCGAAGTTCTTGGCACTATTGTAGCCCGCGAACAATGCAAAAGTAATTTTGTGGCCCGCGGAATGCAAATCTTTGACCACCCTGGTCTATACTATATACCCTGCATTAAAGCTATTTCACTAGTTTTTAATCTAAAATCCCCTACCTATGAGTGAATGTGTACAACGTTCCAACGTTAAAAAAAAAATAAAGACTAATACATTTATTTTTAGTGTTGAAACCATTCGAGGCGAAAGAGGCCCAAAAGGAGATAGGGGGATTACCGGATCTAAAGGATCGCGAGGAGAAGTTGATTATGATGAACTTGAAGCCTTGATTAATGAAAAAGTAGAGAAAGGTGAAATCTACAAGATTGTTTCATTTGCTATTGTAGATCTATGTGCAGAACATTTTGGTCCAATCTTCAGATGAAGTTGAATTTATAACCTTTGAACTAGCGATATTGAAATGGACAGTTTTACTACGAACATTCGAGAGTTATCCCACGTTTTGGTGTACCAGCATTATGTCACACAGCCAAGCGTCTCAAGCATTTTTCATTGCCTTATATCATATCTGCGTCGGAAGACATTGGTGTTGCGTCCACCAACAATCGGCAATCATTTCTCCGAACGTATTGTAATCAAAAATAAAACGCGAATAAATTAATAATATCAATCAAATAATATATTTTTTTTAGTCAGAGATTCTTTGCTACCTGCATATAGGCTCCGACCACTTACGTGGCAATTGAGTTTCGTTCCAACTTCATTTGGTTTGGGATATTTTTTTTAAACAAAACTAGCAAATGGATTGTAATGTGATTTTGTTGTTAGTAGACAGTTGTTATGATTTTAATTTGTAACATTTGTGTTCAGCAATGGAAAAGCAACGAGCGGAAATAAACAAAACAGTAAATATATTGATGGGAAGAATAGAGGCATTAGAAGGACAAGAAAGCACAAACACTCTTGCAGATGCAACAACTGCTTCATCCGTTCCACCGACTCTCTCTCCGCCTCCTGGGTTCACTGAACAAGGTTTGTTGCATCATACTATTGATTTTGATTTTTCAATACTACCATTTTATATCTTCACTCCAACAGTGCTCTGTGCAAGCATCTACTGGAATGTAATGAACTACTATTTACTGAAGAACCGTATCTTTGCGGTTGCGCATTGCCTCCTTAGTGCCAATATAATTTATCCCGACAAATTAACCACAACGCAAGTACGCTTGATCATTTTAAAATAAACTGAATTGTAGTATTATATTCAGATTTTATAACCCAACTTTGTAAATTTTAAATTACTGAATGATTTTTTGAGTAAAACAAAACGATTTATCAAGCCGTAGCTGTCATTCTCTCACTTTTAGATAATTAGTATGAGTGATTCACTTGGCGAGCACAAATATAAAAATCATCAACGTTGGATATTCAAATGTATGACGCCACACTTAGATCAATTCTTCTGCTTTAACAAATGCTAATTATTCAAATTACAGATATTGTGCGCTATGACGGGAAAATATTCATACCGTTGGCATCTGAAAAGGTTAGTAAACCATCAGCAATCGCTAAATGTCAAACACTTGGTGGAGAGTTGGCGAATATATACAACCAGAATCCTATGGACAAGATAATGACATTCATTCGCGACAACAAGTTAGACGGGGAATCATATAAAAGATTCCATCTCGGCATGACATACGACCCTATTGTAAGTTGAATATAAGATATTAATCAGTTTTTCTCCTAACTGCACATATCGTTTAATTTTATCGTCGTTTGAAATTCAGTTGTGACGTCATAATATCAGGAAGTTAGTATTATTATGAGTACTTAGCTGTTTCGCTCCAGATAAGGCTCTGCGTAAGACTTCACTCAGATATACGGAGAATGGTAAAGCCGTTATCATTCTTGATTGGAAGTTTGTTTTATTTATTCAACACTGATTGAGATAACTTGGGATAACTGGATAAACAAACCATGGTGCGCGAACCTTAATTTATGAAAAATGATGCTAACAAGGGGAAAGTTGGTAGAATATATAAAAGTTGATTATATACATATTTTGTAAATATTTTATATTTAGTAACTTTTTTTTATATTCATATTCTAAGTTTTCTTCGGCATATGACGCCAATATAGCGAAAAAAAAGTTTACAAATCTCATTACTTTTCGAGTATAATAAAATTGTTATAATAATTTAAACACATAATATTGTTAACTTCTTTCCTTCAGGATCAGATTATTAGTTTACGCAACGGAACTGAGATATCGCAAAGTGGTTTTAAATGGACCAGACCGTACCCATACAATGGGCAGAGGTATTCTGATTGGACAAACATGTTTATCGAGATTAACAAAGATTCAACAAGCCCATATCAATACATTGGCAACCACCCATATCTTAACAGCTACGTATTGTGTGAAATTTAAACTTTCTTCCAACTGTTATAGCAAACTATCACATAAAAAAAATAAAAAAGATAGAGAAAAGTTTTCCGTGTAATTAATGATATCAATATAAAATAGTTTTAAAACATGACGAAAGGAACTGGAGCAAAAACTCCTGTCAAATCGAAAAAATGAAAAGTTACGATTTCAGTTTGTATATTTGGGGTGTAATATGAAATTTCTTTCGTAAATTTTTACTGAACAAGCTATTCACTTTGATTAGTTATATTATTTATTATATGTGTTCAACAAATGATTAATTTCACAGTTTCACCTATGTTGCCCTATATGTTATAACTAGCGTTGAATTACTTTCTTCGTTTGTTTATTCAAATAGTCATGACACATCCAATTACTTTAAGTAATTTTGAAAAGTAAAAAAATCACCAAATGTTGATTATTTTTTTAATTGGAGTTAACTTTCAAGTTCCGTAATTGTTTTGTCACAGTATATTCAGGGTAGAAATATGTTCTATAATCTTGTGCTCATAGTATTGGACATAAATATGTTGGCGCTGCAGGGTAGTGATCTTGAAATTTTCCCATACCCGCCAAGGTACAGTTAAATTGTTTAGGAAATGGAAAACCATTAGAATTTCAGTCTTTGTGGAAAGATTACCTCTTGTATAATAGTGTAAAAAACGACTGAGCAAATCGTTCGATTTTGACATCTTGACGTTATGATCAATATCATTGCTCTTACAAATTCAGAGTAATTTTACGTTTCGTATCATAGCGAATATTCACATGACCCGACAGCATTCATGGGTTCGTTTCCTACATTTTTATCCTTAAGAAAGTTTGCTTTGAAATACAAATGTTTCATTAGTTTGCATCTCTTTCTACCATTATAAATCCGAAATGCTCATTCCTTTTATTCGAAGCAATTTCTACCCATCCAAATTTTGCTTCCCCCTTTAAAATTGGGAAAAACTTGATCCAAGTTGGGTTGTGCAGATGTTCAGTAGTTGTAACGGCCAAAACATTTTCAAAATGTAACCCCTATCCTAGTTGAAACATCCCATCTCTTTTATTTTTTTTTAGTTTTCCTGAGTGAGAATCAATGTAATATGTGATTTCTTTCCTTAATGTGTTTTTAATATGTTTTGTAGATGTATTTCACGAATTTTATCATTCAAACAAAACTTATTAGGGCCATTAACATTTCACAGTTTTTATTGTCCGTATAAGTGCGTCGATATTGAGAAATTGAAAAGAAAACTTAAGCTTTCACTATAATCTAAAAATCCCCTCTTGCTAAACATAAAAATGTGAAGTTGGAATTTGATAAAAAAAATTATGCTTAACTAGTTTCCATAGAAATCAAAATTTAGTCGTAACCTGATAAAAATGTAATATTTCCAGGATATCTTCATAGTCCCCTCTCTTCTTGTGGAATGAAAATCAAATATTAATCATATTTACATTTTAGTTTACTTATGTTAAAATCAATGTAATATATGATTTCTTTTGATCAAATAATTAAGTTTTATATCTTAGATGTGTTTTACAAATACTAATAATTTTGAAAAAATTGTTACAAACTTAGATTGAGCTTTTTTAGCATTATTTTTGTGTCTCGAATAAATTGGGAAATTGAAAAAAAAATTCTGATCGTCTAGAAGTGTTTGAATCTTTGGCGAAGCTATTTGTTACTGCATTCATGTGTAAATATACATTGGAAATAAATCTTTCTTGCAAAGGTATTACTATTGTTTTAAAGTAAACATCGATATAAATTGAGCAAATTAAGATTTAAAACGGGACTGAAAAATCAGAAATAAATATCAGGGAAACGCAAAATCTATAAAAACAAGTAGGGAAAGGCTTGTTGTTCAATTGAAATAGAACATTTTTTTTATTACTCACTTTTAACGAGATCCCAATTTTCACCACAAGGGTACATCTTGTCATTTTCAGTTTTACAACATGGTAAGGTAAATTATTGCTTGATAGTCATCATAAGGGAAACTAGATGCTGCTTCTCAGCCTCTGCGTCAAATTGAATAAGCCTAATACAGGGTTTCCCCAAACTTTTATGTGTCACGGACCCGGACCCTATGCCGGATAAATGTCTGTGCCTAACTAACGAGGAAAGATAATGTTTCATTTACAAGACGAACGGTATTAATTTGATTGCTCTTTACTGCACAATTTATCAATCCTCGGAGCAATGTGATAAGCAAGTTCGTAGTTCCGACTCTACGGCAAGTCTCGGCCTGTATTTTATCATTATATTGGTAAGAGCTGAAAATGCTGCCTCGCATATGTAGGTCGTTGCGGAAGGCAATAAAATTTCAATTGCCTTTTTTGACAGCACATGCATTCGTCTGCAACGCTCAACCAAAAAAAAGGAATGGCTTTTTTACTACAAATCAATCGTAAAACATTGACTAAAATCTTTTCACATCGTTGCGGACCCCCTGTGCAGTCATCACGTTTTGGCTAAAAAACAGATCAATGAATTTGTTGACATCTTAGTTAGAATCTGGGACTTGTTTCATACCTATTATAGGGTAAAAAATTCTCTCTAATTTTCGCCGCTATCAATAATCCTAATGCAAACTTATCTATGGCATTCGAGATTTAATTAGAATTTTGCTGACATTATGGTAGCGACTTCTTGTCCATATATTACAGTATTGATCAGTCATTTTGAATATCTCTGATCAGGTGCTGCATTGACCAAAAACACACTACACCTAATTCAGAATCTGACAAAGTGAAGCTTTTCTCTTGAATACATATTTCGTACAATTAACAATACAATAATTAACACAAGATGTGAAATGTTTCCACATATCAACTCAATCCAACATTCAGCACCAGAACGATAACAAGACATTGACAGAAAACATAGATTTCCATTAAAGTTTGAGCGAGTTAAGTTTGTGTGACTGAAAGTATAAAGATTACTGATAAATGAGTTGCAAGCAATCGCAGACATGCTAGGAACGTAATGTATATATATACATGTGTCGGCAGATACAGGTTGTCTTAAGTCTTTAATGAATTAAGAAGAATACCCAAATTAAGTTTGTGTGACTAAAATTATAAAGATAACTGATAAATGAGTTGCAAGCAATCGCAGACATGCTAGGAACGTAATGTATATATACATGTGTCGGCATATACATCTTAAGTCGTTTATGAATTAAGAAAAGCACCCAACTATCCAAATTAAGTTTGTGTGACTGAAAGTATAAAGATTACTGATAAATGAGTTGCAAGCGATCACAGGTGTGCTAGGAACGTAATGTATATATACATGTGTCGGCATATACATCTTAAGTCGTTTATGAATTAAGAAAAGCACCCAACTATCCAAATTAAGTTTGTGTGACTAAAATCATAAAGATCACTGATAAATGAGTTGTAAGCGATCACAGAGGTGCTAGGAACGATATGCATATACGCATGAGTCAGCAGATACAGGTTGTCTTAAGTCTTTAATGAATTAAGAAGAATACCCAACTATGTGGCAGTGAGGGGAAATCGCCAGAACAAAATTAAGTCAAAGCAGCTATGTAAAAAATCTTAAAAATACAAACAGAGATCCGAGCGACCAGCTTTTCCCTCGCTGTGCGGTTTAGGCAGTGCAAAATGCATGTTCAATATTGACCAAACTTCACCAGTGAGAAGTAAACCTAATGATATATAAAAGTGGTTCTGAAATGTTGGTGCACGCTCCACAAAGGGAACGAAGATAATTTTTTGAGGGCCTGAAGCTGATTAAAAATTGAAATATTTTTTAGATCTGTTTTTGTCCCCCTTATTTTGGGGGGTTCTATCCTCATATTACCGTGTTTTTTACATAATACATAATTTTGCCTTACTATTGTCATTTCTAGCTTATTGTTAGCTAGTTATTTTTGGGGAGGGACGAGAGACTTGACAAAGGAGGCGCAGCTTATCACTGTTGCACTTATGTTGAGCAGGAGCGGGTGCGACAAACCGGTTGATTTTTGTCTAGCGGCCAATTAAAGGCAAAAATTAGAATAATAAATTACAAAAAGCTATCAAATATCAAAATCCGATGTTAGAGAAGGAGCAACCCAAAAATTAAAACAAATAAATTGTCAAAATATGATTTTCAACAATATGTGGTCTCAATACCATTAGGAGAGACCGAGCATTTAATTGGGTTAGATTTTGTCTTTATATTTCATCCCGACGAGAGAATTCAGACGATTTACTTCGGCAGCTTCGAAGTACTGCTTGTTGTTGAAGTAGGTGAGACCGAGTGAGAGGTTTCCGCATCCGAATATCGAACCAAGTAGCGAAGGCAAACCTAAATAAAAACATATTTTTTTATATCGTATAAAGAATTATTTGTAAATCCTATCCCAACCCTTTGTTGATCCAATCACAAGCATTAATTATCCTTTCTCTCTTTCTCCATGAAAATACTAAAATTCTGTTAAAAAACTATTATTTAAAACTATGTTATTAGAATTGCAGTAACATTTTTGAATGTTTACCCACCTGCTCTTGACTGTACACAACATATTCATTGTAAGCATTCGACACGCCGGTCATATCCGGGTTTTTTATCTGTTCTCCAAGAGGTATAGCTCCACCTAGTGTCATTGGTAATGAAAAATGGTTAGAAATTAGCCAATGTCACTAAGTTTCAAGAAATGACATGTGATAGTTTGCTTTTCTCGGAGCCAGGAAAAGTTTACAACCGAAAAATAATGTATTTGAAGCCATTGCCATTGATTTTTTTTTCGGAATCTAGGTGTTTTGTGAGATTGTAATCTCTTGCTCCTGTTATATGGCGGAGATTGACTTTCAAACTTAACAATTGCTCAGTATATATTAGCAAAGTAAGCAGTTATATCAGATTTTTGATCCACTTTCAGATAAATATGAAAAATCCTCATAAAGTCCTACCTTCTGGAAGAATTAGCTCATGACCGGGTTTTGGGATGTTTTTCCCGACAGCCATCACTGAATTCGCAACTTCCATTTCTCCTCTCGGCATATCATCTCGTATTTCTTTCACATGTCCCAAAGCAACCTGCACGAGGATTAGAAAATGGCAATAGAAAGTTACTTGCGACAAACTATTGCTCTGTTATAGTGTGGGACATTTTTCATATCTATTACTTATTACTTATCGATCTTTAGATCGGTAAGTATGTTGATAGGTATTTGTCTGTTTGTCTGTCTGTTAGATGCACGCGATATCTCACGAAGGCATGGTTAAATCTGCTCCAAATTTTGCATGTGCATTCATCATATCTCGGACCAGAAGCCTATTGATTTTGGATGAATTATGTCGTATAATTAGCGAGTTAATAATTAATTAGTGATGGGACACGCAGTGTCACTATTGAGTCATGAATCGAAACCGCAGTTTCGAACGATAAGTCTTCGGTCTCCGACCGATATTCTCGTTTTGGGAAGTATTGAATTAACTTATGCCACGCTAAAATTGATGGAATGCAAAAGTGTCTTGCGGCTGATAAGCTCCAACAAATACCGGGGACTAGCCAAGTGACTCCTATAATATTTGTACCAAAAACTATGGCCTAACCCTAACCTGCCACACATACTACGCACACACACACTCTCTCTTGGTTCACATACTTGGTACCCAGTAATCTGCCTGGCACTTCAGAAGTATGTGTACCAATATGAAGGTAACTAATTTTGTTGGTCTACTTTATATCAAGTTGTGTAAAGGGACGGACGCCCATTTAAGCGCTGTTTAACCTAAAAATTACCATAAGAGAGAGCATACCTGGCAAAGTAATAGGTATTTCTTCTCTTTGTCCCACTTCTTGCAGTCTTGCATTGCACAGCTAGCCATATCAGACATGTATATACCCTGCATTGTAGAACAAAAAATTCATATTAATGGAGAAAAATGTGAAAAAGCATCCCAATGCAATTAACTATGTCAGTTGTCCACAAACAGTGGGGCGCTCTGCAAGAAGGACAATATTTTGAGAAGGCGTGAAGCTAATCAAAAAATTAAATTGTTAGGTTTGACCTTGCCCGAGATTTGACATTTACATTTCTTTATTTTGAATAATTACGTTCCATCCATATATTTTTTTTACCTTCGCCATACCATCTGTTATTTGTAGCTTATTGGTATTACTTATCGGTAAGTATGTTGATAGGTATTTGTTTGTATGTCTGTTAGATGCATGCGATATATCAGGAAAGGGAGATTGGATCTGCTGCAGACTTTGTATGTGCATTCATCATATCTCGCACCAGAAGCCTATTGATTTTGGGCGAATTATGGCGTATAATTAGCGAGTTATCGATTAATTAGTGATGGGACACAAGGTGCCACTACGGAATGAGAGTACCTCACACAGGGTTATACTGCACCAACCCCGTTATCAACTCAAATACTTTGCCAAGGTAGTGGATAACTGTATGTTTCCCAGCTCTTACATATTTTGTTATTAGTGATAAACCTTTTTTCTAACCTATATAAATGTGTTATGTATTTGACTAATCATCTTCACCGGCATAAGAGTTACTTTTTCAATATTCAAATACATTTTTATTTACATTGAGAATTGAAGTATGGTGTCACACCTGAAAATTAGGGTGGGGGAACAGGTGTTCGAAATTTCAGGGGGGGTGTGGGGAAATTACTGGTACTTTTACAGGGAATCTCTTATTTCTAGAAGAATTCGTTATTTCCAAGCAAATTCTTGTAACCAAGAAAAGCTCGTCAAATTTTCCACTGATGGTCTCATTCTCTCATTTCAGGTTAAATCACTTATTTTCAAGACAATGACCCTCCTTTCTAAGAAAAGCTTCAATTTTCAGAAAATGTCTCAATATCAAGGTAAAACAATCATACCTTGCCAAACTGCAGTAGAGGACCAATAGGTGGAGGCTCTGTCAGCATCAGTCCTTTATGAAGAATAGACATCAAGTTGAGAATGTTGGTTCCGTGCCACAACATCTTAAAGTTACCGAGTCCTGTTGAAACCAAGTTTTCTGCTTCTCCTGGTCTGCTGATTCGATAGATACACTCCACTGTAGTTCCAGCAGGTGCTGCAAAAAGGTTGTGCGACATTATAAGTCAGAATAAGATGGGTTGGTTGGGTAGTGTAGAGCAGGGCTACTAACTATTTTTACCAAAGATCCGCATGCAAAACTTCAAAATTATTTGGGTCCGGTCTTACCAGAAATTATATTTCGGCAACATTAAACACGCACTTCCGCGGCCTATAAATGATTATTAGCTAATCGAGATTGTTTATTATGGTTTTATAGTTCTTTTATATATACTCAACTCTATAAAAGTCATTTTGTGGGGTTAATGATCCAAAATAAAGAATTAGGTGCAGTCCGAATCAAATACTTGAAAGGTCCATTTTCGGACTGGAGTTGCTTGGTTGAGTAGACCCTTGCATACCATTTGTTTCTTGTACACCCGGGATCTGACTTGGGAACACAGTATACCAGTTGAATAACACTGCACTAAGAAGAAATAAAACAAACGCGTAACTTACCGCTGTTATACAGATACTGCAAGATATATTGGGATTCATCTGACAGTGGTTCCATCACTTTGACTCTACATCCAACTGACCGATATACATAGTCAAGAGGATTCATTTCTGTAAAAAGATGAAACATCAGATATCTATTCTCAGGCGCGCAGCCAGTAATTTCAAAAGGGAGGGGGAGGTCAAAATCCGAACTTCCCATTGCCGTCTGTAACAGTCACGGCGATTACGCGCTCGTTAAAGGAGCCGCCTTTCCAGCGTATAATGATTTTTCTGTCGCGTAAAATATTCAATCTATTGCCAACTGCGCTACTGACCATTCTTTTCAAGTATAGCAACCAAGAATTCCACTTGCACAAAGGCACAAAGCAGGGGTGGGCAAATTACGATCCGCGGGCCGGATCAACCCCACCGAAGTATTTCATCCGGCCCACTTGTGTCTGATGAAATTATGACTACAATTTTTATGGATATAAATTTTCGTTAAAAATATCAACATCATGATACCCCAATTGTTACTTTTTGCTTCTTACTATTTTATAAACGTTAGCCTAGTTGTTGTAAATAAACTGTTTTTTATACCAAGTTTATTATCTGTGACTGGCCCATTCAGAAAAGTAATTGCCCATCCCTGGCATAAAGCAAGGAAAAGGTATTAATCTTAATATATAGTATGTGATATTGAGCAATGGTTTCCCAATTTATCCCTGGATAAACAAACATTTCCTATTTGTTGCATGTACAACTTTACATGAAAGATGAGTTATTAATGGAACACGTTTCTTATTGTGCCTGAACACTCAGCAAACTTTACGCAGTGATTTATTCTATGTCTTCATCAAAATATGTGTCTTTCATCACATTATAAAAGTCACATACGATTGTTCAAGATTCGATTCAAAAAAAATATTCGATTCTGAAATCATCAGGTATTTGAAAAGCTGAGTCCTATTAAACACAATACAGAGCTGCCGCAGCACATGCACCAAGATGTCGCACAACCTGAACATAGTATGTGTACCAAGATGTCGCACAACCTGAACATAGTATGTGTACCAGGTTATGGTTCAGGTTGTGCGTCATCTTGGTGCACATAGTACAGGAGCACCCACAATACCAACCATTGATTCGATATTGAGCTCCGAGGAGAACTTTATTTGAAAACTCAAGTTCAATTAATCGTTGCGTTTGTTTCATGAGTTGATTGAGTGTTGCGACATCGCAGATTGAGCGAACTCGATCAAACAATCCACCACGTGGTGGCAGCAGACGAAAGTATTCTGTACTGAGTTGTTGAATCTGAAATTATGAAATTTACGAGTGATAATCTCCCCTAGCGAATTATTCCGATCAAAGTGGTAAAATATTAGAATCAGAAAAAGGATCGAATTGGTATATTATTTCCAATGTTTTAGAATTACTGTTAAAAAAATAAATAAAAATATTACATTGGAATAATTATAACCTAAGCAATTTCGAAAAGTTTGTAAAGTACTATTTTAAGTGAGCCATGATAACCATAAGCATTATACCACCAGTTAACTGGCTTTTTTTGCTTGATTTTCGCGTTGATGCCAAAAGCGACGATGGTCAAGATCATTTTATCTGCACTAGATTTCACTTGTGAAAGATAGTATGGAATATTCAATAACTCATTCACCTTCTCCAAAGCTCTCTGTAATCTGATCTGATCCTGCGCATCTTCTAATTTCAATTCCTGCGTTGTCGCAATTAGGTCCCTGAAAACAAAACATATTCAATAAACCTCGATGTTGCTGCTCGATAACCAGTATTGGTCCCAACGCTTCCCGTCACCCTGAAATGTCATTTTTACTTCTTTTATTTCGTCACAATGTGTATTCCATGTGAGGAGGAACAATGAGTCTCCAAGTACTTCTATTGGACTTATCCCAACCATTTTTGAATATGTCATTCCTAACCCCAACCCGACTAAGTCACTCAAAAATTATGTCACCATGACACACAATCATGTCACAAGCTGCAAAAGTATTTTACATGTTCTTATGACATGGGTTGTTCGCTTTTGCACAAGCTAGCTGTTACAGCATTGTAACGTCATAGACATAAATTATGAATTGGACTCGGGTCAAGGCTTTACAATGCAAAGGGATTGAAATTTCTTGCACAGCCCAAAATAAACCAAGTTAAAAATTGTTTTTCAAGCGGCATGCTATTCAAAATTGGCACTTCTTCGCAGGTCATACAACTTTTCCTTGTGGGCCGCTGCATGCACACCCCTGTTTTATATGAAATAGTAAATTATCCAGTTGCACTCACTTAATTTCATTCAATATATCAACTCCGAGATTCAGTCTGTCCTTCTCCAATCTTCCGAAAGGCATGATATCGGGGTCTACATTGGTGCTGTCCTTGAGGGCTTCTTTCATGGAGTCAACGCTGATCTGTAAGGTTTGAAAATTATTTGACATGATTTAATAATTATCTCGACGGAGAAGAAACTGTTGAGATACCTCAATCAAATGGTAAACCCGCTTGTAAGGTTAAATATACAGTCCATGTCGGATATGGTATCGCTAGGAATGTACTTGCTATTAGATTGCTCTGAACAAAGAACGCGATGCAAGGAGATTGAAAAATGCTCGCCACAAGTGTGCTAAAATGCATATGGGTATTATTTGCGTGCATATTATGCAATGCACGAAGAAGTAGGGTACATAAATAGGCGCTTCAGAAGTATGTGCATCAAGATGGCAGACACCGGAACGTAGTATGTGTACCAGATTAGGAAAGAACATAATTTTATTCCATTTGTCCTGTTTTTAGTTCTATTACGAGTTGGGGGACTAGCCAAGTGACTCATGTAGTATTGGTACCTAAAATTATGGCCCAATCCTAACCTGGAACACATACTACGTTCCATGTACCCATAAATTATGTGTCAGGCACACGGTCTAAATCAGGGGTAGGCACGGTTTTTGAACCAGGGGCCAAAAATTTTGCCTACCCAGACTGGCGGGCCACGTAAGTGTGACGTGAAAGTAACATTTTATGAACAATATTTACACTGCCAAAACTAAATTTGATCGCAATGTCAACAAATTCCTTGAGCTTTTTTTTAGCTTAAACATCAAGGTTTAGTTCGGTTGTGGCATCAAAACATCAAAATTTGGTTTTGGTTCGGTTGTGGCAGCATCAGGCGGGCCAGATCGAACTACACAACGAGCCAGATTTGGCCCGCAGACTGTAGATTGCCCGTGTCTGGTTCAAATACATGAACTTTATTGACACACAAGTCATTTGGAAACATAACCATGTACTCACCAAGTCAGTGAAAGCTTCTCGTACTTCTTGGTCGAGTTGCGAAGCGATATCGGAACGAAGATCAAATTCCAAGTCTGCTACTCCTCGTTTTTGTTGAACCTCTGCTGCCACCAAATGGTACTTGCGAGTTTGTGGCTTGAAACTGAAAATCAGAACAAATACATTGTTTTGGATACATGGAACTATTTTGAATTAATAACGAATGTGACGCATTTTTAGTTTGTAAAATTCGAAAAAAATATGCATGAATTTGATGTTTATATTATTATTGTGAACCTCTGAACCATGATTGTATTTTCAAGACCTAAAGTAGAGGATTTAAATTTTTCACAATAAATTCAGATTCATGATTGATTGAGATCTTGCATACGTCAAGATTTTAGGGCCAATACTTTCAAAATCGGGAGAGCTGAAATAAAGACCAATTTGTGTCGGAGCCTTCAAATTGGGCAGGAGTTTAAAATTGGTGTGCAAATTAGGTTGGTTGTTATCCACAACCATGGATACAAATAAAAAATCAGTTCTACCGTAGTATATGTACCAGGTTAGGGTTAGGCCATAACTTTTTTCCATTTTTTTTTAAGCTTTTCGGTTGAACTGAGAACATGTTAGGCAAGTGAATATACCCCCCTGCCCATAGGTTTTAGTCCGTTTACACAACTTGATGTAAATTAGGCCAACAAAATTAGTTACCTCCATATTGGTACACACACTTCTGGAATGCCAAAAAAACTTACTTGTTGACATTTCTCCATTCATTCCCAGTTTTTAGTTTATAATATTTTGCGAATTCGTTGATCGCATTGACTGGGGTTTTGAACGGGGAAGTTTGCCAACTGCCACGTTCTCCTATTGTTCCCCAACGTGTGAAGAACAAGTAAAGATGTCGTCCTTTCTGGTGAATCACCTGGGTAAAATATGAAAAAATATTGATACAGGAAATCAGGGATCAATGAAATCAGAACTACTTCAATTGCATGCTTCAAGGTAAAATAATACATATCTAGAAGTATGTGTACCAATAAGGAAGTAACTAATTTTGTTCGCCTACTTTACATCAAGTGTAAAGAGACTGAAGCCTATGGGCACGGGGTACATTCACTTCACTAACACAGACAGTCCCCAAACTCGTAATAGAACTAAAATAAGGAAAATCGGAATAAAATTATGGCCTAACTCTAACCTGGTATATATACTACGGGAGTACCACACTAGATATACTAATATTTGCTAATTAATCTAAAAATTTATTCACAGTATTGAATTATTTGAAACTGAATTCAACAAAAGACACAGAAGTTGGAAATAAATGAAAGATGTTTGAGCGATTTCGTTGATTTGTGATATTTTGAAGCCTTGGTTCCCCATAGTTGAATGGTGGGGCACACTTCACAAGGAAGGGCGTAGACAACTTTTCGAGGGAGCATGAAGCTTATTAAAAATGAAAATATTTGTCAGATTTGATATTGCTCGCATTATTTTGGATATTTACATTTCTTTATTTTGAATATTTACGTCCCATCCGTGTATTTTCAAACATACTTTTGCTTTACTATCTGTTATATGTAGCTTATTGTTAGCTAGTTATTTTTGAGGTGGGCGCGAGACTTGACAAATTCTAAAAGGGAGCTACATACCTGTATTCTGAAGAAGTTATACTGCACTACACCGCCTTGCTGTACATCGACGGCCGTAAGGAAAACATCACATGGACGATTCATTGTGGGATCAATCACTATCTCTCTGAAAAGATAGAATTTAGTTAGAGAGAAAGATCTTACCGTTGCTGTCAAGATCTGAAGCCTACATAGGGTTCAGGTTGTGCGCCATCTTGATGCACATGCTTCGGGAGCGTCCAATCAGCCTATCTATATGAAGCATGTTCTCAACTATATCCGCAAGTAGAGATAATCATTCCTCTCACCCAGTTTCTCTAAGTCCAGACAAAACATCGGGTTGGGGCAATGGCCGCTCGACTTCATTTTCTAATTCATCTTCTCTGATTCGATCGAGTATTGTACCTGCGTCCACTTCATACATTGGTTGGGAAGTTTCCCAATTCTCTTCCTGAATTTCTGCCGTGATTTGCATCGGTTTTTGCTGAAATAAAGAATAAGTTTGAGGCAGCTTTTTTCAGCTGCAATTCTTTGGCACCATAGGGTTCAGTCAGCACAGTTCAGGGTTTACATACAAATCTGTGAGCAGATATTATTATATAACAGGGATGGCGAACCTTTTTCAATAAATGGGTCACAAATGATATTTTTATCGCGGAACAGAAGAGAGTGGGTCACAGATATTTAATCAATGTTTGTAACTATAAGAAACTTCTGAAATCTTATAAGCTTCAGTTGGTGTATCAGGGATTTTTATGGCACTCGATTTTAGTAAATTAGAGTACGAAAACACGCATACAGGTTACTAAATACGTTTAGGCTGATGCGGCAAATTATCCTACGGTTTCAAAGAGTTCGATCAGCTTTAAACCCCATTGGGGCACTTTTACACTGCCCCATTGTTTTTTCAGTTCGCTAGGTTTTTATTTCAAGTCTGTACGATGCAACATTGAGGGACTTGAAAATTACCATACCGGTTTAGAAATTAGCAATTTGAATATGAGCGATCGCGGCCCTGACTGCCCAAGCTTAGTTATTGTTAGATTAATTTAAGGCCGGTTTTATTAATTTTCATAATTGATATGTTAGCATTTTTATTTTATTCGTGCCTTGGCGGGTCACGAATAAAACGCGGTGGGTCACATTGTGACCCGCAGGTCAGTGGTTCGCCATCCCTGTTATATAAGATGTCCATAGAATCTTGAAATTTTTTCAAATTGCAAATTTATCGATACCGTATATTGTTTTGGCCCTCACAGATGTATTAAATGAAGTAAAAATACTTAACGATTACTGATTGAAAAACAACAAACCTGGTTAAGATATATTGAGAACTGACATAACAAAATTAAACTGGAACGGAACTTTATGGACACCCAGTCGTCTAATAGGGTGTAATAAATTGGATTGGCAAACATGCAACCAAAAAGATTTCGGCACAAGCAAAATCAGGCACTCCATAAGTATGTGTACCAATATGGCGGTGACTCGTTTTGTTCGCCTACTTTATATCAAGTTGTGTAAAGGGACTGAAGTCTATGGACAGGGGTTATATTCACTTGGCAAACACAGACAGTCCCCGAACTCATAAAAGAACTAAAATAAGAAAAAACGAAATAAAAGTTTGCCTAATCTTAATCTGGTACACATACTACGGGAGTAGCACAAATCGCGGTAGTTCTATATATAGCAGTGGGTTGGTTGTAAGTTGCCTTGGAAAGAGCGGCATATGTATAATAAGAACATGGTATATTGTGCCGCAGAGCCTATACCAGTACCTGAGTGCCACTGTCATATTAGCAAAACTAGCTAGAAAAATACTGTTGCAAAAAACACAATGTGACACTTTTCACATATACAGTTGAGCAACACTTCAATAGGCTACCAAATATAAAATGAACAAAAAGGTTTACTTAAAAATAAATCAGCAAATTTTAGGTTTTTGTTGAAAAAACAATTTTTAGGCGACCCAGTTTTTCGTCGCGACCATAATTCATTAAGAAACACTGGCCTATCTTACCCATTCAAGTTCAGGGAGTCCCATAACAGCTTGAAGAGCTTCAGACATTTTTCCCGAGCCTTCCTCCAACGCATAATCTAATGCAAGTTTATTGTAACGGTCACGAACAGTCAGAGGTACGCCTTGCTCGACTAGCAATCTGAAAACAACATTCAGATTTTGAATTCTGTTACCATAGTTCGTAGAAAAAGGGGAATGTGTTGACAATAAATTTGTACAACTGGAGCATTGTGTTCACTAGCTTTTTTAGAGGTAGTGTTTCGAAATTCAGGGGGGGGGGTTAAATATTTCGCTACCGGCGATAAAACTATTTGTAACTTATAAAAATGTGTTATGTATTTGGCATACCAACGCACTGATAAAGATGCCACTTTCTGGATATTCAAATACAATTTTACTTAGGTACCCTAAGTTAGGTATTAAAGTGTGGTATCACACCTCAAAATTAGGGGGGGGGGGATTTTAGGGGAGGTAGAATGAACAATAGTGGCAAATATTACAGGTATTTTTTGATTATATTTAAATACTACTCGAACCTATTGACAGAACCTGGTTGAAAAGCACTGTTTTTATACTAATTTAAACAAAAGTGCATGTAGATAGCAAAACTTACTGTAATATGTTCGTATTCTCCCAATATCCATAAGTCAAAGGTCGGGTAGTATGATGCAGAACCGTTCGTCCCTCATCATCGAGTGAGGAGAGAAGAACAGGGGTCTTGTGAGTGAGTAGCTTCTTCACAACATATTCATCATTCTGGAAAATTTTTCAAGTTCACGCTTCAATTCAGAACAATAATCTAGTCCAGAGATCCGGTCCAATGAACTAGATTCGTGTATTAGGCAAGGCCTACCAGGGATGTGGGCGAACTATCGCACAAAGACGAACTGATCAAGAATTTAGAATTTTGTGAAAGTTGTGGAAAGTTGTGGAAACTACACACAAACATACACGTTTAGATTTTCAAATTTTAAAATATTTTATGCTCTGGTTTTTGCACAGTTTAGGTTGTTCATAATGAGTGCATAAATAGGTATTATATTGATAATAAAGAACTAAAGAATGTCATAAATAAATACAACCCAAAACTGCTATCCAAAAACGACTTTTTCCCTGGGACGGATTTCGATACTCCCATAGTATGCGATCCAAGATGGCGGACACCGGAACGTAGTATATGTACCAGGGTTCTATTACGAGTTCGGAGACTAGCCAAGTGACTCCCGTAATATTTGCACCTTAAATTATGGCCTAACCCTAACCTGGTACACATAATTTTCATCCAGCCGTGAAAGTGGATTTAGAGGATTTAAAAGATAAAAAATGTCTTCCAACCTGCTGCACAGCAACCATCAATGGAGTCTGGTTATGCAATCCTTCCACTTGTACATTGATGTCAACATTGTATTCAAGAAGAAGATCAAGGACCTGAAAAGAAACAATATTTTTTTCAGATGGCTCTCATGCATGCTTTTCGCTCCGAACTGAACTCTGAAAGGACCAAAATTGGCGTTGCCTACCTGGATTGTTACACCAGTGGTTCTCGAAACTTTCTAAGCCGTCCTTGTCATATGGGAATGCCATAACAGTCAAAAATTGAAAAAAAAATATACAAATGCGACAAGATTACATATTGCTGGAACGGATTGGATGAATGAGTTCGTAAGTATTTGTGAATATACAAGACTAGCAATGCTGATATTTTTCATGTTCTATGGATTGGAGCAGATCGGGACTTTAGATTGATGTGGTAGGAATTCAAATTCATTTGTCAAGTCTCGCGCCCCAACTCAAAAATAACAACTAACAATAAGATACAAATAACAGATAGTAAAGCGAAAGTATGTTTTATTCAAAAATATGTTGAAATACGTGGAAAAACTCGAAATATCTAAACCAGGGGTCTCAAACTCAATTTACCTGCCGCCGAGACGGAGTCTGAGTGAGTCCGGGCCGCATCAGGTTTTCACAATAAAAGCATCGCATAAAAAGTTAAATCTTCTTTCTCTATTTTTCTATACGCAAAACATGTCAAAAACATAAATGTAATTCCGCGATGGACCTTTCCCCCCCGAGCATCTACTTCCTTGTTTATTCCGTAACATGGGCTAATCAGCAAGACCCAAAACGTGACGCAACAAAGACGTTTTCGCAAACGCTCAGAGACTTGTCACTCAGAAAGATTTTCAGGCATGATTGTCAACATTACCTCGTTTTTGCATGCTATTTGTTAGTTTTGGGTTGTGTTTCAGAAATTCAAGTATGAACCAAAGAACTCAATGTTCATTCTGATTGATTGGGCGTCGTAGCTTAATTGCAGTAATTACAAATTAGTCTAGAAATAACTGTGATAGACTAGGCTAAACTTCTCTACCACTACTGTTGAAAAACAGGTTGTTGAATGTTTTGAATCAAAAAGAAGCAAGTGGTAGATGATGACGTGGAACATATACCCCAGTAACCAATTTATAGGCTTCAACTCGCTAAGCCACCTCTAAAATAAGCACCAAGAAATTTGCATTGGTGAAATATAAAAAAAAAAAATTCGAGGTCAAAGGTCGGGGGAAGGTCCATCGAATATCATGCCTACCGGTACGGTACTAGTAGGTTACCGTACCGCATATTCCTTTCGGGAATAGATTCTAGAATATTTTGTTTTGCTCTACGTGTCCTGATCATATATCAAATACATCAATCATTCTAACTGAGTTGAGTGACTTACGGGTCGCACTAACATTAAACTTTCATACCAAGGCGGGGGCCGCAAACTATCGTCCTGCGGTCCGCAATTGGCCCACGGGCCGCGAGTTTGAGACCCGTTCTAGACAGTAGACAGATGTAAATATCCAAAATAAGAAATGTTTTTATTTTTAATTAGCTTCACGATCCCTGAAAAATTGTCTAAGTCTCTCTTGTGGGACGCACCGCACCGTTTGTGAACCACTGTGTTTCACCCCGGGTGAAGTAAGTGGGGGTATGAGATTTTAACAAGAGATCTGTAATCTGCAATACCAGTTCAGTTAAGTCAAATGCTTAATTTAACTGTTAGTCCATCGTGGCAGCATCGATCGGACTCTTTTCATATCAATCTGGACCCAGTCATCACGGACCAACCTGCACCAGTGGACGTGCTTTTGATCTCTATAGAATAGTACGGAAGTGGATTAAAACTTATTCTCTTCCATAAGACCCCAGATTCAACCCTGATTTAACCAATTTCAATTTCTTACCCTGTGTGCTTTCCTCTGAATGGCTCTCACAATAGGGTTTATTTGAACTGTGTCGATCTCTTCAGAATTAAAGTAAGCTTCAACGGAGTAGTCGCCAACTACAGATGATATATCAGGAAAGTTACATGATTGGTTGATTGCTCCGCTACCTTTGTCATGTTCCAGGAAAAGTCTGAAAGATGAGGTAAGGATTTAGATTCGTTACTGAATAAAAATAATCAATAAGAGGCCTTACCACAGCCACTAGCAAGGTTCCCTCTAACGCGCGCAACTGCGCCATTGCACATTGGCCCAAATGCGGCCCACGAGAAAAAATTGTGCGGCCCACACGGAAGTGCCAATTTTGAATGGCGTGCGTCCCACAAAATAAGATTTTAATTTAGTTAAATCTGGTATTTCCAATTCCTTTACACTGCAAAGCCTATACCTAGTTCTATTTATTTTCTATGACAATACAATGCCCTTTTTCGTCCTGCAACTACTAGAAAACCTACGTTAAATAAAGGTGCGGGCCATGGTTTCATCCAGTTATTTCTATCTGACCCTCCTGTATTAAAAGTTGCCCACACCTGTCCCAATATATCAAAGACTGATGGTACAGAGTTAAAATACACCATATAAATGCTCCCATTTTATGTCCAATTGGATACTTACTTTAGAATGGTCGTGGTTAGTTCATCATTGATTACCGGGTTCCACAAGAGGGCAGCAATGGCATTACGATTCTTGAAATCCGTGAAACTGATCATTCTGACAGAAGATGGGTTTCGATCTAAACAAAATACATAGGATCAAGGATGGCCGCAGAAAAAGTATCTAACTATTTTATAAACTTACTAAGTTCGCAGAAAACACCGGAAGACAAGCAATACGGGAGCTGTCCAGAGGGACGGATCAGAATTAATGTAAAGTGATATAACCAAAATAATACAACAAACGCTTTGGTGAACTCGCTTTTTCTGCCATTTTTCACCTAACCAGATCATTATGGAACACAATCTTCTAAATAAAAGCAAAATATCAACATTTTCAAGCTATTTACAGTCTCTATAAAGTCCAAACTCACCCATGAAGAACTTGATGAGAGTGTGGTTCTTTGTGTAAGCGGCATAATGCAATGGTGTGCATTGATAATCATCAGTCGTGTAATCTGGGACACCTCGCTCTATTAAAAGCTGTGCAACCTGTAAGATAGGAATTAGATTAAATAGGTAATACTGGTGCACAGGAGATACAGGAGGAGTGGTTTCCAAGGTTTATAGACAGGGGGCAAAAATGAGAAGCGCAAGGATATTGCGCAAGGAGAGGGGAGTGCCACAAGGGGTCGATACCAATATCGGTACGTATAATTGAATTGTCCCAAATACACACATGCTTAAACTGTGATATTGACGTAATAACTGACGGTATCTAGAACACAAAAAGAAAAAATATATAAAGTGTTGAACTATTTCACTCAAGTCCGGCGGGCCATATTAAATCGTTACGCTTGTTGTAATTGGCCCGTGGGCTTTGGAATCACTGATATAGGGCTTCTTAAAATTCGCTCAGAGAATTGAATAATTTCAGTGATCCAATTTCCACGGTCATTCAAGACAAAAAACATCTTGCATGTATTAGTCAGAATACATGATTATCTCAAAATTTTACGCATTATTTTATACACAATTAAAGATTGCTGGATGATATTGTTGTACATAGGAAGAAAAAATTATTGAAGCATTATTTTTAAAGATTAGATTTCACGCTTTGAGAGTTTTTTCTTGTTATATATAGTGATACAATGGGGCTTTTCTTTTTCATATCACATCTTGATGGAGTTTCACTATTGAAATTTGAAAATCGCAAAACATCATTTTGCTAACATGAGTTGTGCATCAGCTTTTTTATCCTCGACCCGATACCAGGGTATTCAAACAAGCTATGTCTACCACATCCCCTGCTTTGAGATGACCTTAATCTCACCTTGATTTGAACATCTGAGTTCGAAGGTCGATTCATCGCAAGGACATGAAGGAGATTCTGTTTCTTTTCATTTTTTTCACAAAGTTTTCCAGAATCCCGCTGTTTACGTAGAAGAGATAGAACAACTTGATATTTCTTTGCTCTCATTGCAGCCTGTGAAATTTAAAACACAAATAACATTTCAAACTTGAATAATTTTGCACTAGCAATACACTCGCCTTTACAAATTTCCTGCATGGGTTTTATTCTGAATGTCCAGTTTTTTATTTTAATATTTTATGTTCTGACTTCTGATTATCTGTGATTCTGAAGATTTAAAACATTTTTTTGCAAAAAATGGTGAGATATGTCAAAATTTCAATTTTTCGTTTAAGCAAATTCTGTCGCTGTTCTTAGTTTAAATGAGTATTTGATAAAAGATTGCAATTAGCACATTGTAAGGTGGCTCATCTACAAATTTCAGGCATGCAGTATACATCTCAAATAATTAAATGTTTGACTAATCCCAAACCCAACCTGCACTCGATAATCGAACAAGAAGCCATGTAATAAAGTTACCACAAACGGTAGCTTAAATCCCATGGGTAGATATATATATATATATATATCAATGTTACAACTACTTTAATGTGTTTTTGAAAAGGAGAGCAGGAATTTTAGCCGGAGGCTCAAAGCCTTTTCAAAAACTAACAGCATCCACTTACCTCAACAGCTGCAGCGTATTTCACACCACAGGCTTCGAGGCGATCAAGCATAACGTACGTTACCCCTTGCCAACCTTTTTCCACGACAACCTGAAAGGGAAAAAAACATGAAAAAGGATTAATATGAAGAATTTGTACGAGCAGCAGTCAAAGTGTACAAACTCTAACCGCTTGATTCTCTTCTATCAACTAGGGCCTATTTTTTTGTATATCCATAGCAGTGGCTCTCAAACTTTTTAGGTTGTGCCCCATTTTTAGAATTTGTCAAGTCTCGCGCCCCATCTCAAAAATACCTAGCTAGGAATAAGCTATTTTATTCAAAAAAAAAAAACGTTGAAAATATGTGAATGGAATTTAAATAATGAAAACGCCAAGGATAATAAAAATACAAGCACAACAGCTCTCTGTAATTTCTAAATAATAAAGAAACACAGATATCCAAAACAGGCAAGATGAAACCTGAAAAATATTTTCATTTTAGATAGTTTCCCCTCAAATAATTGTCTACGCCCCCTTTGCATAGACAACGTCTTACGTCTTTCCCCACAGTTTGGGAATTAATGATCTGTAGAGAATTTACTCACAGGTCAAAGTCACACTTTCAGAAGTAGAGGAGACTCAACTCCAAGTTATGTAAACCAAGTTACCATCAACTATTAAAACTATATAGAATTGGGGTGATGCAATATAAGCAAGTAAATGTAGATTTACGAGGCATTTGTCAAAATGATCAATAGTCTTACTCCAGGTTTAATCAATATTGTTAACATAGTCTGGTTCCAACATTTGAGCATTGATTGATGCGGCATTTGAGGGAAGAAATTTTGGCGCTCCAGAAGTATGTGTACCAATGAGAAGGTAACAAATTTTGTTTGCCTATTTTACATCAAGTTGTGTAAAGGGACTGAAAGCTATGGGCAGGGGGTATGTTCACTTGTCTAACACAGACAGTCCCCGAACTCGTAATAAAAATAAAATACAGGGAATCGGAATAAAATTATGGCCTAACCCTAACCTGGTACAAATACTACGGAAGTACCAAAATTTTCATTACAAATAAGAACATGTAAGTCAGTATTCACAATGTCACTCAAAACAAGGCCCAGAACAAGCAACTGTGATATAACTAGAATCACCCATGACATCATAAGACCTAGTTACCTTGAACACTGGCTCACATGTTGATTTCATTGGTAAAACATTAGCAGACTTGAGTTGCCACTTCTTGGCTGGAATTTCACTTGCGGAATCCTTGGGAATCGTGATAACATTTGTGTTCACGTTGGCCCCTTTTTGGATAAGCATCACTGCACAACTGAACAAAAAAATTCCGAAATTATTTTTAGCCAGCAAAAATGTGACAGCAAAAAATCTAAATTTGAAAAAATAGCAAAAACTTAGACATAGACCGGGATTCAAAGAAAGTGGGGGCATGAAGACAACCAATTACATATCGCACCGATTTCCAATGTATAAGTCGAGAGTGATAAAAATGGGTCGCATTAAGACGATTCAAGTCAAATACCAATTATATATCGCACCCATTTCCAATGTATAAGTCGAGAGTGATAAAAATGGGTCGCATTAAGACGATTTAAGTTTGTCAAAACAAACTTTTACTTTTAATTTTACAAGTTCTCTTCATTTCATTATATGACTGTATCATTGCATGATTCCTATTTCATTTGGCTTCTTAGTGAGAACCAGATTATTGCATTACGAGTGGTTTTTCTGGAGTTTTAATAGCCACTGATATTCGAGTAGATGTTGCGGCTTCGAGCAGGTTTGACTTTGAAGGAAAGGATGCCGAATGGCTCTTTTAATGCTCAAGGTTGCTGACCCGAGGCTTAGGTTAATTATGTATTGAAATCACTATTTATCCAAATTCAGCGCGGTGTTAGTTTGAGAAATCATCCGCACCTTGTCTGTCCAGACTTAACCGCCAAGCTAAGCGGTGAATTCCCATCTGAGTCTTGTCTGTTTATATTCGCTCCTCTTTCTACCAGATGCATGCAGCCTAAGATAAAAACATCATTTTTTTATTAGTTAGGGTTACGCAAGACTAACTACCTTTCCTCACCTTATGCCTGTGGAAGTGGATTCGTATGCGTGTGACTAACAAATAGGAAAAGATTTTCATATTTATCAGGGAGAGAGAAAAGGCAATAAGACTGTTCAATCATATGACAGGCCATGAGTAAGGTTACCGGCCCATGCTAGATATGGAATTGGTTGACCTGTTATTTGTTTCAGATGCATGGACTTGATGGTGGAAGAAGGTGTACCTGTTACTAGAACCCCCCTAAAAGGAGTTCAGCAAAATTTTGCACATAATTCGAATCTTCCCATCCACTAGGGATGGGCAATATAGAATACCGAATCCCGAGGATTCGAATCCCAAAGTATTCGAATCCAACAGGATCCGATAACAGGATTCGGTTTCCGCCTCTCTGGCGCCATGCGTCGATTTTTGCATTTCGGGTTTCTAAATATCAATTAAAGACGAGCGTTTTTCTCGCGTGGAAATCTCTCTCGTTTAACTAGACTTGTGTCTGCTCGGAAAGAACCCGTAAAAACGGTAAACTTCAAACACTGTAATCTCAATCAGCGTATTCTGGACAGGAAGTCGGCGAAGTACATCTCATGGCGAAGACTCGTTATTGCACCATTTTTGCGTTTTCGCCGGGCGTCAATTTTTGTATTTCGGATTTCTAATTTATCAAATAAAGACGAGCGTTCTTTCTCGCGTGGAAATCTCTCTCGTTTAACTAGACTTGCGTCTGCTCGGAAAGAACCCGTAAAATCGGTAAACATCAAACACAGTAATCTCAATCGGCGTATTCTGGACAAGGAGTCGGACGAAGACTCGTTATTGCACCATTTTTTTGCGTTTTCCTGCTTTGCTATCTAGCGAGGGTTTAATAATAATAATTATTTGTGCCGACTTACTGGCGATATTCCCATAATCTGATTGCAACAATCTTCAATTGTTTACAGGCGTGCCTTGCTTCATTTTACATTACTGTAAATGATTTTCCGCGACCGGCGAGTTTTCCCCAGAAAATGATGCATGTAAATCAAAAGCCAGGCGTAAAATGTTATGACATTACTTGCGATTAATTTAAATCAAATATTATTTTGGAATAATTTTATTACTTTTATTACACCAGTTTTCGAAATACAAAGTTATATCGCATAACACGACGGACGATCTGTCGCATTTAAATTTTACTCCCAAAAGATTACATATCTTTCGGTCCATTTCTATCGTTCAAGATAGACGCACGTTTGATCGAGAGTCTGTAGTAATTTTATTGGCCGATAAACTTAAAAAAAAGATGCCACATCTGGCGAAAATAGTTACGTATTGAGTTTGAGTAGGGCCAAGTCTGGGTAGATAATGATATGTAACGATAATAATAGAAATTGAATTCGTCTTTAGATGATGTTAACTAATAACTAACTGCGAAATCTCGTTTACGGGAACCTTGTTTTACACGTCTTGATCGCACAGAATAATAAGTTGATTTTAATTGATAGTGGTTAAATTTAATATTTTACACCGGTCGCATAGGTTGCAGTGGCCACACGCTGGTCCTGCATCTAATTAATTCTCAGCGGGTGTGCTTTAGTTAGTACACTCGACACTCTATAACATTAATAATGATTTAATGACATTTCATATCTATTTTTGTATTTAACCGCTTACTATTAAAGTGTTTGAAGCGTAATTTAGCATATAAGTATTTAGAGATTACATACATTTAGAATAATTGAAAGCAAAAATATTGTAATATTCTTAGATTTCATAGTCCTGGGAAATGCCTGTTTAGTATCAAATCTAATGTTAAGGACATTTCCAAATAAATAATACATTTATAATTTTTTGACATCTAAATCCAGCAATCAGGAAAATTCCCTCTATTTGAATAAGTATGAAAATAGAATAGGATTCGGTATTCTGGATTCGATTTAACTATTCTAGAATATTCTAGAATAGTAAATTATTCTACATTGCCCATCCCTACCATCCACACAGGGTAATCTGAGTTGTTATGGCAAGCATATACTCTCTCCTTTGTTGCATCATAATATATTTCTTTATACATACGTAATGAAAGAACAAAAATATTTAAATACCTGATAAATAACGGATTGTTAATAACCGATAACGAATAAACGAACACAAAGTTCCAGCAGATAATTGAAAATCTCGAAACTATTTATATGAAGAAGAAGAATCTCGTTTCAGAGGATTCGCTAGCATGTCGAATAAATGGGCTAAATGTTTCACCCTGACTTAAAATGATGTACCATACTCCCAAGATCTTTAATAACTTACATATCATGGCTCCTTGCATTGAAGCAGCATGAAGCGGCGTTTGTCCATTTTTATCAGCTGTGTCTATTTTATCAGCTGTCATTCCTGATGTGAGGAGAGTCGTCAGCTCTATTGGATCGTTGTATTTGTTGCTTTCAGACCTTAAAATAACGCATTTAAGGAAATGATGATTCTTGAAACTTTCACTAAGACACCAAGAAAAAAATATTCCAGCGGTTATTAAACTTTCTCGGTCAATTCCTCATTGTGCTAAGCATTAGGAATACCCTGGCCCCGCACCTCTGATTACTCTGCGCGGGTTCGCACGTTCGAATCCCATGTGAGGATATGGTAGATATGTGCGAGAGGATTGCTGGACTCCTCTCCGCCGTTGGGTGGTTCACGTACCCGCTGGTCTGTTACGGCTTCCTCCACCATCAAGTCCGTGCTTCCGAAAATAAATAACTAACTAATCACATATCCAACATGGAATGGTAACCGGACTAGAGACCGTGGTTCGCCATATGGTTAAGCCGTCCTATTGGCTATCCTATTATTACTAATATCGTTTAGTTTTTTACTATATGATACTTATTTATACACACATTATAAACTACTTATTCCACAGATAAGCAGAAGCATGTCATACACACTAAATGAGATTCATTGAAGATTGAATAATAAATGGTTTTAAAGTAAACAGGAGGCATTCAACCAAATGAGTTGGGAATGCTGCTGTAAGTTAAGATATTTCATTTAGTCAACTTTAGTACAACCTAACATGTGAAGTGAGAAAGTGTATGAAAGCAGCACCAACACTATTATAATAGGATGGGATAATTCTGGCTGGTCACACCTGAATGCTTCCAAGAAGTAGTAAGAACAGAATTTATTACTGATGAATCGGTTCGTGTGTTCTTACATTTATTGAATATTGATAAAGAATATAAACTTTTTTACTTACTTTCCAATCTTCATGTACGCATAATGCAATGGAATCCTCCCACTATCATCGTCTGCTGTGAGGCTAGCTCCTTTCTCAATAAGCATATCAGGAATGTCGAATAGCGCAGAATTCGGTCCACTAGCGTTCACCGCAAGATGAAGCGCAGAGCAACCGTTGTGGTCACGTTCATTCAATGATGCTTGCTTCTCGAGAAGAGCATTTACAAGATCCATTTCTATGTGAAAGGAAATCGAAAATAAGAACAAGGTGGGAGCAAGAATCTACTAAACATTCAGAGTCTTTAAAAAAACGGAATCAGGCTTTAAATAAGGGGTGCTACTGAAAAGCCTCTTCTGATTTCATTCCCTGAGTCTGCCAAAACCAAAAATGAACTGCAAAAACTTTAAAGAGTCCTATTTTTATAGAGTCTTATCTGCAAAATTTCAACCCTTTTTAGGACCCAGGATAGACAATAAAATTTACACCAAGATATACCAAAAACTATGAACTCCTGTTTGGAGTAAAAATTATATATGATCGCAAAATCAACTCATGACTCATATAAATTTTTGTACTCGCGTAGTATGTGTACCAAATTAGAGTAAGGCCATAATTTTATTCCGATTTTCCTTATTTTAGTTCTATTACGATTTTGGGGGCTGTCTGGGTTAGCCAAGTGAATATACCACCTGCCCATAGGTTTCAGTCCCTTTATACAACTTGATGTAAAGTAGGCAAACAAAACTAGTTACTGCCATATTGGTACACATACTTCTGGAGCGCCTAAATTTTTGACAATGAAAACTTCATTCATATTAATGCCTTTCACCTGACTGAAATTAATAATAACATTGACTCCTATTGTAAAGTTGACAATACAACTCAGTTCAAGGTCAATACATCGATTAATACAGATTAACGAAACCACAAACTAATAATGAGCATGCTGCCCAAACAGTAAAAACAGAAGACAAAAACAATAGAAAATTATTCACGCCTGAGCGAACATGATAAATGAAGCAAAACGAAAGTGAAAGAATGCAGTGCTTGAAATGAATAAAGCAGAACAGTAACAAATTCACTGTGTTTTATTTTAAGTTTAGGAAAGACGTGATAGTCCGAGGGTAAGCGTTTGAACGAGTCGTTCAGGAGATGCCCCTTTTTTGGTAAGAACATCAGCCAATTGTTTTTTCGATTCGACCCAGCTTATGCTGTTGATTTCTTTGTTTTGAATCATCTCCTTCAGCATCCCTATTTCAACTCGTAAGCGTTTGTTGGAAACATTTTTACTGGATCGGAGTGCTTCACATAGTGATCGATTGTCGGTTATGACATCGAGTTGTAGGCTTTTGAGTTTTCCAAAATATATCTCCGCAAACATATCTTTGATAAAAACAGCATTGTCAACTGCGTCTGACAATGACAGTGTTTCCGCTGTGAGAGTACTTTTGGCAACGCGACGAATCCTCTTGGACTGCCAGCTTAGCAGAGAGCATTCATTATTTTCTCCAACCAAGAACACCAAATTGCCACCTTGGCTTCCACCATCTCTCAGGTTACCATAAGCAGCATCAGCGAAGACGACAATCTTTAATAATTCATCATTTCCTAAATTTTTGTATTTCAATGATAATTGCTGGTTTTTCAGTCTTCTTATTATCTTGTTTATATAGAGCAAATCTTTTTTCTTCCCATCTTTAAGGTTAGAAGCAAGCTGACAAACATCATAGCTCACGTCAGGACGTGTCTGATTGCTTGCCCAAAGAAGACGGCCAATATTCGCTCTTAAAATATCTATTTGAGAAGACGAAAGACACTCTGCATCATCTGAGGTCACTTTTATGGTCTCAAGGTTTTTTACATACAATTCTTGATTGATCAATATTTCATCGGCTGATTGTTGTATGTCTAGTCCCAAATATTTGAATGCCTCGTTTTTCTCCGAGCTAATTAGAAATGTTGACCTCAGTTTCGAAATCAAATTGTTCTCAAAATACTCTGTGCCAGACCACAGAATATCATCAACATGAATCCCAGCTATTCCTTGTAATTCCCCATTGCAGTATACATAGAATACTGCTGAATCAGATGCTGATACTTTTGCTCCTTGGTCAACGAGAAACTTCTTTAGTCGATTGTACCATTTGAGTGATGCATCACTTAACCCATAAACACATTTGTTTAGTTTCCATAGCTTGGTAGTTCCAGCCTCTTTGGGAGGCTTTAAAAATATTTCTCTATCCACACAATTTCCCTGTAAGAAAGCTGTTTTAATGTCAATCGTATGAAGCTTCCATTTCTTTTGTGCGACAATGGCAATAAGAACCCTGAGTGAATCTTTTGAACAGGTGGGCGATTCTTTAGCAATATCGTCAGTTTGTTCTTCAAAGCCTCTTGCGACAAGTCTGGCTTTGGGAATGATTCCATCTTCAGTATCTTTCATTGAACACACCCATCGTACGGAAATTGTTGGTTGACCAACATTTTCGACTTCATTGTAGACCTTATTTTGTCTCCAGCTTTTCAACTCTGACTTCTTTGCTTCTAGAAAGTCAACATTTTCCAAGACCAACACATCTTCATGAGTGTTTTCATCCATTTCCTTCTCGTTCAGATTTTCCACTTTATCAAAATCTACGTACCCAGATTTTCCTCTAAAACTTTCTGGATTACAATATTCAACATTGTAGCTTTTCCCATATTTCCCGGTTGATTTACCTGCACGACTAAGGATTTTGGCTTCATAGTCTTCACCAGCTAATGTAAAAGAGACAATTTTGCCTTTAGTCAAGTTGAGATTACGTCTGCCACCAGTTGCTGCTTGAACTGGATTGCCAATTGCACTTTGGTCATTATCCATATTTTCAGAATCATTGCTTTCATTTGAAATTTCTGGAACAGACTGTTCCTCATCTTCTATATGATCATTACCATTAGACGAAGCGTCAATTCCATCATTAGAATCTGTTGGAATGCAAACCTCCTTTGTCCGAGGAAAATCCTGAAGATAACGGTTGGCATGCTGGACTCTGCATGAATGTGCTCTGATTAGCTGTCCGCCATGTCGTATAAAAATAACCGGTCCATCTTGCCCAATTACTTTTGCAGGGCCCTTCCAACGTTTTTGATCCTCTCTCTTATAATAAACCTCTTCTCCCGTGAAGAATTCATCCCGAGTCTGTCGGGTTTGTGTTCGTAATGCTCTTCTTATTTTTTCGGAAGATTCTGATTCAATAACTGCTTTCCTGGCAGCTTGCATTGCAAATATATTATTGGCTACAGTGAGACTTATAGATTCACCTTCCAAGGCAGGTGGGTCATCATGAGTAACTGATGGCAAAGTGGGATTCCTTCCAAACACGAGCTGGTTAGGGCTGAAGCCATTGTTATTCACAAGTGAGTTTTTTGCGCTAACAGCCCAAGCAAGTGCAGTTTCCATATCACATTTCTCAGCTGCCTTAACCTTCATCAATGTTTCTGTCAATGTCCTATTGTGTCGCTCGCAGAGTCCATTAGACCACGGTGAGTATGCAGCTGTCGTCGTGAATGTTATATTAAAATTTCCACACATATCTTTGAACACTTCAGAATCAAATTCTCCGCCGTTGTCACTCAGAATACGAGCCGGACTTCCAAAAATGCTGATCCAATTTTGCATGAATTTCTTTACAATTGTTGATGAAAATTTATTTCTCACAATGGCAGCTCTACTGTATCGAGTGAAGTGATCAATCATATGCAAATACCACATATCAGAACCTAGCTGATGTAGATCGACCGCCACTGTTTGATTAAAATCATTTGCCCATGAAAGTCCTACAACTGGACGTGGCGAAGGTTTTTTGTAAACTTTACATATTTCACAGTCACTGACTGTTTCTTCAATCAGGCTCGAAAGATCTGCATTCCATTTTCCTGCATTCTGAATGAGCTTCTTTAATTTGTCTTGTGACGCATGGCCGAACTGTTTATGCAATTTTGTAATTTCAGCTTTCCCAAATTCTTTATGCCCAGTGCTTTCTGATGCAAGGATTTCATTACGACAACCAACTTCTGCCTTCATTTTAGGCAGTATATCTACCGCATAATGTCCATTGGTAGATAAATGCAACTTAAGATCTTGCTTGAGCATTACCGCACGATCGTTCTGCATGTCAAGTACAGTGCCTGCACGCTTTAGTGTGCTTTTGCTGAGTAACAATGGCAAGTTTTCTTCATTCACAATTTCAACCTCCATTCTCAGCAACGTTCGGCCAATTTGTACAGGAATTATAGCCTTTTTCTCAGCTTGAATTTCTTTCCCATCTCCAAATTTAAATCTCTTCATTGAAGGAAAAATCTCAACTCTGCTCGACAAGTTTTCGTTTAAGAGCCCAAGATAATTCCTGAACCATTTTTTACCAGCTACTGTCTTCGTGCAAGCAGTATCTACTATTGCAGCCTTGGCAGCTTCAACTTCAAAAATATCTGAAGAATTTTCATCTGTTATCAAAACCATTTGTATTTGTTCGCAAACACCATCTTGCGCATCGGAACAATAAACTTGATTCTTCTTATGTGGACATTGTTTGGCCCAGTGCATTTTTGATTCACAAATTGCACATCTAGATATATTTCCGTATTTGTCCCGTGGATTCAGTTGAGCTTTTACTGTCGATTCATGATGCTTGTATCGCTGCTTTGCTCCTCCGCCACTACCGGTGGCGTATCTCGATCTCTCTTTGAAAAATTCTTTCTTAAATTTTGGCCTACCAGTACCGGTATCACGAGTCACAAATGCATTTTCCTTTTTAATATTCGATGCAACATCATCTTCATCAAAATCATAATTCTTTTCATCGCCATCTTGCTTTGAAAGAATCCTTTTTAAGGCTGATTTCATAGATTCGAACTTCAAGTCGCTTCCAACAGTAAGAACCATTTGGCGCTGTTGATCAGTTAGGCCTGCAGCATCTAATATCTTAAAAGCCAGAATGGTATCTGGTAGCTTCATGTCATATTTTACAAGTCTAGCATACCGGTGTTCAAACTCCAGGATAAAATCCACCATTGAAATATCAGAACTTTTCTGATATTTACTAAATAGCGTGTAGGCTAAATAGGCCTCATCAGTTTTCTCTGACTGAAATGCACCATCAAGTTTTCCAAGAAGTTTGTCCAACCCATCATCAGCTTTCAACTGTTCACTAGTTAACTCTGACACAGCTTTCTCAGCTTTATTATTTCCATCAAGCGACTGCAGACGCACCAAAATTGCCTGCTTTTCCTTTGGCACTTCTGTTATGGAAATCCACATGTCCAACTTATTTTTCCATTCTGCATAGCTAGTACCGCCTCCAAACCTTGGTGGTGGTATTTGTTTGGAAGTCATTTTCCTCTGCTACCATGTAAAGTTGACAATACAACTCAGTTCAAAGTCAATACATCGATTAATACAGATTAACAAAACCACAAACTAATAATGAGCATGCTGCCCAAACAGTAAAAACAGAAGACAAAACACAATAGAAAATTATTCACGCCTGAGCGAACATAATAAATGAAGCAAAACGAAAGTGAAAGAATGCAGTGCTTGAAATGAATAAAGCAGAACAGTAACACCTATCACCACCCTTCGGCTTTTTTGTGCCTATTCTTTTCAGAATATTCAAATATTTGGGCAATCACATGTGTTATTACACCAATAGACTGAACAACAATGAACTCATCAGGGAAACTGACAATAGATTGGAATGGAAAGCCATGATCGCCGATGTCTGCAACAGACCTGGCACATGAGGAGAAAAAAGATTATTATAATTCACTAACCCTCCTCCTGTTCTACTGCACACATCAGAGCAGTTCTGCCGTTCCTTGGGTCAGCGGGAACAAGTTTAATGTCAGTGATTGTACGAAGCAGTGCACGGATCGCTGGTAGAAGACTTTTCTCTCCTGGTCTGTGACAAAGAAAATGATGTTTAACCATATTTGCAGAGACAAAGTTCCTTATATATAAAAAGTACTGTAAGACCATGATAATAATTAAATAATGAAGTGCACGTTTAAGAATGTCGAAATATAAATTCTGGAGAGAACGGAACCCAGTAATTTTAAAAGCTTCGTTTATGGATCTTTCATAAAAATAGTTGTGTATACCTGCCCTAGTTATTTCTCTATACTAAACCTTAGAGCAAGTGATCTAATGCATCCATATGTTTTAGAATTCTGTCAACACCACTCACCCGTGTCTTGCTGTTGCCAGGATGAGAGGAGCCATCGGGTATTTATGCTTCTTGTTATTTGAACAAAAGTTCGGTTGAGCACCCGCGTCGAGGAGGAGTTGAACTGCCCGTGAATTACGATGCAATATCGCCATCGTGAGCGGAGAATTTCCAAGCTGATCAAGAACATCGAGTTTTGGTTTGTGACGAAGCAGAGCTGATAGAACTTTGAAATCCTAGGTAAAGAGTGAAATATAAGAAAACTAAAGTCAAACATTTTTTTTCAGTTCAGAACGTCAGAACCAAATTTCAGAAAAATTAAAGTAAACAATGTATTTATTATCGAATATGTTAGGATATCCAATTCATATTTGTGGATGATTTGGTCCGACTACCACTTGCAATCATTGTGGCTTTGCTTGTTGTTACATGGTAATTATTCTTTGTTTACATGTTCGTGTGAGGGAGCTGGTAATGGTGCATTACAGATTATGACAGGGCCACAGAAACCTGTGGATGTGTATCTGCTTCGAGGGTACACTGTCATAACTTGTGAATATAAATCGATGTAACTGTTTTTTAATGAGTTAGGAGTCCAGCAATGTACAATGCAATATTTCTCCTATAATATTACACCCTACCTTATCTACAGCAGCCTTGCTCAAGTAATGTGCAGCAGATTTCCCATCATCTGTGAGGTTTCTGTAACTTCTTCGAGTTTTACCGACCACCATACTTATATCACTCTTTGCAGCGAGAACAAGAGCTTCCAGTAGAGGGCAGGCAATATCTTCGAGAGATTTTTGCTAGATGTGAAAATTAGTGAAATAGACTTGTTGTTTATTAATGGCAGTGGTTCCTAAAGTTGATTGACAAGGGGCCAAAATTAGAAGCGATAGAATATTCATGAGTCGGGAGAGGGGAACGCCTGCAAGTGCCGGCACCGGTATGTATAATTAAGATACCGTTATAACTGAATTGTGGCAAATATACACTCGCTTAAACTGTGATAATAATGACGTACAAATTGGCGATATCTAAAACATAGAAAGGTAAAAAAATAAAGTGTTGAACTATTACCAGAGTTTGGCAGGCCATATGAACCAGTCCGAGGGTCGTAATTAGCCCGCGGGCGGCAGTTCGAGAACCACTGTTTATGACATGTATTCAACCCCTTACTACAAACGAGACAGGAGACTGATGTTCTGTTTTATTTTCGGCAAATAAAACTACAAGTTGTGTCTCATTGTTAACATAGCTTTGAAAGTCAATCCCAATTTGCAACATATCAGCATCGATTCGAGATGAAGTCCAAAACCAGAGCTAAGGACTTCTGACGCTAAGGATGGCTGCACACGTTTAAGTATTAGGAGTACATGTTGAATTATATTACTATGTGTTCTCATGCCTTCTCTCTTAACAAAGGTTCACACAAGTAAAACGATGTAAAAGGCTTTTTTATATCAAATACACAAACTACCACAAATAAATACTACTGGAAGCTTTTCAATGCTAGTATGATGAGCTTTTACATTCTTCGTTTTTTCTTCTAATTCATCACTTTTTAATTTGGCATAGTCACTAAAACCGGTTATATAGACTTTTCTCTATGTAAAACTTATTCCAAAATCTTTCCAATGCCAGAATGTCAAGTATAGTACAGTTACATTTGAATTTTTCAAGTATAACTACAGTAATTTGGCATGGTCCAAGGACCGTTACTACACACATTCATAGGATTCAATTCATACACTGTATCTTTTGAAAATCTTGAACTCCAGCAATTTGGAACATCCTGAAGACTGCTTTTACACACATTCATAGGATTCAAATCATACACAAAAATCATGAAATCTCAAACAAAAAATCAAACTTACAATTTTCTTGACTTCCTCTCCATATGTATCAGAATTAGATTCTGTAGATTTAGGCAGTGTTTGCTGAAAAAATGAAAAATTTAAAATCATATTTTCACTGGTCTGGTACTATGTGCAACTCTTGAATAAAAGACAATTCACGCACTTATTTCTACTGTATTTTTCCTTTCATGTTAAGCGGGGACATTTTAGCGTATGGATCACCAGAAAATTACAAACTTCATGCAATATATGCATAGCATATTTGCGTTCCTCTCACTTGTCGCAAATTTTTTTCATCGAAGCTTTTCGGAGTTTTCAGAAAAACTGCCCTCCAAATTACAATTTTTCACAATAAAATATTTGAATAACTTCTTTATCACAAATTCATTATATAAAAAAGATTTGTTCAATTGACCAAATATTCCATTTATTTTTGATATTTTTAATAACTTACTTCCCCAATAGTCTTTGCCAGCAATAGCAGAGGTGTTAGTCCATATTTATTTCTTCGAGACGCGAGCTCAATCACTGTCTGTGGGGTCTGATAAAAATAAATAGGATAGAAAAAAAAATAAGAATTCATCCAGTCCATACATGGCTTTCCAAACTGGGGGTCCTGACCCCTCACCAGTGGGTCATGAAATGGCTCAATGGGGGTCACAATAAAATCTTTTTTGTCCTAAGTCAAGTTAAAACACAAATATCGATCAAATTTGAAAGATTTAAAACCAGTACTGAGACCCACCATCACCGAAATAGAGCCAAATTTCGATCTGGACGATATACAAAAACATTGTCAATTTCATTATATTTTTCCAAATATTTTCTGTGTCATGAAACGGTACTTTATTTTCATTTTACTCTAGGAGTCCAGCAATCCTTTCGCACATAATTACCCCGCATGGAATTCAGTCCTGCGAATCCATGCAAGATAATCAGAGGTGCGATAGCAAGCGTATTTCTAACGCTTAGCACGATGCTGTATCAAGAAATGCTACTTCATTTTATTTAAGTAAGTACAGTAATCCTCTCGCCAAGCTATGCTCATATCAAGAGTGTCCCTAAAATAAAAAAGTAACATACCCTATTCACAAGTCCAAATACAGTTTCAGCCATATTGCCTTGGTCCCAGTTCTTTGCTAACATATGAAGTATATTGTCACCAACAGCATTAACACTTCGCGGACAATGAGTATCTTTCCTTACCATGAGCTCTATCAGGTTCACGTTCATCTGTTATAGAAAAATATTTATAGATGCTTGTGTAGACCCTTGTACGGGGAGGAGGGCTTTGGGGAGATGGTCTTTAACAGAGGTTATATTTAACCCTTTCCATGCGATTTGTCACAAACCGGGTAGAAAAAAGGCATTTTTTTTCTTGGGAGTTGAAACTTCAAACCGTGATAAAAAATAAAAATATTCGCTAAATCCTTTACTGTTACCGCTTCGTGGTTGGCAAACAGTAACATAATATTGCTGTAGCAATTTCGTGATCTGACTCAAAATACTTTGGTAGATGGAAGGAATAATATGTCTTCTATTACCACCCAAAAACACTGAAATTTGCATAAATTTCAAAAACACTCCCTCATTACGACGGGAGATTTACGTTACGACGGGAGACGAAAGCGAGATTTACCGTCGCTTATGTTAATCTCGAAGAAGACTTCTTATCAATAAACTAAAACCTGGAAAAACTAGACCAACAGTTTGCGACCGATTGCTAAATAAAACAGTGGAGTACATCAACGTACCCGCCGCAATCTAGCGACTTTTGTCGTTGGTACATATACGTGCCCACCGCACGGAAAGGGTTAAGCAATTGTTCCTAAAGTTGATTGGCCAGGGGCCCAACTTAGCAGTGAAAAAGAAATGAGGGCCGAAAAAGGAATGCGCCCACAAGCGTTAGATATCGGTAACGAAAATAATAACCGAGAATATCGGTCAGAGGCCGAAGACTTATCGATCGAAAGTTAGGGGATCCCCCAAAACAGCGCTCTTACTCCATAGTGACACCTTGTGTCCATCACTAATTAAATAATAACTCGCTAATTATACGACATAATTCGACCAAAATCAATAGGCTTCTGGTCCGAGATAAGATGAATGCACATGCAAAATCTGGAGCAGATTCAATCTCGCTTTCGTGAGATATCGCGTGCATCTAACAGACAAACAGACAGACAAACACCTATCAACATACTTACCGATTAAAATCGATAAGTAATAAGATAACAGTGTAATTGAAATGTGACAAATATACACACACACATTGCACTTCAGTTAGGCAGACCATTATAAATCGTTACGCTGGCCGTAATTAGCCCGAGGGCCACAGTTTGGGAACCTCTGGGTTAAAGTGTTTAACTTGACTATGTTAGTATCGCAGGTCAAGCAGTAGATAATTTGAATTGGAATCAACGCTCAGCTCACAGTGCTAAGAATTTCAATTCGCAATGGCAAACTAGAAAGTTCCCCCCGGTATTGTAGATCCTAGCCATAGTTGCTTAGACGGAAAGGTATATAGAACAATGAGATATCTTGTTTTTAAATCATCGAAACATAAAACCCGAGTCCTCCACTGCGAAATAAAAAGGCAACCTTTCTTTGTAGGTATGTAGAAGGTAACAATGTAAAATCTTGTTTTCAAATTATCGAAACATACAACTTACGTCTTCGACCGCAAAATAAAGAGGCAATCTTCCTCTGTAGTCAGCCATATTTAGTTCGGCTCCTTTTTCAAGTAATAACTCCGCAAGATATAAACTAACTGCTCTTTTTTCAATCTGAATAGTCCTAGGTTGAGTACGAGACCAGATGGAGTTGGAAGCGATGTTATGAAGCTGAAAAAGTAAATTTTACAATATCTAATCTTACACACATGACACAAACAAGGAAAAAATTCAAGGTGTGAAATTACCTCATAAAAATTTAAATAAATAATATTTTCCAAAAGAAATATGATTCACTAGAAATATATGCATTAGTTTATGCAATTTCATAAAAAAAGTCAGAGCAGGACTAATAAAAAAACAGGAAAAACAAATTAATGCTTTTCTAAAACAAAACACTTACTGGCGCCATCCCCTGGACATCTTGAGCGTTCACGTCAGGTTTATAAGTGTCGAGTAAAAATGCGATGAGATCGACAAGTTGCCATGACAACGATTCATCAGCGAGAAGCCTGGAAAGTATTGTGCGTCCTCGTTCGTCTTTGAAATGAATGTTTGCAGCATGCTCAAATAATAAGTTGGCAACATCCCGATGGTTTTTGAGGAGAGCAACTCCAATTGGAGGCATCTGAACAATGAAATGTGCTCAAAGTGAGAAATTTGAACCACATAATATGCGAAAGGCCCAACTGATATATGGAGAACCAGCCAACAGCCAACGCAGAGAAACTCTGCTTTCTCAACTACAACTTGACTGTTGAACTGGAGTTATCGAGATTCACAAGCTTCCTGTCCTCACAATAAGTGTTCTTTCTTGCCATGCACACACTTCTTCGGCGCTGTGGCTTTACACTGATAATTTCTAACATGAGGCTACCATGAAAATCGCTAAACTCAGTGATGCAAAAAGAAAGGTGTAAATGTACTTTTTATGCAAATTTTTGTATCATTGCATGAGTTTAACATTTTGTTATAGACTTCATTTCTTTTGCAAGAAAAACACAGAATTCACAAAGTGTTGCTTGTTACTTGTAGCCATCTTTTTAGATGAAGAAAACATCGGTATCAGCTTATCGGCCTAGTTTTAGAAAACTATCGGTATCGGTTTAAAAAAGCAGTATCGGTCGGGCCCTAGTTAAGAAATCGTTCATATCCTATGGGGATGATTAAGTGTGACAGGCTTGTTGGACTTCCCACTGCTGTGGGGTGGTTCAAGTAGCCATTGAGTCGGTTAGGGTGGACCCTAACCAACTAATCCCATACCCAAAATGAATCGTTGCAGTCTAAAAATCGGACTCCACTCCAGATTATCCAAAATTCATACTCCGTCTCCACAAACAAATTTGAAAATACGGCTTCAGTTTCAACTCCAGTTAAAACATACCGAAATATTTGACAATGAGAACCCACCCACTGCAATGGCAATCCAAAAAGATACCAGCCTTTCAAAAAAGGTATAGTTCCTTATGTATCAGTGGCCGCTTGGAAGGTTTAAAAATAGTCCCTTCTTACCTTTCTGTCATTGTAAACATCTGGATTGGCGTTGGCATCAAGTAGTAGTTGAACACAATGATACCAGCCATAACCTGCAGCGTAGTGGATTGCTGAGTTGTTTGAGGAATCCGTTACATTTGGATCCGCACCTATAAGACAAGATGAATTGGTATACTAACACATGAAGGTTGGTTTGTACATGTTTTCAAGGTTTTTACTTATCGATTTTAATCGGTAAGTATGTTGATAGGTATTTGTCTGTGAGATGCACACGATATCTCACAAAAGCGAGATTGCATCTGCTCCAGATTTTGCATGTGCATTCATCATATGTCGGACCAGAAGCCTATTGATTTTGGATGAATCATGTCGCATAATTAGCGAGTCATTAATTAATTAGTGATGGGACACAAGGTGTCCCTATGGAGTAAGAGCGCTGTTTTGGGGGATCCCCTAACTTTCGATCGATAAGTCTTCGGTCTCTGATCGATATTCTCGTTTCAGTTTGTGCAAGGTTTTTTGGTGGATTTGCACTCACTTAGAACACTGAATATTTCACACCGGTATCTCATCCCTAAAAATCAGGGTTTTTCCATATTACCCCTCAATAAGCCGGGCCGAAATATTCGTCAGTTAAGCATCGATTGGCTTTCATAATTTTATATGGACAACTCATATATATTTTGGTGGAATCATACCCATGGAATTGACCATTCTTCCAAACAAAAGCTATAATTTGCTGTCAAAAAGGTGGCAGCAGTCATCAAGGCAGTGAAAGCAGCAATTTAGCTTAAAAAGTTAAACCACAGTCGCGAACAAAAGCCGTAATTTAGCGTCAAAGAGGTAACGGAAATCATCGGGACAGCAATGCATTACCTGCTTATGCAAAAACGCCAAACTCTTGATCACACAGCTCGGCAAGAGATTACTAAGTATTATAATATTGAATGATTTTCTTACCTTTTCTCAGCAGATAAGTCATCACAGGGTAATGACCATTCAGAGCAGAGTGAATCAGAGCAGATCTTTGCAGTTTGTCTGGAGCTTCAATACTTGCGCCACACTAGATACAAAAAATAATAGATTGTCAAAAATTTGTTTAAAACAAGGAAATTAAAAGTACTAATAGAACGGGTGTAAATTTTAGTATTATCAAAATTAGAAATTGCCAAATTTCTCTGGTTAAATAAATCTATTTATATATAGTGGTTCTCAAACTTTATAGCTAACAATAAGCTACAAATAACAAGGCAAAATATTTTTATGTTTAATAAGCTTCACGTCCCCTCAATAAATTGTCTACGCTCCCCTTGTGGGGTGAAGTCATCGTTTGAGAAAAACTTATTTAGAATATATTAAAAATTCCATATTTCAGAAATATAATTTAACAGTGTTTACAGCAGGGGTCGGCAACCTACGGCCCCGCGAAGCATAATAATCCGGCCCGCGGGGCTTCACTAAATTATAGTAACAAAACAAAACATCAGTTTTGACGAATATTCTTTAGACTAAATTATACTATAACCTAACAATTATTTAATTCACAATTACTCGTTTAATGAGAATGTAATTTGATTATAAAGAGTTCAACGGCGCTGAAAATATTCAAATGTAATTTTATGAGATGCAATGAGGAAATAAATCTATATTCTATTGAGAGATGTATCACTGCTTGATTTTTATTAGAAAAAGTATCCGTTTGGTTTTTCAACTTTCTAAAAATATGTGCGGCCCTCCAATGACTTGCAACTTTAATTTTGGCCCGGGAGCGACAAAAGGTTGCCGACCCCTGGTTTACAGAATAGAAGAATGTTCAGATTATATTCAATATAATAGGTTGTGTGACATTAATTTATGTTTCAAATTCAAATAAAACTTTACTTTCCAGAAAAAAACTTGATACCCACATTCACGAGAGCAATGCAGGTCTTCAAATGTCCATTTGCCGCAGCTAACATCAACGGTGTCGCTCTAGCCTTCGAGATGCTGACGGGCCGATCCATGTTCGCCCCATATTTGGAGAGGACTTCTATCACATTCTTAAACAGGATATACAATAGAATTAGGAATATGTTTTACAACCGGAAGGAAATTTGCTTGTATTTGCTGTGGTATTACTAATATTCTTTAATTTCTTTATTATTACTATAATACCTATTAGTGTGCAAATAATACAAGGTACTTAATCCTAAAAATTCCGAATAAAGTAACAGGACGTATGGACAAACTCCAAAGATATTAATAAACAACTTGAACAAAAACAGTATCCGCAGCTAATTTTTTTGAGGTACCTGAACTTGCAAAACCGACACAGTTAGCCCATACATCGGTGGTACATCAATTACTCAATATGGCTCAAAACTTAATATGAAAAACTATGAATAAAAACAGTTTATTTACAACAGCTAGTCCAAAAGCTAGGCTGACGTTTATATATTAATTAGAAGCACTAAGTAACAATCGAGGTCATCATGACATATTTTCATCAACATTTTCAACAGAATTTTACATCCATGAAAACTATAGTCTTAATTTCAGCAGACACAAGTGGGCCGAATGGAACACTTCGGTGAGTGAGGATCCATCCAGCGATTCGCAATTTGCCAATTCCTGCCATACATTAAGCCATAGGTTCTCAAAGTAGGAATGTTACAAAACGCGCTTTTTCGCGCCAAAAAATGTACGCACCACGTCTGCTAAGTACCGTAACGCCGTGTCAGAATACCGCTCATAAAAACGACTACGGACTGCTTGCTGTCGTTTGGAATTCCATGAAATTTGGACATAACTTAGATAAAATGCGCAACTATGATTTGGTATTCGAATTTTTTCATTAGCGCATAAATTTCCCAACATTCGGGGCTTTTAAAAATTACGCTAAAGTTATACGTACTGCAAATTAATGATATTGTCTATGGACACCAATAAAATATATATGGACGCATGTATGTCATTCCTAACTTGATACTTACCAATTTTTATGAAGTTTGTTCAATCAGAACATCGTTAATTATTACCCGCAACGAGGCACTGTCAAACTAATATGCTCAACTCAAGGGTTGATTTGCGACGATCTTCCGACGGCCTCAATGATCGTTGCCAGAATAAAATCCTAAAGTAATCTGAATTTTCTTAGATGTGAGGCACATCGAAAAATTAAAGATTGATATGTGTTTTTTTTTCATATTTATTAAAGTTCTTATTGAAAAAAGTCAATTCGCATACGTTTACGAAACGGTTCAAATTAATTCAAGGCACGAGAAGTATGATCTTAGCACGCGTCTGTCAACGCGCATCAGTTATCGACTGAATGCCGACATTTTCCCTCGCAGCGATTTCTCTCGTTTTGCGTTTCACTAAGCGCGGTAAATCTCCTACGAGTTAAGGAATATTAAATGATAATTAATCGTTCATTAAGGTCGGATATGAAAAACGCTAAATCAGTTAATTGCCGCGTATGCGGGGACTTGCGTAGTGGGAAGATCGTTGCTGACCAGAGGTTATGTAAAGTTCAGAAACTTTCTCGTACATAATTAATTGAAAAGCAGCTAATATCGTTAAAAAGAATTTGTAAACTTTTTTGCATTAGGTTCTTCTATTCACAATAACTTTTCGTTCAAAATTTTTTTCGATTACCTTCAAAAATAGCCGAGATACATTCTGTTGTTTATCGGTCTGACATTCTCGCGGTCACAGTTTTTGAGTCGGCGCAATACAATCCTTATGGAAAAAATTGGCCTATCGGGCGGTACTTAAATGCAGATATCTCCGTTAATTCTTGACCATTTTTCGCAAACTTGGTATTGTTTTCTTATTTTCACTTAGATCTATCCACTGGTGCAGTTTTTATTTAAATCGGATGAACTTTAATTTTTTTGTAACATACCTACTCAAAGTGCTCCCAGAGTGAAACAGAAAGGCTCCGCGAGCTATTAGTTTACTTATTAAAATAATGACTCGGCTAATTTTGTAACTGTCCAAAGAAGCAATAACGACACTTGTAAAATTTGACAATGGTAGCGTCAAATTGTGGCAATAAGGCAGTAATTTAAATATGACATTATCTAGTTCCGATAGAACATTTTTATAAATTAATTGTAGTGCTCCGTAAATAATTGTGAGCCTCTTCGCAGGCTCCATTACACCAGAAGTTTGAAAACCTGTGCATTAAGCTATAGTTGCCACGGACAGAAAAACATCTCTGATTACACAAAATAAAGTAAACAACGCAACCAATGAGAGGATTTTAAGTTGTACTAACCGCATGTCCATGTTGTGCAGCATAATGAACAGCTGCATAATTATTTCTGTCTGGACGTTCAACAACGTTCTCCACATGGTGGAGCATGTTCTTTGAAGCTGACTTTAGGATCAGCTCAACGTTACGATGGCGACCTATGAAAATGAAGATGATATTATCAAGTGACATCAATTCCGTGAAGTAAGTTAAGCTAGAACTATATTTGCCAATTAACTTTGATTTCAAAAATTCTAAATTTGCTCAATTGGTAACCAAATCATTTAACTGCGTTAATAATTAGGTTTCTACGGGACTAACTAACTCCTTATCCTCCATCTATGGTTTTGCGCTGGGGGATCCGTATGCATATACTGCAAGGATGCTATAGCAAAAGTAAAGATAACTATTTCGAGTGATCCAAGAGTTAGGCTGCATACATACATACATGCATTTCTAAACTGTTGAATAACTTAAATTATATAGCATGCCCAGAAAACAGTAGTAATTATGGTTGTTTATAAATTGTATATCATCAATGCATATTTTTTTTAAACTTTTGAGCCGCCGAGAGGTACTGATATTGTATAGATTCCGGATTCGATTCCGCGAATCATACACTAGTAAATACTGGGTGCCTGGAGCAGTTTCAAGTCAAACTGAAGGTCTTAGAAAAGGTTTTGACAGTATACATATAAGAATTGTAAGAGGAATGCACTGTTCCTTTATGTCTCAATGCCACACAGGTTTCGTTCGATTGACTTTCACAAACTTTTCTCCCAAAAAAGTACACAAATATTGAGACAGACCCGCTAATGCAGCCACCATCAATGGAGTCATTCCCATCTGATCCTGTTCTTCAAAGTTGACTCTAAAAAATTAAGAAATGTTTCGTATGAAAAGGAAAATTGAAGCTATCAACATTTCACATATTACTTGATGAATTTCTTGTAAGTGCTATATTTGGAATGTTTTCGGCTTTTTTAAACATTCTTACATTTCAAGTCAGAAGATTACTTCAGTGAATAACACTTGATTTCAAAATACAAGAAAATGTGGTTTCACAGGCTTCTGAGTCAACAGCTATATTATTTATAGGGTGTCCATAAAGTCCCTTCACAATTTCAATTTTATTATGTAGTCAGTTCTCAATATATATTAACCAGGTTTGTTGTTTTTTAATCAGTAATTATTTAGTATTTTTACTTCATTTAATACATCTATGAGGAACAAAAACAATATATGGTGTCGATAAATTCCCTTTGTGATTTTAAAAAATCTCAAGACTTTATGGACTATATTTAGGCTACATATATTCAAATTATACAGTCTTTACCTCGTGCACAGAAATTCCAATGGCCCTGTCCCCTCACAGGCAGCAGCATAATGAATTGGTCGACGTCCTCTGATGTCCGCAGCATTAATGCAATCTCTTGATAACTGAAATTAAAAATGTTTGAGAAATTGGCAAAGTTATGTCAAAAATCTATGCTACATTCAGTATATCATATCAAATAGGATTCAAAATTGAAAATGAGATAGCGATCGGAGACCACCGACTTATCGATCTAGCGGCGCATATCCTTTGCTTTGACTCAATAGCGACACCACATGTCCCATCACTAATTAATTAATAACTCGCAAATTATTCGACATAATCCATCCAAAATCAATAGGCTTCTGGTCTAAGATATGATGAATGCACATGCAAAATTTGGAGCAGAGCTCGCTTTCGTGAGATATCGCGTGTATCTAACAGACAGACAGACAAACAAATACCTTCAACATACTTACCGATCAAGATCGATGAGTAATGATCCAATTTTGGCGCTCCTGTAGTATGTACACCAAGATGGCGCACAACCTGATAACTTTAACCTGGTACACATACTATGTTCAGGTTGTCGCGTCATCTTGGTGCACATGCTACGGGAGCACCCCAATTTCAACCGATCAAATTGAATATACCAGTATTACCAGAAAACCAGGGCTATGAATCCTGGAAGAATGTACACAGGACTACAAGACAGTCAACCTTCTTGGCGCGCAAAACCCCCCCTACCCATTTTGCATGGGTATTTTTAAAATTATTTTTTTGTCAACCATTAAGTCCTAAATCTTCACTCATGGCTTTTGAAAGCGTGTGCTAGAGTTCTATTCAGCAATATATCTTTAAAACACACTCCTCCGAAAAAAAATTTAGCAAGTTTAATGTTCTTTGCATTTTCTTCCAAAATTTTGACTTCAATTAACACCATTAAAGGTCTGACATTTAGAATTCGAATGTTTCAAAATTTCAATATCACTGCAAACAAGCCAAATTCAGACTCCATATCTCTGTAAAAAAAACTGTTAACAATAAAACCAATTTAATAAATTTTACCTGAAATAAATTTTTGATATTGGTTGGATCTGGATTAATCGCAGCTAAATGGACAGGTTGAAGCCATCCATTTGCACTGGCACTCCTCTTCTTGATTTCTTTGTTCTGTAAAGAAGTGATTTACATTGACAAGTATCAAATAAAATAATTTGAAAACCCTGAGTTTAACACTTCGTCCATAGTATTTTCAATCAGGTAGGTTATCACTAGGGCGGGGCATTTTCGAATAACTGATGATTTCAGAATCGAATATTTTTTTCAAATCAAGTATGCGACTATTTATTGTAATTGATCCTGTCAACACATGAATTACTGAAAACATAGAATACATTACTCAGACAGATTGCTGAGCGTTCACAGACAATAAATATCATGTTCTTATCAATAAATCACTACAGAAAAGGATCATATGTCAGAAATGTGTTGAAAAAAGACAGCTTTAATGAAAAAAAATTGGGAAATTCATTTCGATCATTGGCAGAGAGACAAAAACAAGATGGTCGAAATTCGAAATTTTGCTCTGAACCAATTCGAATAATTAACAATTTGATTCAATTATTCTATTCGAAATGCTCACCCCTAGTTGTGACGTAGTGACGTAATTTTTGGATTCTAGCCATTTTTAATAAAAGTTCCTCACTAGAGTACTAACTTAAATGACATATATTCTATTTTTTTCCTAGAAATTCTAGCTACATATTTTCCTCCCTCCTATCATTAAGATACTTTCCTAACCAAAATAAAATAGACTGCGTCTTGTGAAACACTTTTTAACATTAGTGTATACAGTGCCACCATAACTATATATCATTCCTTGGTTGCTCGCAACTTGAATTTGAGGTTAGTTTTCCTTATTTTCGAGTTCATAGGCATGAGACTGTTTGGAGAAAACAGTCATAAAAATTATTTCTTACATTTTGAATTTTGCACTTACTGTTAATCTCGGCATAGGCTCCTCTTGCGACAACGCCAACTCATGCAAATCTGTGAAACCGTGACCTTGCAATGACCCCGGTGAACCTTGAACTCCCCCTGGAACAGATTCAGAATGATTTTTGCGAATGTACGAGATCAAAAAATGTGTTGTGTCAACGTGACCCATCTCCGCAGCATGACAGATGCTTTGAAGAAGAAGATTCTAAAAAATAAATAAACATCACTTTCATTTCACTGTTATTATAAAACATTCTAGAGCAGGGGTGTGCAACTAGTGGGCCAAATGCGCCCAGAAGTAAAAATTGTGCGGCCCGCAGACAACTACCAATTTTGAATGTTGTGCGGACGCGAATGCAAAACCTATACATATGACGTTACAATGTCCTAACTGCTGAAGGGAACAATGCATTTCATAGAGTAATCCACAAAATATTTGTGCCTGCAATTACTATTGAGCCTATGTTAAATAAAGATGCGCCTGCGGTTTCACCCAGTTATTTGTATCCGGCTCTCCTGTATTAAAGGTTGCACGCCCCTGATCTAGAGTATCGGTTCCCAACCAGGGACACAAAGCACTTGAACGGGGGCCACAATGCTATGCGCAAAACTGAATTTCCTTTCTTCTTCTTCACAAAAAAATGTTTTCCCTAGTTTCATTGCTTGATTATTTCATGTGGTGTTTTCACTTTGTTGAGCATGCATTGTTTAAATATAATGGGGTTTGGAGCCTACTGATTAAAATAACAACACTAGCAGATACTAGAATGACAAACAGGAGGGTCACGAATGCTAAAAGCCACGAGTCATAAGTCAATCTCGTTTGAATTGAAACAAATAATACTTACTGTCATAGTCCCATCTTTAAGCTTGGGGTAATGTGACATAAGAAGACGTAAAGTATCTCTGCCGACACCGTGTGAGCAAGCGAATGTTGCGTACTCTAATGCAGTCGCTGTATCGTTTGGCATTCCTAAATGCCAATCCTGAAATTTTGAGGAAATAATTTGACAGTGATATAACGTTTAATGAATCATCTGGCCCAGTGATTCCAAAACTGGTGGTCACGATAAATTTTTGAGGTCGCAAAGATCACCAATTTCACACAATATACTATAGGCTATCTACTGAATATTTCAGACTTTGATTCAAAACACAATTATTAGTACTGGTGCAATACATAAATCTCACGATTTTGAGAAAATACATAATATCAGAGAAGTGGAGCGCTTGCATAATAATGCCGACTCAACAGGGGTTGCAGAAAATTTTAATACATTATAAAGGGTTGTGAGCCTGAATGTTTAGGAAGCCCTGATCTGGACTATTAATCGGACATGAGCATGTGACAAGGGCTGTGGTGTCAGAAAATTGGCTTGGTTTAACCCGAGTCTGAAGCGATGTCCTATTTCCAAAGTCGGGATAAAGAATTTTTGATTTTCGGTGGAGATATTTTCTATATACTCAAAAGGCTCACGAAATGTTCTTATTAACAGTCTATCAAAAAAGGCTTGCATACGCCAAAGTTTTGTTATCAGAATTTGATTTTGTCATAGTTTGGGCTGAAGTCTGAGTGAGAATTTTCAGGAAAAAGTCGGGAGACCATTTAGAGTTTTCAAGAACTCCGCTGGTGGAAAATAGTATATTACTAACTTTCCTTTTTCCAAGATGTCATAAAAGTCAAGATGTCATAAATGCAATGAACTGATTAACAGGTAGTTATGTTACTAGACTGTTGACTGAATAACATCTTTCATTTCCACCAAAGTAAAGAGTGAATAATGATGTTTTGATATTTTTTTTTTAAATACGCGACAAAGACAACAAACCTTCAAGAAAGCATAATTCCCTTCTTTCATTCCTTTACTGATGTCAACAGCAGAGAGATGATCACCTTTGAACCCATTTCTAAACATAAATAAAAAAATCATGAATCCTGGGATAAACGTCTTGCATTTACTGTATTTCCCGGCGAAGTCTACCCAGCAAATAGGACAAGATCAGCTTATAAAGTTTTTTTCTCAACCTCAACATGACGAGGCAAGGAAATCGCAATTTAGCGCCTCTGTTCGAAAGATAGGCAACAACATGCGCTGCATTTTCATCGATTGTTAAATTTTTCCTCAGTTACGCATCAATGCACTCTTTCACTTTGACATGCTGACAAAGAATTTTAAAAAAGAACAAAGAATTTGGAATCTCGGAAATCCCTAATTCAAAAATATTATATCTAAAAATCCAGAATTTAAAATAGCAAATGTAATTAATTTTAGTTTTAATAATCTTCCCCGATTCTACAATATTCAACTTCTTACTCAGGGTCATTCGGGTCTTTCAAAACTTCAGGAGTCGTCTCGATGGAATGGTGATCGTCTACTCGTTTCATTTCGTGCAGCAATGACTGCAGAACACCTTGGTTTGAGCTGAGCAGAGCGTAATGCAATGCAGTGTATTGAACATCTGTTGATCTGTACTGTCTCATAAACTGTGAAGATGAATAAAAGAATTAGAACCCAAGCAGGAGAAGAGGAAAGCTGATAGGAACTCTCTCGTTAGGTAGAAAGTTTAATCATAATCATTTTTGACGCTCCAGGAGTGTGTTTACCAAAAGGGAGGTAATTAATATTTTTCGTCTAATCCACATCAACTTGAGTGAAGGGGCTAAAACGTATGAGCAGATTCAGTTGGTTAACACAGACAGTCCCCGAAATCATATAGAACTAAAATAAGGAAAATCAGAATAAAATTATGACCTAATCCTAACCTGGTACACACACTATGGTACCAATAAAACTGTTTGATGTTTATCCAGGGGAAGGGGAAGTTGCTAGCACCGCTGGTCTGGTTTAAGATTCTAATAAACTGGAGGTACTATCACTCCCGTAGTATGTGTACCTGGTTAGGATTTTCAGATTTTCATTATTTTAGTTCTATTACGTGATCTGGGACTGTTTTTGTTGGTCAAGTGAATATTCCACCTGCCCATAGGTTTCAGTCCCTTTACAGAACTTGATGTAAAATAGGCGAACAAAATTAGTTAACGTCATATTGGTACACACACTTCTGGAGCGCCGAACTGAAAATGCTAAATAGAATAGAACAATTCAATGTTTGTCAATTGGGGAAGCTGATAAGACCTCTGGCTTGTTTGAGAGTCTTTTGAACATACTACTTACATCTGGTGCATTCTGTCTTTCCTTGTACAACTCCTCCAGCTGTTCAACATCTTGCAAAATCACAGCGCGAATTGCCAACTTCGACCAAGGAAGAAATGGACGAGCAGCTCTGAACAACACAATAATCAAAAATTAGATGTAAAATAAATAAATAAAAAATAAATGTGAATTCTTAATTTTAGGAATAATATTGAATATTTTCATTTGATAACATGTTATTTAGAGCAAATATAACAATCCTGTATTATCTATTTCTGATAAGTGTAGGAAATGGAAAATAGAATAAAACTATTTATTGAATTTTTATGCAATTCAATTTCTAAAAAAAAAAAAATATTAAACCGCATGGGCATATTTTTGAAACTGCAATCACCTAACATTTCACATCTGATAATATTATTTCCTGATGTATTCAGAATAGAATGTTGTTCGGTCTCGCTAGTCCCCGAATGCATCACGCGTAAGAAATAGAAGTTTCATTGTATGAAAACTTGAGTTTGTGGATAATATAAAAAATACAAAATCCTCCCAAATCACTGTTTAGGAGTAATATTTTACAATTCCAAATCTAACTCACTGTATGCAAATTAACTTTTATATGTTATATGTCCCAACTTGGGATACATTATAGAACATTATGTCTACCCAACTGGTGGACTGCATTCCGAAACAGACCAGAGTATTTAATTCGGACCGCACCTAATTCTTTATTTGTAACCCCATAATAAACAACCGAATAGTGCTATCTTGATTAGCGAATAATCATCAGCCGGCCGAGGAAGTGCATGTTTGAGGATGTCGAAATATAATTCCTGGAAAGACCAGACCCCAGTAATTTTGACTTTTGTTTACAGATCTTTAATAAAAATATTAATAGCACAATTATTTCAAGGTTATTTCAGACAAGCTCAGTTTTTTTCTGTTCCTGTTTGTAACACGTAAAGTATAATCCACTCACCGGCTATCAAAAGCAGGATCTTTGTCAGCAATCTCAATATCCATGTTGGGTGTTAGTTGGTCATTTCTCGGATGGCTACTAGACACTGCATCAGGACTGTACATGTATTGCACAACGGTGTCTGAGCTGACAATGCTCGCTCCACCCAACTTCTCATCTTGGGCATTGGTGATTTGTAACTAAAAACGAATAAAATAAGATTTTTCTAGAAATATTGTTTTACAACCTACGGGCCGCGACCCAAAATTGGGTTCAAATTATCAAATTCTTATTACTCACCAATTTCTTGGTTTTGCTGTTGCTTTTAGGGCTGAACACAGGAGTCCCTGATGATCCCGGAGTCTGTAAAAAATAATTGAAGAAAAAATGAGAAGACGGGCATATTATTTTTTAGTATTTATAAATCGGCCAAGGGGTTAAGATAACAGGGTAACCACCACATTAGTTAGGCCTAATGTACCAACCAATAGACCAGGGCTTTTCAAAGTGTGCTCTCCCTGCCCCCATTTAGAGGACCATGCAGCAGCTTTGCGGGTCACCCCTGTCTGGGTAAAGGGCGACGGACTTTAAATACACTGTATTGCGATTTGCTTAATTCTTTAACTGTAAGGAATTCAGTATTTTACTTTCCTTTGTCGGCTCTTTACTGATGGAAACACAATAAAAACAAAACCAGGTTTTTCGTTATTGAGTGCAGGTGGCCAAAGTGTTAAGACTTTAGTGGTTTTCAAACAGTGGGGCGCTCCCACAAGGGGGCTGTAGACAGTTTTTTAAAGGGGTGTGAAACTAATTAAAAATAAAAATACTTGTTAGATTTGATCTTGCAGATATCTACATTTCTTTATAATTTAGAGCAGGGGTTCCCAAGCTTCTTTCAGGACGACCCCAAACTAAACTTTCAAGTGTCCAGTGAATATATCCCAAGTCAATATATATATTTTTCATGGAACTTCGGAGCTTCTTTTACTGGACTTTTGAGTTTGGTCATGGGGTGGTATTAAGTAAAATAAGCTACAACAAAACAGTGATGTCACAATAAGCACCTACATTATTCATAGCATAAGCATAGAGCGATGCCTATGGGCCTGTTTTACAGTAAGCCATGCTACAAACTGCTAAATTTAACATGGTTTGTCAAATCCTAGATGGTTTGTACATCCATCCTCTACCATACCTCAGCGACCCCACGACCTGTTTGCGACCCAATTTGCGATTGCAGAGAGCTGTTGTGCTTGCATCTGTCTTTATCATCCTTGGCTTGGAGCATGTTTAAGAAGAGTTCAACTTCATGCTGTTAGTTCAAAGATTCTAGAACCATTCGTACAATGTCAACATGCTTATTGTGAGCTTGTTGTTTTTGAGGTAGGGTTCAACTGTTCGTCGTTTGATCGAGTTGGCAGGCACTCGAAATGATTCGAATTTCTTTCAACATCATGTCATTGAATCCATGAATGGTCGATTTCTTTTTTTGCCTATCGAGTATTGTTGTAGAAGATACAAGCTTCTATGTATAGCATTTAGGGGGGGGGGGTTAAAATCACTGCTCTAGACTAAAGCACATACAAACAAATTCTCACCATCTTTGCCTGGGGTTTTGCCAATCTGATAGTTGGACTTTTGCCAGCTGATACTGCTCCATATCGCCCTCCTGTGGTTTTCTTCCTAGCGGAACCTTGTCCCATTGTTATTTTACCCAGTTTCGGAGTAACAGCGGACTTTTCAACAGCTTTCTTTGACTCGGCCTAGAAATGAGGAAAGCATTGCTTATTATTAAGAACATTTTAAAATTGAGACAGAAATTTAAAAATTTCAAATTTAAAACTACTCTTGCATAACCAACTAAGCATTTTAAATGCCTTGTCTCAAAACAAGCATTTTAGCAAGCAAGTGTGATGAGGCATTTATACAACCTTAAAAACGGCTCTAAATAAGCAGTTACTGATAGGAAAAATGCCACTTTGAGGTATTTTCACACTATTTCTAGATCGAAGGTGTGCAACAAGTGGCCCGCGAGCCACAAACCGGCCCGCCAAGTCATTTAATATGGCCCTTGTCAGCACTCGGTTTTCCCCTAATATGCCTAAAATCCTAATTCTACAGTTCATGGTTTAAAAGGCGCAGGTGTGTGTAAAACAAATCTAGAATTAAATCTATTGCCGCTTTGCCTTTATTTCATCAATTCATCGTGTACATAGAAAAACTTTTTTTTTTGCGTAGCCCTGCTAGATGTCTGAAATTGTCCGATATATCGACAAAAAATGTTGCACAACCCCGACCTAGATTAACAGTCACTGATAAGTATTGTAAGAAGATATTATTTTAGGGGATACTTTAGGATTCCGCTTTTATTGACCAATTTATTATATCCTGGTAGGCCATGTTCCTAATGAGGGCAATAGCATGGCATGAGTTTCCTTACAGATTCAATTTATTACTTATCGATTTTAATCGGTAAGTATGTTGATAGGTATTTGTCTGTGATATGCCCGCGATATCTCACGAAAGCGAGATTGAATCCGCTCCAGATTTTGCATGTGCATTCATCATGTGTCAGACCAGAAGCCTATTGATTTTGGATGAAATATGTCGTATAATTAGCGAGTTATTAATTAAATACTGATGGGACATATGGTGTCACTATGGAGTAAGAGCGCTTTTTTGGGGATCCCCTAACTTTCGATCAAGAAGTCTTCGGTCTCTGACCGATATTCTCGTTTTGTTGTTATCAGGATTTTTGTTGTTGTAAAAAATCTTCTCAGTTTATAGAGCAATCACTTTTAAATTTTCGGTATGATAGAGGGCTATTCCTTTTGTTTTTGAAGCCTCCGGGGCCCGAAGTATCATCCGAACTTCAGTTTCCTTTTTATTTCCAACTCGAAGCTTGCCTTAATATCCATATACTTGAGCATTATTCTCTCATTGAGACTGGGATGATCTTTTACAGATTCAACTACCCAACTTATATAGAACTATTTCCTTACAGATCTAGCTCTATCGGGACAATAATATCTGAATAAAGTAGTAAAGAATATTGTTAACCTTTCTCCCTCTCTTTGTGCTAGGAGTGAGAGTTGCAAGTGGGGCGTCTTCATCTTGAAGAACTGTTGAAAAAATAACAAAGAATTAATATGTTTTCTGCCTACAAATCACGCCATGTGGAATTGGGGGAAATAACAATCGACTCAAAGTTGGAAACAAGTTTGAAACTTCAGCTCTAGACTGATGTAAATTTGGTATCTTGTCAAATTTTAATAACAAAACCTTCTTTTAAAGCAGTGGTTCCCAAAGTTGATTGACAGGGGGTCAAAGTTATCAGCGGAAGAATATTCGCGGGTCGGGAGATGGATGCGCACGCAAGGAGCTGATACCGGTTTCGTATAATTAGGAGTTATATTTAAACTTCAACTCCCTATTACAATTCCGACGAGAAGATTGAAAATGCCCCTGGATTAACTGAAAAAAAAACATGCCAACCTCTTTCAGGTCCTCCCACTTGTTTCGCAGAAAGTTTCAAACTTTTTCCTTTCTTTTTAGGGGAATACCCTCCAGCCGAGGAAGACCCTTCGTCCTCACTGTCTGAGGAGATTTCTTCCACTCCCTGTAAAGACTTTTCAAGCCGATGAAGAATCTTTTTCTCTTGTACCTGAGAGAATATAAAGAAAAAAATTGTGAAGTCGATGTTTGAAAAAGGTAATTCACACAAACCAATGTGTAATCAATAAGTTTGAATTGGAAAAGCAGGACAGGTGAAGGCCAGGCAGTGTGGCGTATCGTGCCAAGCGTTAGAAATACCATCGGCACCGCACTTCTGATTAGGTGGTTTGAATCCTGAGGGGGACAATAATGTGCAAAAAGATTGCTGGATTTCTCGTCACTGAAGGGTGGTTCATGTAAACGCCGAGTTCGAAAGCTAACAACTAGCTAACTAATCCCATACGCCATACCCAACATGGACTAGTAACAGGACAAGAGGCTGTAGTCTGCCATATGATTGAGCCATCGTAGCACCTCTTTTTCCGCTTATGGAATGTCTTAGTCGTAGTAAATTGCATGAATAAGCGTAAACAAAAAAATTAAATAGCCAACCTCTGGAAGTTCAAACTTTCCAGCATCCATTTTTTTCAGGCTCAAACCGGAATAGAGAACGGCCTTCTCATGAAGGAAATCAAAATATGATTTTTTGTAAATGTTCGGTTCTTCATGCTTGTCAAACCATTGAATCTTGAACGGTTTCGAAGCGTTGAATATATTCATCGGACAAGAGCAGAGATAGTAGCCACCTAATGGTTCAAACAAATGAAAACAATAATACTTTATAGCCATGAATGTAACGCAACAACGTATTCCCCAAAGAACATAAAAATATTGAAAGCAATTATGAAGCGAACATAATACCAGAAGACAATCGAGACATTAACATCTTTAACTACAAAAATATTGGAAGTAAATGGTCCTTTTGGTTGGAGAGAAAAAGGTTTATTTATCCCAATAACGATTAGTACACTTTATGTTTAATAAAGCATTTCAAAATGTTACAATCAATCTAAAAAAGTCTGAAATGATAAATCAAAAACATTCTTGGATAAGACGTTTTATATCCATCCCAAGAAAAGAGAACTAAAAAGCACTAATTTGTTGAAGGAGCATTCCCAATAGACAATTGGTGAAGTCTAGCAAGTTTTCCCAGAATCGGGAACTAGGATGGAGGTCAAAAAATTCCCGGTACTCCCAAAGTATGGCTGACTCCCCAAGATGGCAGACACAGGAACGTAATATGTGTACCAGGTTAGGGTTGGGCCATAATTTTATTCCAATTTTAGTTCTATTACGACTAGACGGGGACTAGCCAAGTGACTCTCGTAGTATTTGTACGTGAAATTATGGCCTACGCCAACTCTAACCTGGTACACATTCTACGTTCCGGTGTCCGCCATCTTGGTTCACATACTTCGGGAGTACCCAAAATTTTCATTGTAAATCGTCTCACAACCACAGCTTTGACCAATAAAAACCTTTTCTGAATATCATTATACTCAGAAATTTTAAACATTCCCGTTTGACTCCCGAGATTTGATGATAAAACATACCGTCTTCATTTCTCACAGCCAGAACTTCTCCTTTTGCGAAGTAAGGTTTTAATTCTGGCGTTTGCATGCCACTAGGTGTTGCCACTTGAACAGAAGGATCAGATTTCTTTGGTGTTGGCGTAGTTGGTACACGGCTTGGAACTTCATATCTGAAAATAGAAGAGTTGTTCCACCTGAAGTCCCATTAAAAGGGCGGCAGGTGGCGCATCCCCCTTAGCATTAGTGATATGTTTGCCGTTGCACCTCTGATTACTCTGCATGGATTTGCAGGTTTGAATCCTGTCGTATGGTGGTTCAAATAACCGCTCATCGGTGAGGGCTTCCTCCACCATCAGGTCCATGCACCGAAACAAATAACTGGCTAATTCCTAATTAACTAACTAATCCCATACCCAACAAGGATTAGCAACTAGACAAGAGGCTGTAGAATGCCATATGATTAAGCCATCTTATCGTCTTTCCTATCCCCTTGGTATAAAAGTATCGTTATCGATCTCAAGAGGCCTTGCATGTATTTGAATTAGCATGCACAAATTGCAAGAAAAACTCACTCATAATACAGGGATGACGAAGCAACATGTCTGCGAGGTCTTTTTGATTTTTGACGAGTGGAAACTGCCGCTGCTCCAGCACCTCGCTTGTCTGCCTGCTTTGTTCGAGATTTGCCGCGAGTTCCTCCATCTGATTCTGAAAGTGGAAAGAGGAATAGAGCCAGGAATGGTCAGAGTCAAATAAATTACTAGCATTTCGAATAGCAGATTACTCAGTTTTTCTCTCAATATTTTCTTTTCCCAATATACTCCGGATACATAATTATTTGGGGTCTCCCGAAGTACTTACACACAAATACTTCTAGTGGACGAAGCATACTGATTTTTGCATATATTATACCCAACCCCCACCCACCTGACTACATCACTAAGACGTCACAAAGCTTGCCAAAGTATAGCTGCGATACAAATGTCCAAAATGGCATCTGTGTCGGCTATAATGAACTCAGTAGCACAAGTGATCTTTCTCATCTCATATTTGTATCGTTACGACATATCGCAGTGACGTAATTTTCGAATTACGAAGTCAGGTGCGGGTTTCGACATATACAAAAATTGTTAAGCCATGCCAACTAGGAGTACTTGTGGGCGCGTACTTCGGGAGACCCATTATTTGTATTGCTAAAGGCCTGGGAAACCAGAGCAATACAGTTTTGTTGGAGCTTGAGATGAAACTAAGCCTGATAGATAGATGAAAATGGAGCAGTACGAAATTTAAGTGGCTCTAGCTCCTAACGGTCTAATTATTTCTTATCGATTTTAAGCGCTAAGTATGTTGATAGGTATTTGTTTGTCTGTCCGTCTGTTAAATGCACGCGATATCTCACGAAAGCGTGATTGAATCGGCTCCAGATTTTGCATGTGCATTCATCCTATCTCGGCCCAAAAGCCTATTGATTTCGGGCGAATTATGTCGTATAATTAGCGAGTAATAATTAATTAGGGATGGGACACAAGGTGTCACTATGGAGTAAGAGCACTGTTTCGGGGGATCCCCTAACTTTCGATCAATAAGTCTTTGGTCTCTGACCGATATTCTCGTATTATTCCATTGATACTTTTTTAACACTTTACACCAGTGTTCACTATTAGCGCACTTTTTTGCGAAAATTGCGAAGCACTTTCGCAACTTTTTTTAGGGACTGCGAAATAGCACTTTTTTCCGATTTTGAAGAGAAATAGCACTTTTTCCGATTTTGAATGGAATAAAAATTCAAAGTTAACAAATATTTTCGAGTATTAAGTTGACAAATAAGTAACATACCAGTACTTTTGTAACTCAATTCTGCATATCATAACCATATTTACCGGAATTCTAACCTATGAGATGCAGACATAGGAGATAAAGCTTTTGCATTAACGGCAAAATTCTTGTTTATACTATGATTATTATACAAGCACACCGATTCCGCTTCTCCCGCAGAAAACGCTCCCAGGTGATTGAAACCAGATGTTGGAATAATACACAGTGCGTTTCTTTGAAGAGAGTGGTCATGTGACTATTAATGTTATCGATGAATTCAAAATGACTATAAAAGTGTTATGTGTTATAGTCACTTTGGATGAATTGTAACCAAACTGCACGATTTTCAAATCAGACGAAACTTTTAGCAGCATGTCACAGATTTGCAAAATCACCAAATTCACAAAATACCATTAAGTGCCATTTTATTGTAATCACAATGTTGAAAGGAGTGGCATTTTCCGTAATTTGCAATATTTACACAACTATTTCTCATTGATATGCCAGGACGGGTGGGCAAAATTCAATATTTTTTTGAATCGAATATTTTTAAGGAGTACCTAATAAACGTGGTGGAAACATTAAAAAATCAGCAACAAAGCCTTTTTATTGGTTAATTCCGTTGTAATCGCTAATTGTTCTTGTCACCGATCGTTTTGGCGGCGATATCCAGGTTTTGGGTAATCTTTATTCCCGCCCTCTCTTTTTTACAAATATGAATTCTTGTGGGTCGGCGGACATCGAAGTTTAATATTTCGGGTTTACCCGTTCGTTCACATCGGCAACAGCTGTTGAAGACATTGAGGACTCAAATTAACATTTGCGTTGGCTTTAATATTACCTATCAAGATTTGTAAATTTACCGTCCCAATTTTATGCGAATGGTAATATTATTGTCCATACCGTGATGCAGATATTTATTAAATCTGAAATTGTGCCAATCCTGAATGTTGATTTAAAATAGTGATTGAATAATTCGGCAATAAAGGCATTTCTGCGTGGTCATAAGACGAGATGACGTTAATGAACAGCACTTCTTTTACAGGATATTTTACGTATGCGACTTAATGCTAAAAAGATTGGGCTCGAGTGCTTTTTTTTCGAGTGCTGGAGTGCCTAATAGAGGTCAGGCGCTAATTGTAACTAATTCCCTCAAGTTTCAACATGTTTTCAACAAAACAATACCCCGGCGATAATTATAGCTAAAATGTTACCGAGCAATTCACAATTTTATTTATGGAATTTGCAAATTCACCAGTTTCTTGACCATTTTGATATTGCCACGCCCTAATTATTAGTGCAAAAAATACTCCCCTCCTTCGGCGGCGGTTTGACGGGTTCTTTGTTCCATTCTTCAGAAAGTTCTGACAGGGGGGATATAGAATACTGAATCCGGAGGGTTGAATCCCTTTCCACTTACTGGTGATTTTCCGTTTTGAAATGCGTGAAACATTCTCTATTTTAAATTAAATGACCTTTTGCGGGCTAGAGTTCTCCCCGAAAATGATGTGTTCCAGAGTTAGTTAGACGATAGATAAAACATTAGATTAATAATTTTCGTGACGCCCCGTTTTCGAAAATACAAAGTTATATCGCAAAAAATGCGTTATGATACATTTGGAATGAATCATTATTTACGGTTAATTCAGAATATTCAGATCATATTTTACTCTTCATGACACCAGGTATCCGAAAATACAGTTGTATCTCGAAAAATGTGTTTTGTTACTTTTAAAATAAAACATTTTTGCGATTAATTTAGATCATATTTTACTTTTCAGGACACCCGTTTCCGAAAATACAAGGTTATATCGCGAAAATGTGTTTTGTTACATTTAAAATAAAACATTTTTGCGATTAATTTAGATCATATTTTACTTTTCAGGACACCCGTTTTCGAAAATACAAGGTTATATCGCAAAATGTGTTTTGTTACATTTAAAATAAAACATTTTTGCGATTAATTTAGATCAAATTTTACCTTTCACGGCAACCTGTTTCCGAAAATACAAAGTTATATCACAAAAAAATGCGTTTTGTTACATTTATTTTGCATTCCCAATAAAATACATATTTTCCCTAATTAAGGTCGTCGATGAATCTGTTCCTGTCGTTCAAGCTCGACACACGTTTGGACGAGTGTGGGGCGGTTATTTGGTCGACGATAAATTAAAAAGTTGCCACACGTTATTTGTATAACGATAACTGAAAATTAAGATTTTATAATAGAAGTGAATTTGTCTCAAGATGGTATTTTACGATTCCTGCCAACAGAAAATAAACACGCTGACAGGCTTGGTTATAATTGATATTCGTGTAATTTATTTTACACTATTAATAAACGCGCCAGACCAATTGCGACCATATAAATTGCAGTCGCATCGGTATGGACTGTATGTTTTTGGCGCTCTCACATTAATGATAATTTTCAACAAAACAATACCCCGACGGTCATTAAAGCTGATTTCGTTACCAAATAATTCACAATTTTATTTACGGAATTTGCAATTTCAAGATCTCACGTGACGATTTTGATGATGTCATGCCCTAATTATTACTACTTGAATGCCTCAAAATACAACAAATGTAATCATTTTCGACGATAACAGGCGCAACAATTCGTAAACGAGCCGTTATAACGAAATTCGCGATTGATTTTACCTCTCTCTTGTTTACAATTTTAACATCCCGCCGGCCACGTATGGTCGAATAAAATGTTCACATATTAGAAACATGACTTGGCCAAGGATGGAAGGGATCACTAAAGTACATACCCGAGGCCGAGGGTATGATATTAATATCGAGAATATTTGTGAGCATATCACAGGACGAAAATATTTTGCACCCGGCTGTTTGTTGGCATAACAACGATACGCTAAATTTAATTGATCGAATACAGGGAAGCATTTATTTATCATCTCACTTGCGAACATCGAGGTTTTGACGGAATTGTACGATCATGTTGTCTTTCCTAAATAGTAACTTTTTCAAGAAATGTTCATTTTACTTTTGTGTCTTTATTATATGTCGCGTTTTCATTTATTTTAAATTCGAAATTGTCCGAAATACTCCAACAGGTGTATAAGTACAATAATAATAGTACTTACCAGGGAAGTTTAATACACACGATGTGTAAAGGGCGTCGTAACTCCCGTTTATTAATTATAAATTTTTTTACATTCTGCTTAAAAAACAACGGCAGTCATCTCACGTAACTCTCGCGACCAAATCTTTTTTGTTTTGTATGGCATCGTCTTGGCGACGAATTTATTGCCGACTGAGTTTTAATTGTGTTTTAGGATAAGTTATTTTCTGTTTGTTGGTTTCTAAACTTTACAAACTTGGGTAGCAATTACTATTAATGTGAGATTTGTGCATATGAACGATTGAATATCGCGACTGGATGTCCGATATCTGAGAATGCGGAATTTTCTTTCAACATTAATTTTCAGGATATCAGCGTTCATGTGGTCGAATGAAAATTATTCATCAAATGGATTGGTATTTCGAGACACTCTCAAAATTATTTGGGATCCACTATCATATCATTCGTTTATTTTTTATATTCATGTTTTTCTCAAGAATCACCCTGGTTATATTTAGTGTACCTTCGCAAAAGAAAACTCTTTGGTGTCATCGTTCCTATTAGTGTAATTGAAATATATGGAAACCTCGCAAGTAGCGTTGTGATGCGAATATTTGATACTAGGTCAGCAGCATTACAAAGAGTGCTATTTATGAATGCTGAAAGTACATGACATTACTAAACATTTTGCCAAAATATTAAGTTTTCTGCCCGATTTAAACTAACTCGCACACAAACCAATGCATGTCGACATTTAAAAATTACTTGTCTTTGGGTAAGCTCTGAAATAGTATAATATAAATGTAAATGAGGAATTAGGTCACGCTAGCTCACGAAACGGGAGGATTTTCAAAGTGATCTTGTGTAATATTTCGGAGAAAAAGGTTTGAAAGGAAAGTAGGTCAACCTATTTCCTAAAACAGGGGAGTGTCCTGCGTAATATTTCGGAGGGAAGGTAGGTTAACTTAGCTTTTAAAACAGCGGGTGGCGACTTTCAAAGTGGTTCAAAATCACAAATTATTAATAATTATCAGATTAGGTTTAGGGATAAATCGAAAAGTTGAATTTCCAGCGCACCTAACCCTAATTAGTTGATTACTATTTTTACTGGGGGGTGGGGGGGATTATTTTGCACGGGATTTGTACAAACAATCCACCCTGTAACTAATATGGTTTCCAGCCTGCCTCGTGTCTGTTAGATGGAAGGAGTAACCAATGTGAAAGTCTTTGCTGTTTACGCGAGTAAGCAACTGACACTGTGATACATTGCATGAAAGTTTTGTCCAGGCAAGTGTTAGCAGATGTCATTTCGTTGCCGATGAATTCGCTAGTTTTAATTAAACATGAATTCGCTTAAAGGGAACTCCGTTAACGAAAAGGCTTCTCTTTAATTCATAATATTAACCGGAGGAGCGCTTTTTTGAGTATCTATGCGGTTTTAAATGGGTTATATGAAAGGCTAGGGCACCTAACTTGTTAAAATCGGCAAAAGCACTTTCGCACTTTTTTTTTCGACTGCGAAGCACTTTCGCACTCATAATTTGCTTAGAGTTAACACTGCTTTACACACATAACAAAATCTAGGACTTTAGTTTATTATTTCCGTTTAAATATTTGATTTAAATAACATCTGGAATCCTTTTTATGGGCCGTCGATGCTTTCATTGAAAACAATTAACAATTATCCCCTTCCCCCCAGGAAGTAATAAACTTCATAATTTCAGAATAATTTTTTCTGACTGAGTTGTAGATCAAATACCTTCTTCCAGTTCTTGTTGATCATCAGTCGTTTCAACTTCCATCTGTATAGCAGTTGCGTCTATTGTTGTCATTTCTTCAAGCTGTGGAAGAGAAAAAACACAACAAATTATTCACCGGTTAAGTCTACTTTTAAAATAAATGGAGATATTTGTTGTTCTTGGAGAGAAATTTTCCTTGTATTTGCTTCATAGAGCAAAGCCACTGTATTGGCGGAATCACAGATACCAGCATGTAATCAGTGACCAAACGTCTGAGTCTGTGTGCCAACTTATGGAAACTGTGTAAGACCAGGGGTGGGGGCAAGGTTTTTGAACCAAGGGCCAAAAATTTTGCTCATCTAGACTGGGGGGTCATGTAAAAAAGTAACATTTTATGCAAAATTTTTACAGTTTTACAAAAGCAGAAGTGGAAAACAATAAGCCTCGTGCTAATACAAAATCTAATCGCAATCTTAACAAATTCCTTGAGCTATTTTTAAGCTGAAATCGCAAAACTTGGTTTTACTTTGGTTGTGGAAGCATTGGGCGACCAGACTGAATTACCCAATAGGCCAGATCTGCCCATGTTAGACCTAGACTGTTGGTGTGCAACTGACAGAATGGCCTTGGTATTAATAACATTCTTCTAAGTTTTTTTATCCTCTAATCATTATTTATAAGCACACATTATAAATTACTTGATAAAAAAGCGGGAGTGCGACTTGCGACACTAGTTGAGCATAAAATTTTCAAAAGAGGCGAGGGGACAAATTTAACGAAAAAGGTGGACAAACACTGACAGAAGGATATATGAGAAATATGGCAAGGGTCACAGCTGAAGGTCTCAGGTTCTCAGGCTTGAGAATAACGCAAAATTATGTGCTTTCGGCAACAATTAAAGTATTTACCTCCTGTTTAGGTGATATCTCCTTCTCTTGTTGAATGGTCTCCTGGTCTGCATCACCGTCTAATTTAGTAGAAAAAAAATAATGGAAGTTTATCAAAAGTTGGGCCCTTAAACTTAAAATTATCAAAGCAGAGGTTCTAATTTTTTAGAACATTTTTTTTAGAACATAGATTTTTGTAGATAAAAATTCAGAAGAGGAAGCCCAGGCCAAAATATCTTTATCTAAAAGTGAAGTACCAAAGACTAAATTATGATAAACCTCGTAGTTGCAGTCATATTTTTGAAATCAGGGTCAAATATTAAAGAAATAACAAAATCATGCTCGAGTCTTGTTTATGTTACAGAGAGATTAAAATAAAACTGTCAGAAAAATATAAAATCTTTGTTATATTACCAGTTCCAGCCGCTGTTTCCTTCTCGGTATCAGAAGCCACTTTCTCCCCAGAAGAAGACATCGTCTGCAAAAAAAAAAAAGTCTTCTGAAGATGGGACACATAATACTTTTATATAAAATTAGTTTCCCCGAGGTGAAATACCAGAGCTCCAATAATAATAAATGAAACCAATGCATAAAGAAATGCAGCGAAGCGTCCATATAACAGAAGAAATGATCTGATTAAATCAGATAATAGCTGAGTGAATTGTATTTACTGGAGACACATTTTCAAACTCCTGAGAGCATAAATTTTATTCTATCATCGTTCAAAGACTGAGATAAAAATTTTCACAACTGGGAATGTGAAGACATGGTCATATTACTCAACTATGCAACTTGGAATACAGGAATAGGAAGCTAGATTAAAAAATTTTAAAACCCGTATTCGGGAATTGAATATAATTTTCCCCATTTTCACATGATGGTGTTTAGCGAAATTGACAAATAAAGAATTGACACATTCATTCTCACCTTCTGCTGTTAATAACCAACAAAGTCTAACAAGCTTTTCAACTCCGAGCAGGTAAAAATTGAGAAGATTTTTCAACCAATAACAATAATTCGAAGAACACTAAATCTCCAACTTCGTATAAACCAATGCATTCAACAGACGTTTAACTAGTCAATAACTTTGAAGTGAAGTAACAGTCATTTAAAGCCTAGAGCTGTTAGGCTGTAGAAGAATTATCAATTTTAACATTTTTTCCCAATATTAGGGATTAGAAGAAATGAAGTCGTAATTGGCATTTTAAAATGTTCTCATCTTTTTCCTACTTTGGTACCGTAAAAGCGCCTAACTTCGGACAGTTCCTAACTTCGGACAAAATTTTTGAACGGCCATATCTTGGCTAAAACGCGCCGTATATTGCTAATTTTAATCATTATAGGTTGCGCTGTTATATCTACATCTATTCTCATCTTTTTTAATGTTGCATAATTATTTTTTTGGTAAAAAAACGGAAATTTTGCCGAAAATTGACTGCCCGGCATTCAACGGCGCAGAGCGTCGCTCCTACTGAAGCTATCGTCGTCAAAATACCATCATTCGGTAGAGGGCGACAACAATGTATATAATTTATTTGAGTGATCGCAAGATGTCGTACGAGATTTAAATGAAACCTAAAATTCTGAATTATAAATTCCGTAAAAATATTAAGATTTCAGGCAGCGTCAAAAATTACGTCAACCTCACGTAGATTATTTTTCGCTCACTTCCGACACGACGTCACACTGCGTCGCGGAAATGAATTTTGACGCCAGACACAACGGAGCCAATATGACAATTTCCGTTAAGATAAAGACGGCGTTTCAATCTAATATTTTTGTATTTTGTTCGGTCATGTATGAATCTATGCCAAAATTACATTAATGAAAATACATGTCACACTTAATCGATGACGTTAAAAATCGAATATATAATGAACTATGATAATTCCAACGTCCATATGGCACAGTGCACTGACTTAACCATTATTTTATGATTAGTAGTCGAAATGACAGTTATTGAATACGGCCTGGGTGAATTTTATTCACTCGAAATTAAAAATAAATTTAATCTCCAACAAATAAACGGGACCTACATGTTTACAAGATTAAGTTGAATTTTAAATTAAACTTTACAATCGGATTTACCGTGTGTTTGATATAAATTATCATTTATAAAGATAACCGCGCAGAATAAAAAAAGCTATCCGTCGAGAATATTAATACTTCAAAGACTTCGATAGAAGCCCGTTAAAATACTTCATTGTGGATTGAAACGGTTTGCATCAGATATATTTACGTATGCATTTCCTGATTAAAATGACTAACGTGTTATTATACTCATCTGAAGTATCGAAAATAACGAACGAAAGATGTAAACATAGGACGACGGAAGTTTCAAATAATGCATTTTCGTCGTGACGTCAATGTTACGTTACGACGACGACGATCGAGCGTCTTATCTTCACGCAACGACGTGATTACGTCATCCGCATCGGGAGCCTCTTTCTCTCTGTGCGTCGCGGTTACGCAGTGAAGAAAATGACTGTCCGAAGTTAGGGCAGTGAAGGATAACGGTCAGATGGCAAGAAATATCGATTATTTCAATAGTAAAAATAGTCCAATTGAACCGAAATTTGCAGGGAATGTGAATTACCGCACGAATGTTTTACCGAGCAATTTTGGCACCGTTTGGACAATAAATGGCCGAGTTATTGACGAAAATATAGTAATTTTGTCCGAAGTTAGGCGCTTTTACGGTATCTCTTGTATGTATAATATTGTAATGAGCAGGCAAGCTTGATTTCAAAATTTATAAACTGATTTAAAAAAGTCATTATACAGTAATATGTGTCTACCCAGCGAAATTTAACACCAAATTATGTATTTGGGAAAATGACAATTTTCAGGGTTATTTTGTTTGCAACAGTATATAGATTTTATTTTGATTCATTCGCAAAAAATAAAATAATAGCCTACACAGAAAAAGAGAAAGGCGAATAATTTGTGAAAAAAAACTAAAAATAAGTTTATAACTTATTGAATGCGTTCACTCATCGAAGAAGAACAACAAACATAAACAAGAATATAAACGGTTGGTCATTATTCCAGTATTCACTGATTCAGGCGTCTTGACTTCATAATAAAATCACGTACAATTAGACTACTTACAAACAAATATAACAACATTGATTCGAAATTCCCACAAAAAAATCCTTTAGATATCGCTACTCAAAACGAACAGCGAGCCTTAGACAATAACGTTAACAGAGAAGTCAAAATGCAACATTATACAATACAGCAATACCGGTACCCGCGTCCGGCAATGTGCATTGTTTTGCAAAATAAAAACACAAAATCCCGCCATTGTCGACACGTGGATCACAACGCCAACTCGCGGAAGAGTAAACTTCTTCTTTTTTCTTACTACAGCACGCCATCTCCCGGATATATTGAGAGCGCGAAAATTTACCACGCCCTTCGGTTTGAAGCATCTATACATGCAAGAAAAGCGCATTTGAGCGCTCAAAATATAGAGATACTGCGAGAAGTATTTTAGGAATCTAACTGATTCATTTTTAAAGTGAAAATGTAGTTAAATATTCTATAATCTGTGTTTGAAACAGAAAAATTCAAAAAAGCTTTTACATTAGCGTCATCTCGCGGATGAGCGATCGATCAAACTGCGCAGGCGCAAAGCTGCGACATCTTACGGATTTGTCTGACGACGTCACATCGTCTGGCTTTCGCCATCTACCGTGTTTGTTTCTCACGTACGCATTTGTTGGTTCTGTCTATTTTGGACCGAGTCGGCCATATTGATGTTATGCGGAAGATTATTGTGCTATAACGAGCGAATTATGGCGATTTGTACGATATCGAATTGCGCAGAAATTTGCCCCATACATACATAATACAATGTGCTATAGATACAATAACCCAGAATCTCTTTGACAAAAACTAACAGTTTATCTTATACCAATTTATGTAAAATTTCACTTCTTATTGCGAGGTGCGTTAAAATCAAAAAGACGGAATGGCCCAAGCAAACTAATTTGACAAATTGAGAAAAAATCGCTAGTGCGACAAATTGAACCTGGCTGATGGTGTTAGCAGATAAGACGTAAAAACTATATATCTATGGTAAAATCCCTATGGTCGAGATGATGGCCCGTACAAAATATAAGCAAATTATAAACAAATTAGTGAAACTTTTAATGCTACTGCACCTCTACTTACTCGACATGCAACAAGCGCCCACATACACGAAAACTGTAGAATTAACAAAGCTCGCTCAACTTCGAAATAATGCTTCGATTTAATGGCGTCGGCAAGCGTTTATTTACCGGGAAACCCCGTGTAGGGAATCACCAATTTTGCCATGGATCCACATTCTAAGTTCACGGTAAACATTTTCGGACCTATTCTAATCATCAAACATAACGAATCCTATTTATATATGAGCATAATCATTCAAATCTGGATGCACAAATGGTATGAGTTCATAAGCACTGCCTCCGTGTGAATCGCATCGCCAGACGGATTATTGCTATGTAGTATCAACAAAGAAAAATTAAAATCTAGGCGTCGTAAAATCATTAGGAGAAATGAAGCAACTTTTTAATAATTTCGTATCTGGAAAAGCAAAAAATGGAAATATTTTAATGTTAAAAACTTGTAGTATTTAGCCTTCGACGGACCGTCCCATACATGGCTATGAATAAATTTATTCTCTTTGGCCATAATAAAAAAAGGAGCGGCAGGAACCGACCGTTTTTTCAACGAAAAAAAAATAAGACTAGCATGATCTCTGGCCACTAAGGGTCCGAAGTAGAAGTAAACACGCACCCAGGACATACGTTTCAATACACAATATCCCGCGAAGCTAAAAAGCAGACATTTCGTAGCCAAGATTCGTAATCCTGAAGATGGGCCTGAAATAATTTTTTCAACCCGGAATGGAGAGCCATAGTCAGGTTTATATGTGATTCGAAACATAGAGATCATTTTCTGGTACTACCAAAGTATGTGAACCAAGATGGCGGACACCGGAACGTAGTATGTGTACCGGGATAGGGTCAGGTCATAATGTCAGGTACAAATACTACGGGAGTCACTTGGCCTCGAATAGAACTAAAATAAGGAATAATATTGGAATTGGACGAATATTATGGCCTAACCCTAACCTGGTTCACATACTTTGGGAGTACCCTTTTTCTAACTTGGCCCCGTGAATGAACCGTGTTCAGTTCAGTCCCAATAGAATACTTCAAAATATACCACGTAGCACGCATACCACGTAGATTACCAATAGGAAAGGATGGAATAGCAATAAACCTTATTTACAGGTATTTTAAATATTCGCTACTAACAAGGCCATGAACAAGCATACACTGGGAAAATATCTTTTTTGCTGGGGTGAGGTGCTATTGTCACGAACAAAAGTTCCTTCATCGAAGTGGCGTGGGGGGGGGGGGGTGCTATTGTCACGAAGAAAAACTTCTTTATCGAACCTGGTGAAAAAGACGTAAAAATACAACCACCACCATCGTGTATATGAAGCGTACCTGACATGGCAGGGTATTGACACAATTTTTGACCATCACCTCAAGGCCATGACTAAGCTTATTACTTATCGATTTTAATCGGTAAGTATGTTGATAGATATTTGTCTGTCTGTCTTTCTGTTAGATGCACGCGATATCTCACGAAAGCGAGATTGAATCTGCTCCAGATTTTGTAGGTGCATTCATCATATGTCATACCAGAAGCCTATTGATTTTGGATGAATTATGTAGTATAATTAGCGAGTTATTAATTAATTAGTGATGGGACACATGGTGTCACTATGGAGTAAGAGCGCTGTTTTGGGGATCCCCTAACTTTCGATCGATAAGTCTTCGGTCTCTGACAGACTTTCTCGTCTTATATGTAGTTAATTTTAGATCTATATGGATTCAACCAACTCTCATTATAAGGCACAGCCTCCAACGTCCTTATTGCGGTTTCATGTTACGTCACATTTCCTTACATCATGTGTGTTACATTTAGAGAGAGAGATTTTATTATTTCGTCAACCAAAAAATACAGTCATCAATAAAAGAGCAACAGCAAATAAAATTATTTTGGTATGGACAGGAGGGAGCGATACGACCCACCGGTCATCGAAGTCAGCTCCCACCATATACGCTGATGTGATTAAGATTAACACTGATAGATGACCAGTGGTGAAACTTGAACTATTACGATAATATTTTTACAATAAATTTCTGAATAAAATTAGGGAATTCTTGGGTAAAAGCATTGTTATGAACGTGTATTTTTAAAGAAGATAACCAAAGGGGGTTCCGGTGTTGCATTCGGTAAATAAATTAATCTAAAGCACCCAGAATAATGTGATGAAAAATCATACTTCTATGAAAACTAAATAACTAAATTCAATGGGGTTATAAATTGGATATATACATACACAGTGGATAAGGGACAAAAATGTTATCGTGATTAGACTACCCAGCCTTATAAATTCCTACAACGAGAGAACCTGGTTCGACTTATGATTGCGTAGTCTTATCGACTTTTCTCTCCTATCAGGGATAAATACGGTCATGTTTTTCCGATCACCTTTATTACGAAATAACTGTGCAAATTCCCCATTTTTTATTATGTTGTTGTTGTTGGCACCTGTTATAGCTACTTGAGATAAATAAATATAGTGTTTCAGCAGACGCTTTTGTCACAAAATAGTTCGTCTTTGTTCTGGATGTGATACGACACCCCTGGATAGAAAATAGCCTGATTTCTAGACGCTTTTGTCATCTCGACTTTTCAAAATACTGATAATAATTACTATGATTTTATGGTGTATTTAAATGATTCGATCATATAAAAACATAACACCGTGGACATTCGTGGATTTATGATATAAAAGGCCGTTATCAGAAATCAATAAGTTGAACATGTTTATTCGTTTGAAACGTCCAAAGTATGAGAACAATTTAGTTGAATTACAGTCAAATCAGTTTTCATTTTTTGTATTTTTTAAAGCTTCTCGGTAAGGCTCTGTTTGTTTCGATCAAAACAAGAGATATTTGTTTCGATCTACGCAGGCTAGAAGACTTATATTGGAAGGTGTTTTCGAATGGGAGAAATAATTCAATATTTCATAACAGTGATTTTCAGCAGGGGTTCTGCGGCACCATAGAGTACCGCAAGTACAGCCCAGGAGTTCCACTGCACTTTGAAGATTATTTTGTATTGCCAGTACCAGGCTTGGCTTTTATATATAGTTATAGTTAATACAAGTTGGGCAATAAAATGCTTGCTTAAAGCGTCTAAAAAGCGTTCCAACTACGAACAATTTCTATGTATGATATATAAAATGCTTTTTATTGGGTACACCCGTAGTATGTGAACCAAGATGGCGGCGGACACCGAAGCGTAGTATGTGTACCATGTTAGGGTTCGGCCATAATTTTAGGTACAAATACTACGGGAGTCAGTTGGCTAGTCCCCGAACTCGTAATAGAACTAAAAAAAGAAAAATTAGAAACAAATTATGGCCGAACCCTAACCTGTTACGTATACTATGTTCCGGTGCTCGCCATCTTGGTTCACATACTTCGCGCCTGTTACTGTACTAATTGTAATAACTATTCCTATATATAAAAGCAAACTTAAACTATTGCACAGGGCACTGTTCAAATTTTGGATATTTGAAACTATGCGATCTCATGCTATTTAACAAGTCATCGCGAGTCAGACCCCCGCTACCCCCCAGCTAGCTGATACGTTGAACCCCCCCCCTCACCCACACGTTTTAAAAATTCCTGGCTTCGACCATATGATTTCTCATCTCTAGCGCATTGATTTAAAATAAATTGAAAACCAAGCAATATGTTTTACAGTTATTATATTTTTATGGCAAATTAGATTGGACGAAAGCTTAAAGAGTCAACATGGGATGTTGCTGTGGAAAAGGTGAGGACTGTGACGTAATAGTTGAATTGACACATAATTTTATTCTATGCTATTTGGCCACAAAGCAGAATTATGACTTTGCTAAGTTGTTGTTCGTGTTATTGTTGTTGTTTCACTGCTCTCCTAGCCGCTCTAATCGCAGTTTTCCACAGAAGGGCGGAAACGTTCTTATTCACAAATACCTATAATATTCGTCCATCATACTGTCGGTAAACAGATTTTTATCGGTGGCAATTTTAAATTATAATGACATGTTACTGTAAAGCCTACCGACCGCGCCCGCTAACAGTATGTCGCCATTGACGAATGAAATAAGCGGAGCAGCCCATGATTGAAGTGGAGATAGGAGGGGGGGGGGGTGCAATTGATTCAGCTAGGTAGCTCTGCGGAGCCCTTCACTAGCCCAAGTGCCACGATAAGTATTCGACGCCTAAAATTAAAATTATAGTCTTCATTATTACATCGTAGACCTCCTTTGTGACGTTTTAGCTGGGGGCAGAAGTGTAGAGAGTCTTTATGGAAGGCATAGATCAGGAAAGTTCGATAATCCCTGGGTTAGCCTTCGCTTATATCGATCTAGACTTTTTATAATATGAAAGGTCATGGCATGACTTAATAATTAATTAATTTTCCCCCTCCCTGGAAAAAATTTGAGAAGTTTTGATTCTCGTTTAAACTATGGTTGGATTAATGGATCAATGGAACTTATATAAACAAAATGCGTAGGTGTAGACAGGAGGCATACAAACAATGACGCGTTGCGCTCAGCAAAAAAGCAAAATATTCGGGCACGGGCGGAATAAATGCGATTCATGTTGGACTTGCGGATTCTTTGTAAATTCACAATAAAGGATTTTATATTTATTTATATTGATCGTCTTTTGTATTGACGGCTGACACAAGTAAACTAGGTCCGTATTTATTGAATATTTCCACATTTTTTTTTGCAATATTTTACATCACATCACTTGTTTTACACGAATCTTTCATAGTCAGTATATTTTTTGCTATTAATATCATTATATTCACTTATGCTCGTTTTATTTTAAAAGCTGGTATCTGTTTTGCGTTTTTTCTTATTTTTGCATATTTTTTAAGTCGGTAGATTTCCAAATAAAAATTGTGTAAAATTTTATTTTTTTAGAAAAGAAATCAGCATTCGATCCTTCGAAGGATGGGCCAATCAAAAACCGTTCTTGCACTGATCTGATCTGTTTAATAATATTTTTCGCCGCCATTGTTGGATTCGTCGTCGTTGGGATATTCGGTAAGTGCCTTGTTGCGTATTTACTCAAAAACCTGGTAGACGATATCAGATCAGATGCTAATTTTCACAGACAAACTGTGTAGATTTTTTATTTATTCTAGACGTTTTTCACAAAAACTTTCTTTTTGGCGACTTACTGATATCTACATTTTACCGACTCTCTAGGCACAAATGTGTGCTTCCTCCACCATCAAGTCCATGCTTCCGAAAACAAATAACTAACTAATCCCATACCCGACTTTGATCGGTAACCGGACGAGAGGCCGTGATTCGAAAGTGATTTAGCCGTTTTATCAGATTTTCTTTCCCGGGATAAATGTATAAATCCTATCCTACCGTAATATGAACCGTAATGTATTAGGGCCCGTTTAGGGGTTACCTGAAATTCTAATTTCGGTCTCCAGACTCTCTTCTTTTTTAGTTCATGGCCTGTTTTATGCAAATCTGTATCAAAATATGACTGTGTTTCGTGTATCTGAACTGAAGTTGACTCTCAAAATGCCACCATTATAAATACTGTATACACATTTGCAAATGTCACTAAAATGTTATGGTAAATAGGAATATTATGAAAATACCAGTGGAGTCCACCAATCAAGACTAAAAATAAACAAAAAATATCACACTATATTGCCGAAACGTGGTGTCATAATTATTCGATTTAACGTACTTTCATTACCGTATCCGTAAAAAGAATGGTGATTAACCTGAATAAAAATTGAATGAGCACATTACATGAAGACATGGCCTTAAAACCCACGGAGTCCAATCGCGTCTCTTCTATTTTGTATTTCTCTATATCATATTTTAATTCTGTTGGCACGATTTTTTTTGCCCTTGTTTCTTGTTTTTCTGATTCAAATACTAAATTTTTTCTGCTTTTCAAGATAATTTTTTTAGTTACTCTCGGTTGGGTTGGAAATAGAATTTAAAAAGCTTGAGATCTTATGCATTATATATTGTTTTACATTTATAATCATGTACCAAACGAGCTACGCTTTTTAAATTTTTATGGTTCTTAATATAAATGGCTGAATATTAAAAATTGTGATTTGGTCATATTATTGCTCTAGCTGACCATGTTGCATATATGAATGTTAAAGTGAAAATAGATTCCCAGCTTTGATGTTTTTATTATTCCTTTTTCTTTTTCAGCATGGCTGAACGGGAATCCAGTTATTCTTCTGTTGCCTACTGATAGCAATGGAAGAATATGCGGAGTCAAATATGGAGATTTGGATTTGTCGTAAGTTTTGTCCACATATTCTTTTAGTACACACTGATGTGTCTGCTTTCATACTTCATAAAAACGTAATACATCACATGTCGAATTTATGTTTTGTTCATTCATGTTCTACTTTGACAAAAGGATACCGCAGTGGTTTTCAAACGGTGGGGCATAGACAATTTTATAAGGGGATGTGAAGCTAATTAAAGATAAAAAAAACTTTGTTAGATTTGATCTTGATCGTCTTTGGATATTTACAGTTTATTTATTTTGAATATTTAGATTTCATCCATGTATTTTCAACTGTTTTTAAATGAAACATGCTTTGCCTTACTATCCGTTATTTGTAGTTTATTAGTAGCTAGTTATTTTTGAGTTAGTGCGCGAGACAAAGTTAAAACGTTTGAGAACCGCTGGGTTAGAGTATTCTTATGCATACTGAGATTCATAAGAGTAGAACAAGCTATTCTTGAGACTTCATTTTTAAAGTGCCATTTCAGCTTTGAGTCATAGAGCCCTTGTTTAATCAACTTGTCTTAAATGGTAACTGATTGGTGTAGCTGCTCATTAAACAACATCGTTTTTTTCGCGTCACCCTTCACCACGATTTTTTAAAAATATTAGCTATTCACATATCAATGGCTTCTTGTCTAAAGCCATGTTCAAAGTTAAAATGTATGAACACCTCTCATTTGCAATACCGACATGATTAAGTTATCCACTGTTTTGATTTATTTTCTTTTTCAAATATTCAGAAACAAGACAAATCTGTTCTTCTTTGACTTGACACAATGTGCCAGTCCAGCAAGTTACCTGAATTTTCAATGCCTCACACCACAGGTGAGCTTTTTGTTATAGGAATAGGATATGATTTACATATTTATCCCAGGGTAGAGGAAAGCTGATAATGCGGCTTAATCATATAGCAAACCACGGCACCTTGTCCGGTTACCAGTCCTTGTCGGGTATGAGGTTAGTTAGCCAGTTATCTGTTTAAGATGCATGGACTTGATGGCAGATATGAGACAACGAGACAACTCTGATACCTAAAATACTTCTCTTAGACTAAAATTACCTTTCTATGCCTTGATTACAATTTTTCCTACTTAAAGTTAATTTTGAATGTTATTGATAAACAATTTTTATATACCTGAGCATTGTGTCAATTCTTCATTCACAGAAACTCAATATGACCTAATATAATGGCTTCTGTCACTTTTAACTTAAAATTATATTCTTCTGAGCAATCATGACTCAGTGATTTTCATGATGATTGGTATCAAAAGGACCTGAATCAAGGGGGCGGGATATCAAAGACCCCTGTATTGGGTGCTCCAGAAGTATGTGTACCACTAAGAAGGTAATTAATTTTGTTCACCTACTTTACATCAAGTTGTGCAAAGGGACTGAAACCTGTGGACAAGGGGATATTCACTTAGATAACACAGACAGTCCCAGAACTCGTAATAGAACTAAAATGAGGAATATCATAATAAAATTATGGCCTAACCTAACCTGGTACACATACTACGGGAGGACCTTGTATTGTAATATTCATGTATTTCTGCATGACGAAACAAAGCTGATTGATTCTACAGGTCTGTGTCAACTCGTGTCCAGATTCAAGTTGGACTTATATTCAAGATCTTGTGATACTTCAGGCAGCCAAAACAGCTTCAGCAAGTGGAGCTAGCAATGCTGTGATTTCAACTTACGCTCAGACCAATCTGAATCTGGACTGGTCCAAATATATCTGCAAATATGACATTGACGCAAAAACTGAGTTTGAGAAAGGGGTGAGTGCATGGAAGCAGGATTTTAATTTTTGAGGGAGCAAGAAGTTAATTGAAAATAAAAATATTTGTTAGCTTTTATCTTACTTGCCTTATTTTGGATATTTACATTTCTTCATTTTAGATATTTAGTTCCACCCACACATTTTCAACGTGTTTTTGAGTGAATCATACTTTTGTCTTACTACCTGATATTTCTAGCTTTTTGTTAGCTAGTTCGTTTTTAAATGGGGCGCAAGACTTGAAAAATTCTAAAAATGAAACGCAACTAAAAAAAGGTTTAGAACAAACGTGTAAAACACTTCAATTTCACAGTTCTCTTTATTCTTGTAGACAAATGGCGAAAGTGATCTTCAAGCAATGATATCAGCAGAGAAATGTGCTCCATATTATATACCAATGTCTCCAGTTGTGAACCGATGCATACCGAGTGTTATAGTGGACGCTACAAATTTTGTTGCGGATTCTGCATCTGGACAAGACACAACAATCGTGGTATGTCATTGTAATTTAAAATCTACTTAGGATAGGATTTACATATTTATCCCTGAGAGAGGGAAGACGATAAGATGGCTTAATCATATGGCGAACCCTTGATTATGGGCTTATCAGAAAACCCTAATTAACAAATGTTCAAAAGGAATCATAAATGTGATATATTCAAATATTGGACACTTCATCAATAACAATGAGAAGTTAGTACTCAACATGGGGGAGCGAACGGTGTATGTGAACCAAGATGGTGGACACTGTAACGTAGTATGAGTACCAAGTTAAGGTTAGGCCATAATTTCAGGTAAAATACTACGAGAGTCACTTAGCTAGTCCCCGAACTCGTAATAGAACTAAGATAAGGATTAAATTATGGCCTAACCCTAACCTGGAACACATACTACATTCCGGTGACCGCCATCTTGGTCAATATACTTCGGGAGTACCGAGCGAACACGTACTACTTCTTTTAGCAACACCTAAAATCTGTACGTTTTAAACTTCACTTAAGGTTTTGTTTGCTCTCTAAATTCTATAATCAGTTTCATTTATTTTGTTGTTATCAATTATTTAATTGTCTGTTATGCTGATTATGGAGTCAAAATAAACTTATACTAACATAAAATGCAAGAAATTCAATGACTCTTCTGCCGTTGCGTGACTTTTACAAACATGTTCTATGAAATTTTTTCCCACCTATCATTGCTACTCGAGCAACTTCTTTTTTTATTTTTACTAGTTAGTAAAGCAGACAGTCCACTTTGACATTTTAGTTGTCGCCTATAACTTTGCTCGGAGATAAATCTTCATTTTTTCGGAGTGAGTGCGCATAATTTTGCTGGTATAATTCCAGAATGCGCTCAATCAAACAGTAACCGGCTCAAATCTAAATCTTGGGAGTGAAGTCATTCAAGCATATCTCAATGCTCAAGAAATTGGAATGAAAATATTTGCTGACTTTACTGCTTCTTGGTACTGGATACTGGCGTGAGTATCTTCGATTATATTGCAAAATTTAGTACTCCTGAAGTATGTAAACCAAGATGGCAGACACCGGAACGGAGTATGTGTACCAGGTTAGAGGCCATAATTTCAGGTACAAATACTACGGGAGTCACTTGGCTAGTCCCCGAACTCGTAATAGAACTAAAATAAGGAAAATTGGAATAAAATTATGGCCTAATTCTAACCAGGTACACATACTAAGTTCTGGTGTCCGCCATCTTGGCCACATACTTTGGGAGTACCCAAAATTTTATAAATTGCAAACAATTTTTATGTTTTATGATTATTTGGTCCAAGTCAGAGGTTCTCAAACGGTGAAGCGCGCCCTATAAGGGGTCGTAGGCAATTTTTTGGGGGGCGTGAAGCTTATAAAAAATAAAAATATACGGTATGTCAGATTTGATCTTGCCCGCTTTATTTTGGATATTTACATTTCTTTATTTTGGGTTTTTACATTCCATCCACATATTTTTAATATGTTTTTTGAATAAAACATACTTTCACCTTCCTATCTGTTATTTGTAGTTTTAGTTATTCTTGGGGCGTGGCTCAAAAAGTTTGAGAACCACTAGTCTAAGTGATTCACATATTGATTTCATATGATTATCTTATCAGGTTTCCTCTCGCTTGGGATAACTATTACAATCTTATTATTTGCAGTGGCCTTGGAGTAGCTGCGGTGATTGCATTTCTCTGGATTGTAATAATGCGTTGGGTTGCATGGCCAATGGTCTGGATCACTATATTTGGACTCTTTGGTGTGCTGGGATTTGGAGTCTATTATACGTACACTGAGTGGCAGGTGAATGATTTTTATTATGATAAATCATTAGACAAATATAAAAAAAAAACAGGGTTTGAATTCTAATGTAGAAGTTTGCCCCAATAATTATTTTTTGCGAAATGCATTTTTATTCTAGAGAAACATTCATGAAATAACTTTTAAAGCATGACCTTTTTAGAAGTGTGTCGTACCTTCAATGACACTATGTTTAAGCAACAATGCAGCATTCACTTGTCTAAAGCCTTTGGACAGAAAATGCTTGTAATCAGTGGTGAGCTGTAGCCGGAACGCACCGGAACGGCGTTCCGTTTGTTGTACATTTTACTGCATTTGCGTTCCTGTTGTTGAAATAAAATTGTGGTACAAAAAGTCTAGTTTCTCCGGTAAACTTAGTTATTAATTTATGTTTTGTTGCATCATAATTTGTAAATCTTTTTACGTCACATCACACAAATAATTAGTACAGCAGTAACGTGTAATAGATGTTTCCCCGACCTTTGATCCCATGAAAATTCCATACCTTTCTAATGATAAGATTTGTATTGAATTGCTATGAATACTCTTATAATTTTACACACACATTTTTCATATAATTTCTTCGCAGTTTCATTGCAGTTCTGTAAATGTTCGCGTAGTGTTGTGAATATATCACATTTTTGCGAATTAGGTTGTTAAAATTTTTTTAGCTCATCACTGCTTGTAATAACACAAACTGAACCCAAACCTTGAGTCAAGTCGAAATGTAAAGCGCAGTTAATAATTGACTTGTGTCTCTTGTGGTTTGTTGGTGACACATCCAGGTCATTCCATTTAGATCAGGGGTGTGCAACCTGCACGTGCAACCACAAAGGAAAATTCTAAGCCCTAAAAGCTAGCTTGTGGAAAGCAAACAACCCATGTCACAACATCAATAAATTATTTCTTGTGCTTGCTACTAGAAAGCCTACGTTGAATAAAGGTGGGCTCTCAGTTTCACCAAGTTATTCGTATCAGGCCCTCCTGTATTGAAGGTTGCACACTCATGATTTCTAAAGTATTGTATAAACGTTGACTCAAAAATTCAAATATTGGGAAAGCATCGATCAGAGTTTGCATTTAACATTTATTCATTGTAGCGCTTAGCCTTTGTCGTCATGAACTTCATAAACCGATTGAAACTGAATTCTTTCTTTTTTTCATCTTAGAATGATTCAACATTAAATTCCCTCATAGGCGATGTTGATTGATAACTATACTGGTTTATTGTGTCTCATTTCACACTGAAATACATTTTTCTTTTATTTTGCTTCACTCTGTTTGTACATTTTGTATTTTCGGTATGTGAAAAATAAACTACTGACTGACTGAATATTGTGGGTTCAGTCGGTGAAAAAGTTTTCATTTCTTGTTTTATTTTTATGTTTACTTTTAATTTCACAGAGACTTCTTACAGTGGATGGTGCCAATGCAACTTTGGTCTCAACAGGATTCACTACAAATCTGAGTCAATATCTTGCGCTTCAAGAAACATGGCTGGCTTTCTGTAAGTAATATTCTCATTTTCATTCTTTCATTCACAATGTTGGGTAGGACATAGGTTCTCAAAGTGCTCCATACAGAGCCCCAGGGCTTCGTGAGAGAAACTTAATGACTCTGTGATATATTCCACTTTACTTATCTAAATATTTTTTCAACTTTTTTTTTTCATTTTTTTTTTCAGTCATCATTCTCTGTGTTGTGACCGCAATCTTTTTCCTGCTAGTTATTTTTTTGAGGAAAAGAATTCTTATTGCGATTCAAATTATCAGAGAAGCAAGCAAGTAAGCAGAATCATATTTATATGAAAGTGTTGCACGGTTAGGGCTATTATAGGCAAAGTTATTCTGTTAATTCATTTCATAGATGCCTCATTACAGCAATTGCTGTTTTTGTTGGACATAGACCTGTGGATCGTTGAAAATTTCTTTTATTTTTTTATCTTCTTTTTTCTTGTTTGAAAGATAATTTCTGAATCAACTAATTTACCAATCAACTGTAAATCTTAAAAGCAAAGTTGTTTTTCAAATTTTCTCCAAGTCCTATGAGACCTTTCTCACGTCGTCTTTGTCGTGGTCGGTTTTGAATATATTTTATTTCAATGTGGCATTCTGTCAAGCTCGGCTCAGCGTTGTAGCACATTGTACTAAGCGATAAGATGGTGGATTTCTGAATTTCTCGCTGCTGTAGGGTGGTTCACATAACTGCTGGTCGGTTACAGCTTACTCCACCATCAAGTCCATGAATCTGAAACAAATAAATGATTAAATAATCCCATACTCGACATGGACTGGAACCGGACAAGAGGTCGTAATTTGCCATCGGTTTTCCCATCCCTCAGGATGAATATGTGAATCCTATCCCATGGACTGATCTTTTTAGCTCAGCGTTAATTGCTATAGTAGTTAGTGGTACCTAGTTATTAAATGGAATAAGTAGGGTAGTATTAATCATTTGACATTTTCCATAAACTATAGCATTGCTCCCTTGCATAAAATATATCTTCAATCTATTATGTTTTTTACTAATATTTGCAGCATTTTTAGTTACTTGAAGTGAAACTGATAATATCATGGTTTGAAAAAACTTGAAATCTTACAAGTTATAACTGTACAAATATCATATTCAGTCTATTCAACTTTGCTATTTTTTCAGAGCTGTTGCACACATGATTTCTACTCTTTTCTACCCCCTAGTGACATTTATTCTTGCATTAATTGTCATTGCATTCTGGGCTGCGACAGAATTGTTTCTGGCATCATCAGGTGATCCTGTATACAAAGTCTTGGACACCAATTCTACCAGAGTAGCTGCAGAAACTGAAACTGACCCATGCAACAACACTGTCTGCAATGTAACAGTAAGTTGGCCGATAATTGTTTTTGTAAAAACATTTTTGATGACATCATAAAATCAACTTTGAAAAGGTTTTAAAAATGCAGCCAGAATTACATAGTGTTTCACTGTTTTTAAAAGTTCAAGATTTGTTCTGGTTTAGCATTGCCTTCCTTCCAACCCTTTGGATGAGATTCTCAAAAGGTGTTTGTTTTTTAAATATTATCACAAAGAGCTATTTGACCATAGCCATTCAATCAAGTTTATAATCAAGCTCACGCATCAGCATTTCAATCTAGTCATTAATTAAAAAAAAACTTTGTACAAGTGACACAGGGCGCAACCAAATATGTAATTTACCGTATTTATTTTCTGAATAGTAAACAAATCTGAAGGTCTCGCCCTTGTGGATATTGAGAAAGTTTTATAAATATTTTCATAGTGCTATGCCATCTATATCTAAGCCAAATAAGCATTCAATCAAGTTTAATATGTTATCAGCATTTCATGAGTCATCAATCTAAAAAAAACTCTGTGCAAGTGACATATGGGGCAATCAAGTATACAATGACTATCGAATGTTAGACTCACTCTATGACGCTGCTCTATAACCATCACTGGTTTATCCCTTCACACTGAAATGCACTTTTTTATATTTGTAAAATGTGTACTTTCGGCATGTTATAAAATAAACTACTGACCGACTGAATTTGCCATACTCTTGGTGAGGTGGTGCGCTTAGGTTGAGATGCCAACATGATAGGACCAACTGCTGATTTACAAAGTCTTTGTTGGGTTTTGTTATTGTTACTAAAATAGTTGGAGAATACAATCTGAGTATTTTATAAAAAAGGAAGTTTCATAAAATTTCTGTATTTTCAAGTTTCTTTTTATTAATTCAGGTATGGAATGAAGCAAACCATACATTTGCAAATGATGACACAATAAAATGTATGTTCATTGAGTATGGAGGAGACTCACTGTGAGTATTTCATATATTTCAAAATAGAAGTATTGGTTCTTCAGGAGTATGCGCACCGAGATGTCGTACAACCTGAATCCTAACCGGTACACACATAGCATTTTCAGGTTGTGCGCCATCTTGGTGCGCATCCTTCTGGAGGTCCGAACGATTTTATCCTGGAAAGGGGAAGTACTAAGACAGTGGTGTCCACCATTCCTTGACTCACTGTGCACATAAACCAGCGGTTCAAACCTGGGCCCCGTGGTCCACAAGGGGGGCCAAAGAGCAGTTGGAGGGAGCCACAATGCTAGATGCAAAACTGAATTTAAAAAACTTCTAGTTCTTCCCAGTTTTATTGCTTGATGAGGTTATTTGACAGGATGTTTTCACTTGAATGAGCATGAATTGTTTGAATAGAATGGGATTTGAAATCTACCAATCAAAATACCACTGGAATGATGGGGGGGGGGGGTCGCATGAGTGCTAAAACCCTCAGAATGGGGTCACAAATCATAAAAGGTTGGGAACCACTGATATAAACTCAATTTGCAATTGTTATTCGATCTTCGAAAAAGCATTTGCTTAATTAAGATACATGTTTAAATAACTCTTTAACATTTTTTTACCATTTGTGTTCTATATACAGTCACTTGTTGTGGCTATAATATCACAGTTTAAGCATGTATATATTAATAACAATTCAGTACAGTATCTCAACAATTCAGTATCTTAATTATACGTACCAATACCGGCTCCTTGCAGGCGCTCTCCCTTTTCCTGTTATATTTTACAAAGTGTCTGCCAATAAAAATCCCACTACAAGCATAACAAATTTTTAACTTGAAACATGTATCAATCAAATTAACATGAGTATTTAAAAAAAATTTCTATGTAGTTCCTCAAATTTCTGTTTTGTTTTTGAACCTGAAATTCAAATTTCATTTCATTTATACCAGGTTTCATCGAAACACTCTATGGCTCCAGATTGCAATTGTTTTTGCATTTTTCTGGCTTCTGAATTGGGTTATTGCTCTCGAGAATTACAATTGGGCAGGTAAAGAAATTGAATTTTCAGAAATTGGAATTAAGAGAAAATAATTGTGAAATTAATTATGTGTGGCAGAAGAGTCCCGCTGATAGCGTAATGACAACAAAGTTAATTACTCATCAATTATACAAGTCAAGAAAAAGTAACAGTTGACATACGCCCGATGCAATTTGAATGCCAATCAATTTTGATATTCTTTCAATCAAGTTTTTTAATTAACAATACAATTATACTGGTTTACCTAGGATAGGATTACATCATTTACTTCAGGGGAGAGGAAGTCGATAAGACGGCTTATCCATATGGCGAACCTATGTCCTCTTGTCTGGTTACCAGGTCCATGTCGGTATGGATTAGTTAGCCAGGTTTCGATTTGAAGTGCTGTTTGATTTCTGGCTTGTCTGGTATTATTATATGCATCAGAATATCTTTTCTTTCTTGTGATTCTGGTGTTAGCTCCCATACTGATTTTTTATTATTACTTGACCCATTAACATTAAGAGTTAAGAATTTTCAATATCATCAAGATTGAAAGAAAGCCTGAAGGAATAAGTAACTCATTTAACAGGACTCAATTAGATACGGCTATCATCCGTTAATAGTTCATTGATAACGCTAACTAGCTTTGGTGGTGTGGCACATCCTGCTGCATAGGACTGCCTGCCATTTACCTATGGGAATAATTATGCAAAAAGGTTGCTGACTCCTCGCCATCATAGGATAAGTTCAGGTATTTGTAACAAGTAACTGATCAACTAATCCCATATCCAACATGGACTGGAAACCGAATGAGAAGCCATGGTTCGTCATATGATTGAGCATTTAATCAGCCTTCCTTTTCTCTGGGATTATCGTAATTATGCTGGTTACATAAACTACCCTACAACGAAGAGGAATTCGTTGGTAATCATTTATGACAAATGTATTCATAACGACATGTTTGTTTTACACAAACTTATTTGATTTCATGTGCCATGCTAATGAAATCTAATCTTGTTATCTTCATTTACAGGAGCATTCGCATCCTATTATTGGGCATTTGATAAGTCAACAGATATACCAGCGCTCCCCTTGTTTTCTGCTTTTGGAAGAACTTTGAGGTATGTTGTGGAGCGATTTATATCTAACGCTGTTAAAATATATGTGCAAAGACAATTAAACCGATAAATATTGGTTATGGTCAACTTCAATTTTTAGGCAATGATGAGGTTTTAATCATAATATCATAAACCATGGCTTTTTTTGCTGAGTGATGTAAAACAAATAGTTAAGCTAAAAGGCCAGATTTTGGCTTTTATTTTCAAATCAAAGCTGTTCCAAGCAACTATCACATTTTTCATTCACTATTTGATTTTGTACAGTCCACCAAGATGCATACTGAAAGTTTTCCTTTTTCTGGCGCAAAAGATTCAGTAAAAGCGCCATTTACTTTCATACTACACCCATATCTGTCATGGCACCCACCGTTCCTTACAAGAAACAGCGTTTTACCACATCACCACTTTTTTCATCTCTATGCATAATGTGAAAAAGTATAACATGTTAAATTTGCAATATGGAGGTACGGTAACTAATTTTGTTCCCCTAATTTTCATCAAGTTGTGTAAAGGGACTGAAGCCTGAGGGCAGGAAGTATATTCTCTTGTTTAATACAGACAGTCTCCGACAAATTGTAATAGAACTGAAAATGAGGAAATTCGGAATAAGATTATGACTTGACCTGGTACACATACTACGAGAGTACCCATCAATTTACTAAACCGTCGTTTTTGCTTTATACATCAGGTACCACACTGGGTCTCTGGCATTTGGTTCCTTTATCATTGCACTGATACAAGTTATCAGAGTCCTACTTGAATACTTCGACCACAAAATGAAAGGCTCTGAAAACAAGGTTGCCAAATTTTTCATGTGTATTTGTAAATGCTGTTGTTGGTGCCTTGAAAAGTTTATGAAGTTCTTGAACAGGAATGCCTACATTATGGTAAGTACCATAACTTTTAATTAAAAATTCAATACCTCTTAGAATGTTAGTGTCGAGTTGAAACTCTTTTTCATAAATTTTATTTTTTTGTTGAGGCTTGTGACTTTTTTAGTATTCTGTATATGTACGTTTTTTGAAGCAAAGGTGCAATGTTTCACCCGAAAAAATGGAGTGGCGTGACAGTTTACTGACATGGCATTGCAAGTTATAAGTTGAGGTTTAATCCCAACACTAACCACTTTACCCAGTGCAAAATAAATTGGTTGAACAATTTTGGAGCTAAAAATTTTAAATCCAGTTCTAATATATGTAAGCTTCTTATATAGCAGGGGTGGCCAACACGTCGATCGCGATCGACCGGTCGATCGCCATGTCCCGAGAAGTCGATCGCGTCTGATGTTGAGTGAATTTAATAACATACCGGTACCCTAAAAAATTACCACTCTAGACCCAGTTTTTGTGTGGCGATTTCATTAAAAATGCGTCCACACAGCCGAACTTATTGGCAGCGATGTAATTTTTCGTATGCATTTGTGCAGTTATCTGCATATTCAGTACTCATTCGTTTTTGTGTATGACCTTATTACCGATCAGTCGATCGCGGCCGAAAGCAGGTTGGCCACCTCTGTTATATAGGGTGTCCATAAAGTCTTTTAAAATTGCAAAGAGAATTTCTCGATACTATATATTGTTTTGGCCCCCACAGATGTATTAAATGAAGTAGAAATACTAAAACAATTACTGATTCAAAAACAACCTACGGTACCTGGTTAAGATATATTGAGAACTGACTTCATAACAAAATTGAAATTGTAAAGGGACTTTATGGACACCCTGTAGATATTGCAAGTACTTGTCTAGTTTAGCTGTATGTATGATGACTATTATCCATTTCAGATTGCAGTCTATGGTAAGAACTTCTGTTTATCTGCCAAGCAAGCCTTTAAGCTAATTATCAGAAACATCATTCGTGTAGCGGTCGTGGATAAAGTGACAGATTTCCTGCTTTTTATGGGTAAGTTGGGCGTTTGTTGTAGATTTTAGTACACAATGAGTATCTGTGTACCTTCTGAAATTGAAATTGGAAACTTGGCTTTTACATTGCCTTCAGGACCTTTACCTATTGCACTTAATCTTATCAACAGTAACACTGTGCATTTATTCAATGCAATTGTTAAATCATGAATATTACACAATATAGGAACACATAATAAGTCCAATTAAAACACAAGAAAATGACATATTCCAAGAGGTTAAATACAAATTACTGGTGAATATCTGTTTAAATTTGGGATTGTATGATGTAAATGGAATTTGTCATGTACTTTCTATATACCTGTAATCTATATATTCTATATAATAAGTTTCCCTAATCTTATTGTTACAAACAGCCACATCAAAATGTATTAATTTCTAAAGATTCTTTTTTTATAATTCAGCATTTTGCATATAACTGTAGTTGGTCAATAAAGTTCGAGTCAACCAAGAAAAGTATGAGTTGCTTGGTGGCCAATGAATGAGCTTAAAACTGACATTATTATGTCACATGATAATGCCTTTTAAGGACATCACATAACATTTTTTGTAAATTCACACTGGGACCCCAAAAATTCTTTTACTAGTTACCATATATGAGAATGGATCCCAATAAAGGTTATTTATTATAGAGGCTCTGAAAACAAGATTTGTCTAAGTTGTATTTGGGATTTCCGAAGCGTCCTTGTGATCTGCTATTACCATCTTACCTTTGTACCAGTTTGCTTTTTGTAAATTCAAAAACATGAAACATAGGTTTATTATTAAGGATACTGTTTCAGAAATCTGATATGGTATTGAATGCTTTTTTGTTCTATAATATAAATTATGTCTTAAGAATCAATTGTGGTCTTTATTTACGAATAATAATTTACAACTGCGTCAATTGTGGGGAGAATCTATTCTAAAAGAAGCACAAACCTTTCATATTAATTCTTTGGGAGAGAATCGTTTTGCAAAGCACAGACCTTCATCTGTTTACTAGTCATGGGCTGAGGCTATAATAACGAATAGTCTCTCTAACTACATGAACTTGGATACAATAAACTGTAAGCCAGTGGTCCCAACCTTTTTCAATACACTATTCCCTTTTTAAAGCTTATTTTGTAACTCTTCACTCTACCTCACTATACTTATAAACTGTTTTCGTTTGTTTTTCAATATTTAATAGATCATAAGTTACTGATATACGCTACTCACACTCTGACTTTTAAACAGTTTAAAATGTGTGCATAAATAAGTATATAGGTAAAGAATATAGGTAATATTTAACGAAACTAAAAATTCCATCGCAAAACAATCTTTCTTCGGGGCAAATTTCCTCGCTGGCTGGAAAACCCTGCTGATCAGTGACTGATATTGCAATGATGAGGAATCCGGCAATCTTCTCACCCATAATCATGAATCTGTGTGTGAATTATCATGAATGCGTACAAAAGGAGATATAGAAATTGATAATTCATTGATCAAGTATTTTTAAATTTTAACCTTTACTATGCTGACGAAATGAAACTTGACAGAAATTGCGAATTTGATATTAATAAGATTCATTTCTTTGCCAGGCAAACTTATGGTCACTGCAGGACTGGTTGCACTCAGTTGGGCATTCTTTGGCAACAAGATATCTTTTGCATCTGGATATGTACCATCACTCAACTACTACTGGATGCCTATTGTGGTATTTTGATATTGATATGGCTCTTCAGTTTGATGCATCATACTAATCGTTAGTGATGGTGATCGTACATTTGAACCCATGTGTATATCCGCGGGTTCAATCTATATGCGAGTGCTAAAACCCATGGGTTAGGGTTAGTATGGGTTCAAAATCCGTAAAACAAAAAAAATTTCCATATGTGCAATAGTATGCAGGTGCAATTGTCATGGGTTCAAATGTACGTGGGTTCAAATGTAATGGAACCGTTAGTGATCACTAGACATATCGGTAATATTGTTAATTACCCTATAGCAGAGTTTCCCAAACCTTTTTTTAGCCGCGAACCCCTATTTGTGAATCTTAGTTTTGACGGAACCCCATCCTATGTCGTATCAATTCCTATGCCTAACCAACGAGGAAGTAGGCTATAATGTTTTATTCACAACACAAACAGCATTAATGTAATGGATGAGGTTACTGCACAATTTATCGATTCTCAGAGCAATTTTTGATGAGCAAACTCATAGATCCAACTCTAAGTGTCAACCTGTATTTCGTCATCATATACGTAAGAGCTGAAAATGCTGACATTCCAAATGGCAAAATAATTTTTAATTGTTTTTTCCAACAGTAATGGATATTCGTCCGCAACGCTCAACAAAAAAGATGTAATGGTTTTTTGATTAAAATCAATCCCTAAAGATCTATCAGACTCTTTTCATATCGTTGCGAACCCCCTGTGCAGTCATCACGAACCCTAGTTTGGGAAACTCTGCCCTATTGGGAGTTATAAGGCGCTCCGAAAATATTATATGTGGGATGACTGCTTGCTTTCTCGCAGTGTGATTTCTATAATCGCTATTTGGTTACAGCTTCCAGCACTATCCAAGTCAAAGCATCGAGACTATTCCTGCCCTACACGGTTAACTTTTTCGCGCTGTAAATTTTTCTCAACAATAGGATGAAATCCTGTTATTGCCTCTCCTCTTTCCGAGATACTTATGAAGCTTTATTATATCATAAGATTTGGAAACTGAATTTATATTCATATCCTTGTACTGGTAGCCAGACCTCTTACTGACCGCTTGACAGTGCTAAATTTCATCAGATTTTGAAAAATGCCGGGATTTTACCCTTGTTATTAAAAAGTAGTGATTGATAATGATAATCGGTAGATAATTATTATAATCAATTCTTTTTACAGATCATTGGCATTGGAGCTTATATTATTGCGGCAGGCTTCTTCAACACATATGGAATGGCTGTGGACACAATATTTCTATGTTTCTGTAAGTGTCTGATCTTTTAGTTATAGTCAGATCTATGTTTTCTAGCGCTAATGATTTGGTTTCTGCGAGACTACCTTATCCTTCTTCTATGCTTTTGTGCTGATGGATTCGTATGAATATAATACAAAGATGCTGTAGCAAGAATAAAAATACCTATCCTAAGTGATTCAAGAGTCTTGTTGCACACTAACACAAACATATTTCTGTAAGTTATGTTCGCACAATATTCAATCGATGAAAACAACCAGAATTTGAAATGTCTTTATATATTAATTTAATTGTGTTTGTGGTAAGTCGCGGTTGCGCGACTTACGTCAAGATAAATGCATTATTTCTTCAAAATGACACGGCAATCTGCGAACATAATAATGTGAGAACATATTGCTCGATTAAATTTAGTTTTGATATATATTTTTTGCAATCTTTCGAATTTGTTATCACCGTTAGAAAAATCCTACTATCTGCTATAAATTACCAGAAAGTACAACTTGATTTAGTACTTATTAAAAATATATTTGAAATATATTAGTAAATTGAAAATACATCTTCATCACCTTGCTTTATTATTAATAATTTAATTTGTGATCATTGTAATCTGCGGTTGTGTTGGCGAAATAAAAGCAATACTACTCAGAAAATATCATGACAATCCGTGAGTGGTAAAGTGGGCGATTATATTTTGTTTTGATTCGTATTTTTGAGAATTCGACAAATCTGAGCTGTTCGTACAACACTTACTGCGCTCCAGTACTGTATGTACCAATGTCTGAATGTGGAGGCAGTGAAGCAAAGTGACCTGCCGCGTCGTCTGTTAGCAAATTTTCGAATAGTAAATTGCTATTCCAATAGTTGAATATTCGATTATATGCCCAGTCCTACTCAGTAATCAGTAATTATTAACTCGATTAATGTTACGTGAATAAACTTGCTTTTTATGTTTTATGTAAATTCTAACATAAATCGTAACTTGGCTGAGAGTTGAATTTTGCAAAAACGTCTGCGGCCCGCGGTGAATTTCTGGTTCGTTGCGGACTCATTCAAACGCTCCGCGGACTCATTTGATACCGCGGACTCAGGTTGGGAAACACTGGTCTAAAAAGTGTTTCAAGCCACGAATAATTGGTCTGCATGATACAGAAACATACTTTTATTATATTTACATTTCAAAAGGGGAAGATCACCCCTGAGGGCTACACTTTAAATTTTGATTCTTGTGTTACAGTGGAAGACTTAGAAAGGAATGATGGCTCTGAAGAGAAGCCTTACTTCATGAGTAAGAGTCTGATGAAAGTGCTCGGAAAGAAAAATAAAAAACCAAAAGATGAAAAAAAGAAAACAAAAAAAGAAAAGAAAGCTTAGATTGACTAATAATTTTAGAGATGTTCGTTTAGAGAACAAACTTTTGTTTTTCCTTTATTTAGAATAATAGTTTTGAAACCTTTTTATTTTGTTGTTAAATTGCTCTCAAGCCTTATGTATTACACTCATTTTGGGAAAAGAATAGAATTGAACATTTTCTGGAATGTTTTCTATTTTATTGAAGCCTTTTTTTATTCTGATTGTTAAATATCTATTTTAAATAATCAGTGTTTTGAACATTTGAATCTGCTCCAAATTTTGCATGTGCATTCATCATATCTCGGACCAGAAGCCTATTGATTTTGGATGAATTATGTTGTATAATTAGCGAGTTATATATTAATTAGTGATGGGACACCCGTTGTCACTATAGAGTCATGAATCGAAACCACAGTTTCGACCGATAAGTCATCGGTCCCCGACCAATAAGTCATCGGTCCTCGACCAATATTCTTGTTTTTATCTTGTTCATTCACTGTGATCTACAATTATTGGATGAATTGGACGATCTATAAGTCAAAAGTCATTGGTGTTTTGATTGGGTTTTTCAAGGCTGGTTTTTTCCTCAAAATCAATATTACATTTTCATATTGCCTTAAGTTTTCTTGTATCACTGTGAATATTCATTTGTTAAGAAAAATGCTTTCAACTGTCGTTTTATCCTTTTCAAAAGGTCCTTAGTGTGTTGGTCACTAGCTATGCACAGATTAGCATAAATCTTTGTTGTGTAGATCTCATTCTTGCATTTTTATGAACTGCCAATGGAGTAGGGATGACTCGATTAGATTAAATAATTTGTGAAGGTGATAAGAAATATAGAGCGAAAGTGACTCAATTCGAGTTAGTGCTCCATTTTATTTTGGTTGAATACGTCCTGGTGTTGTCGAGGGTCTTGTAATGATTTGGATATGATGAAGACTCAAATATCAAACAGATGAACTCAAATAAGGCAAATTTGTTCGAATCAAGTCAGACTAAATTTAGCAATTGACAACTTATTTCCAATTCTGACTGTCACGTTAAATTATCAACATTTTATTAGACAACCTGAAAAGGGCATCCATTTTTAAGGCTGACATAGACTTTTCATAGCCAACATAATAGGGCCTCACATAAACAGAAAACCCTAATGAGTTCAAAAACATCTTTTAATTTATTAACATAAATTTCTTCAAACGTCGTAAAATTAGTCGTCCTAAGTATTCTTTTTATATTCTCTTCATCTTTCACCACTGTGCTGAATATATATTTTATGATGCCAGAGTGTATATGTCACTCTTGAGTGGAAAATGCCAGACCTGATTTTTCAAATAGCGTCTTTTTTGCTTTATTTTTTTGTGTGACTAGATACTAACAAAAAACACTAGCCTTAGTAATAAATTCATTTTATAGTACCAAGGTGCTACATTCTATGTATGATCAGGGAGAGAAAGGATTTTTTCATTTATATTGCAAAAGCAAACAATAAGTTCACAATTATATGGCAAACCTCGAATCTCACGGATTCAAATCAGAGCTATATAGAGTGTGTCCATAAAGTTCCCTTACAATTTTGTTATGAAGTCAGTTCTCAATATACAGGGTGTCCATAAAGTTCCTTTACAATTTTGTTATGAAGTCCGTTCTCAATATATCTTAACCAGGTTTGTTGTTTTTTAATCAGTAATTGTTTAGGTATTTTCACTTCATCTAATACATCAGTGAGGGTCAAACACACACAACAATCTGTTCAAGACTGAAGTCTGTGTGAAGAAGTTAATCAGACCAGGGTTTCCCAAACTAGGGTTCGTGACGACTACACGGGGGGGTCCGTAGCGATATTAAGCGTCTGAAATATATACATTTAACGTATATCCACTGCTACATAGACATTTATAAACGAGATAAAAGTCGTAAGTTAACACAATCGAAAATGGTAATTGTAACGAGACCTTAACAATGGGAGTGAAAAAGTTGGTTTGGTTGGGAAACTCTGAATTAGACTGTCATATTACAAAAGATTACAGTTAATTTTACTTGCTGTTTTGTGATTAGAGATTATGTTATTCTTATTTATCTTCATAATACTATCTAATTCAAGCATACTTGTGGCAACAGCCACATACGGATCCGAAGTAGAAAGTTAACATTGAGCTTGCAGTTCAGTAAACAAAACCATCTGTTTTGCCAAATAACTCTGCAATTGAATTGGCTGTTTTAAAACTCTTCCTCAAAGTCATTCATAGCAAATCATGACTAAAATCAGGAGCGTGAGACCTGAGGAAAGTACCATCATATTCCAATCTTGTGACAAATCTGACCACAGTTCCACAGAATCCAAAACATAGGATAGGATTTACATATTTATCCTGAGGGAGAGGAAAGTGGCTTCTCGTCCGGTTACCAGTTCATGACGGGTATGGGATTGGTTAGCCAGTTATCCTGGGTGAGAGGAAAGTGAAAAGGACGCTTTCATATGGCGAACCATAGCTTCTTGTCCGGTTAACAGTCTATGTCGGGTATGGGATTAGTTAGTTATTTGTTTTCGGAAGCATGGACTTGATGGTGGAGGAAGCCATGATCGACCAGCAGTTACTGAACCGTCCCAGGACGTTGAGTCCAGCAATCCTCTCGACGACTCTTCATAGTTATCTCTCACAGCATTCTAACTTGCGAACCCACGCAGGTCGGGATTGGTTGGCCAGTTAGTTGTTTTCAGATGCATGGACTTGATGGTGGACTAAGCCATAACCGACCAGCTGTTACGCGAACCACCCTACAGTGGCGAGGGATCCAGCAATCCTCTCGCACATTTTTAACCCTGCATGGTATTCGAACCCACAGAATCAGAATGCGCAACACTGCTGAGCTTGGATGGCCTCTGTCATCCCAGTTGGAAAAATTTTCTCAAATTATTGAAAGAGTAGCTATCTTTATACGCTTGAAAAGACCAACTTGATTAAAATGATTGAATGGTCCACAGACTCGAAACGGATATACCTTGGAAATCGGATACCTGAATCCCATCCCAGAACCAATGGGCAGAAAAATGATATGTTGAAAATTTATTTTATTAAAAATAATAAGTTGGGACAAAAAAATTGATATTTTGAAAATTTTACTTCAAGAAAAAACATGATTGTTGTCATAAATAGGTACATTGCAAACATGAAAAATCATTTGTGTCAGACGCTTCTTCAAAAATGTTCCACATTATTCAAAAACATTTCAAACACAAGGTTGGGAGAGCTGGAAATCACACAAAACGATGTTGGGAATTTGCATGAGAAAAAAACACACAGGAGTCTAGATGGAATATATATTAATAGTTTCCATTACATTTGAACCCATGACAATGGCACCTGTATGCTATTAAACCTATGGAATTTTTTTTGTTTCACGGATAGTTAAACCCATACTAACCCTAACCCATGGGTTTTAGCACCCGCATATAGATTGAACCCGTGGATATACGCATGGGTTCAAATGTACATGGGTTCAAATGTACGGTCACCATATTAATATATTGAAAAAATGAAGTCAAAAGAATATTTTTTCAAGAAACCTGCTCAAAGCACGGTCATTCAGAAATTAGGGAGATTGGTCTCTGAGCGAACTTTTAAGTTTTGTGCGATATCATCGCCGCCAAAAAACAAAGATTACAAATTAATTAAATAAGTCGAACAATCATAGCACATTGTATTTTTCCATTGGATAATCAAATTCAAATAAAAATTCAATCATTTTTTCACCAAACAATAAGTTGGAAAGAATGCAACATGTTCCCGCATATTATATAATATCTATGGCTGAACTGACTCCCCACTATTTGGCCAGTAAAGACCACCTTGAGAATCTGAGTTTGTCGCACAATCCCGCATGTTTAGTGAAAATACTTTGTATTTTGAGATTGTTGTGGGCTTTATCGGCCCAAAAGTGAGAAGTCAGTTCAGCCATAGATATTATTTATATCATACGCTGAAACCTGTTGGGATTCTTTAATTTCTTATTTGGTGAAAAAGGGGTTGAATTTTTATTGGAAAAACACCAGGTACTATGATTAGTCAACTTAACTCTCAATTCAAGTTTTTTTATTCACTTGCATCCATATGTTTTTTGGTGGCAATGATAACGTATAGAATGTAGTGAGCGATGGTACGTAAAATTAGGAACCAATGGTTTGAAACAGAGGTTCACAAAATTGATTGACCGGGGGCCGGGGCCGGGAGAGAGGAGGATTCGCAAGGGGCCGATATGGCACCTGGACGTACAATTAAGATTGTTTACGATTACAATTGTTACGAATATACACATGTTTGAACTGTGATATTGATGTAACAATTGGTGGTATCTAGAACGTAAAAATGCAAAAACATTAAGTGTTAAACAATTTCACTTCACAGCCATATTGAATCGTTACGTGGGCCATGATTGGGGCGCGGTTCGGGAACCACTGGTTTAGAACAAATGAAAAATAAATGTAAGCAATGTGACGTCCCAGATAATATGTCTCAGAATGAGTGGCTTCAAATATATAATATTATTACACAAACAAAAACTTGATTATGGTAAATACAAGACAACAAATTAACAAGATGGTGCACCAGTGATTGAAATAAATACAATGAAGAATTTGAAGAAAATGATTTTTACACCAAAACAAAAACACACATAAAATGAGGGTCTTGGCCATGGTTTAGAAACTGGGAAATCAATAGGAGCAAATTCAAAATTGTTGGTTCTTTCTCCACGTTTAGACTCTGAGATGGCAAAATTTGTGAGATTTTGTCGTTTGGATGCGTTTGAGTTTTAATTAGAAATTTCGTAACCAGAAGTCTGATATTTAGACCCCGAAAAGCTTCGAATACTAAACAAATTTTCAATTCTGACAAACTTGACTATAAACCTATCAGTGTTCTTTGTCCTACTAATTCAGCCTTAATCAGAGTTATAAGGGACTTAGGAAGATCTATTCCAGCATAATTGCTAAAGCCAGCGATAGCTAGAGTTGAATACAGTTTAAAAAATAAACGCATTTTTATTCGCAGTTGAATCTTGAATGGAATCTATGTTTTGATCAGACTAACCAATTCCAATTGCCAAAGTAAACATTATGAGTCAAGTCTAATATTATCAAGAAAGTCCTAAATACAGCCAAATTCCATTGGTTTTGACAGCCTCGTGAAAAATATACATGTTCTGGGCAATCACTCTGCAGAACTTCTTGGAGGTGAAACAAGTTGTTTTACTCGTTCTACAAGACTGGCAAGTTTCAGCGCTGGCCCAAGTTTCATGTTCATATATTTAACTGCAAGTGAGCTATTAAGCAGTAGAAGTGCTTGTCCATCTATTTCATGCGTTTGAAATAAATGAATGTGGTTTACGAGAGCAGACTCGTTTTCACGGACGTAACTTACGACATCAGAAACTGTCCAGCGTTGGGGGTTTCGAGACATTTTTCTCCTAGGCTCCTCTAGTGGTGACGATTCTCGAATATGTACGTCTATTTTTGTTTCTTTCGGACTTCGAGGTTCTGCAGGTTGTGGTGAAGGTGATTGAAGAGGATTTGTAGTTGAAGATACAGTCTGCGATGAAATTTTCGATAAAATTTCAGACGTCGTTGAATCAGGCTGCTTTGAGTCTTTTTCTGTGATTTTTTGTTCATCTATTTGCGTTGTTGTGGTAACTTGTGCATTATCGACATCCATGGAATCATTATTACTCCCTTTTGTCTCAGCTTGAGTCGTTTGACATGAGTTTTCTGTTATTTTACTCGAACCGAACTTTCCCAACTTGTTATCTGATGTTACAACCATTTTTGAGCTCCCCATAAGTCTAGAAGGCCAGCCTTCAGTTGCCTTTTTGACAATTTCGTCCCGACTAAAACCGAAAAGTGAAGTCGGTGAAGTATGTTCTAAAAAGGAAGGAGATTGTAACGATAAGCTTTGAGTTGCAAAATTTGTCAAACTAGTTGATGTTTGTGTGCCAAAGCCAAGAATTCGTTTCCTTGGCGAATCGTACACTGATGACATCGAGTGTTTGCGTTTATTCTTCTTCCTTTTTTTCGAGCGAACTAGAAAATGATTTTCATCTCCCGTTGAAGCGAAACGTTTTCGCTCTTTATAAATTTTAGAATCAATTTCACCTAGCTGGTACATTCGTTTATATTTCTTTTTAATCTTTCTCCTTTTTTTCAATCTCTTTTCATGCTTTTCTTTTTTCCTTGCAGAAGAAATATCAAGACTTTCCGATTCTTTTGAATTTTTGACTTCAACTACTGATTCATCGATATCACTCGTTAAATCATCATTGTTATCTTCTGTTTCTTGGTCCTCCTGCTTTTTCGGTTCAACTCCAGTGGAAGTTTCTGCTTCGTTTTCTGAGGACGAGGATTCTGAAGATTGTTGTGAAGAGACTGAAGAATCACAAGTCTCAGAATCTGCTGAAGATTCTGTCACTGAAGAACCTTGAACAGTGGGGAGTCTATCATCTCTAATCGCAGGTGATTTGGACGAGACTTCAGCTGTTCTAGTAACCGGCGTTAGTGATCTCGAAACTCTATTTCTGCCTCGTCCTCTTGTACTTTTAACATACGGTGATTCAGATCTTCCTGACGAATTGCCTTCATTGGAAGTATTCTTTCCAGACCCCTTTTCCGTTTCTGTAATATTACCAGCGCCACTTCTAGTCTGCCGTTTTGACTTGTCAGCAAGTTGTTTTAATCTTTCCTCTACAGCAGGGTTATCTCCCTTATTCCCGGGGTTGGTTAGAGGATGATCATTCTCATAACACCAGCCTACAGGGAACAGGTCCCGACAAGCATATTGACACCAATAGTCCATTGCACCACGCCACCCATCAAAAGAAACAAACACTTGATCACCTTTTATATCTCCGATTGTCGCAGGACAAATTAAATCAGGGTTTTTGCGATCGACAGCTTCAAGTTTCATCCCTAGTTCAAATAAATTTTGGTCTGGAGGTTGTGGTTCAGGCAAAAAGCAGTCTTTTCCTGCTTTTTTACCCTTTTCTCTATTTTTTGCTAAAAAGTTGGACCATGTTGACATATTTCTTGTGTATCCCAGTGGAGGTTGAAGCAATATCCCCTTAGATTCTTGCGTTCCAAGGGGGTAAATATCACCAGAATCCACCAAACGCCAAAAATCGTTACACGCATCTCCTCCATCAAGTCTCAACAGTATTCTAAGTCCCTGTAATGAAACCACGGTGGACAAACAAACAGATGTTGGACTCCTGGGATCTTGTGCTTCTAGTTTATCATAAACTTGGAAATTATTCACCAAAGTCTCACTATGATTTTGTGCGAAGCATTCCTTCGGTGCTGCAGGCAAGTTACAAATTTGTAAATATTTGTCCCAGTTTAATCCATCTTTGAAAAGATTCACGTTGTCTTTTTTGCTGCCACGCTTTGCTCTATTAGCCATGACTTCAATTTGATATACTTTTAGCTGTTCGAACTAAGTTACGACTGTTGAGAAAAAAAGAATTATCAAAGATGAAAACCAGTCAATGTAGGTGTAGTCTAGAGCAGGGTCACTCGACTATTTTCAAAGTGGGGTCTGATCATTTTAAAAATTATTTTTCAATTATGCAAACAAATCTTCAAATGAATCGTTCAACAAAATACAAGACTAATGCTCAATATTGCACATTGGTAACGGTACGACATGAAGACATGGCTTTAGTTGTCTAGACTCTAGCTGCAGAGCTGACAGCTGACATTGCTGAAATATTGTAAAATATTCAAACCCGTACAACAGTAGAAAATTTGAAAAACAAAGCTTTTCAGGAACTGAAAGAATCTTTAGACTGAAAATTTAGATTATATTTGGTGGCGATTTTTTCCGAGCAACATTGCTGCATTGAGATAACCACAATGACCTCAATACTATCACCAAAACGATTAATAAGTCGATTTCATGTCCAATAACAAAATTGGTTTTGCAGATTATTTTAATCTTGGCTCTAGATAATAAATATAAGTATACAATCAGCATAATAGGCGATAAAATAATTGATAAAAACAAAATAAATAAAACTGATTATAGAATCGGGAGAGTAAACAAAACCGTCAAAAATCCACAAAAAAGCTGCTAATATTTATCACCATGCAGCCATGTATAAAAATCCGTGCAAGTGTGTCTGGGAGCCCGCTAGTTTTTTACGTTCCGTTTCGAATCCTTCAGCTTTGCAGTTGGTACCGGTATACCGTACCGGTATGGCAATTAAAGATCGAAATAACGGTATGACGTATGAGGAGTACCGTACCGGTACCGGCACCGTATGTCAGTATGTTAACTAATACAGTACCGTACCTGAACTGAGACTCATTAAATTTGAAAGTCTAATATATCGGTACGGTTACCGTACGTTGTTTATTGGTCGTTCTTGTTCCGCCTATCTAGCAATTACGCGGTACGGTACCGATACGTGATAGCCCAAAAACCCAGCAGATAATCTCGCTTGTTCCCACCTATCAATCTCCTCTCTTTTTTCCGAGAAGAGTTTGAAATCGATACAGCCACTAGATGATGCTGCGGAGCAATAAAAAAACAAAGCTTATAAAAAGTTACTGGGATAGATGGGATCAATGACATTGTCATTGATGGGATATGGATGTTACCCCGAACTTTGACCCCACAAAAATTCTCCCTATACTCCCTTCTTTAGTCGGCGAGCCAGATGTGGAAAAATGAAATCCTCGGCGGGTCGGATTATTACAAATACTACTTTGGTATCCAATCCAACAATAAAACCTAATATAAAATCTAATTTCTAAAATCTATTTATATTTGGAATCTAAATATAACTGATAACAGTAGTGGGGAATGCTTACAACGCTCTCTGCTTTGACCTTATATTGTTTGTTTAACAAGTGTGCCAACGCAATTGTCTGTTCAATAAGGCAATTGTTCCTTTCACCAGCTAGCACTGGCAGTGCGGTGAGTAGAGCAATCGGCAACTTTCAGGAATGATGCGTCGGACCGGACCACATTACAGAGTGTGATTGGATACAGTCAGCGGGCCGGTCGAAATCTCGCCGCGGGCCGGATGTTGCCCATCCCTGCTATGGACCTTTCTCCGAGCATCGACTTCTTCGTTCACTTCGTGACATTGGCCAATCAGCGAGATGCAAAAAGTGACGTAACAATGCTCCCTTTTCGCTCCGCTCAGATACTTTTTTCACTCAGACAGATTTTCAAGCGTGGTCATAAACATTACCTCGTTTTCGCATTTTTGAACTCTATTCGTTAGTTTTCTGTTGTGTTCCGGAAACTTAAATATAAATCAGATACTTCAATGATCACTCTGTCTTCCTAGTAGTTTTTAATTGCAGTAATAAAAAATTAATGTAGAAATAGCTGTGATAGACTAGGCTAAAATTCTTTACCGGTACTTTAAAAAACAGATTCTTGTAGCCTGCGTGATGAATCATAATGATGGTTTGAAAATTGTTTTATATTCATTATGTGAGTGCTTTGGGACTCTGGACGTTTACAAACTAGTTTACATGTTCAAACCCGTCATGTTTATTAAAATAAACAACCACGTGCCGCTTGCAGACAGTAATAGCTAATTTTAAGCTAGTCTTTTCGGAAATACAACTGAATTCCTACAAATAACACGCAAAACTGCAATGTTAACGACCATGTTTTAATATCTATCCGAGTGGACAAAATGCCCGAGCGGCTGCAAAAAATTACAATTGTTACGTCATCATTGACTTTTTGCTGATTGGTCATGGTCGCAGGAATAAACAAGGAAAGAGATGCGAACATCAATTACCAAGATTCGGACTTCATTTTTTCCTCGCGGAGCGGGACGTGGCTTCTCCAGAGCGGTTACCAGTCTATGTCGGTTGTGGAATTAGTTAGCCAGTTATTTGTTTCCAGATTCATGGGCTTGATAGTGTAGGAAGCAGTAATCGACCAGCGATTAGGTGACCGACCACCCTACTGCGGCGGGGTGTTCTGCAATCATCTGGCACATAATTTACCTCACATGGAAAGGACGCACGATGCGTCACACCATCAGGCTATTTGTCACGGTAGAAGATGTTGATCAAATCCTGGCGTGCTCGCCATTGTCACAGTAGAAAAATGTTGATCTACCGTGTGTATTGAATCAGAAGACTCAGATTCCGCAAACAGAGAACACAGGAAAGCACATCCGGCCACCAGCGCAGCGACCGGAGAAGAGGCGGGAAGCTCTTTTTTCTCACGACTCGATGGTGGTCGGAGTCCCACAGTAACCGGACAGGGATGAAGTATATCCAAACCAAGGGTCCTCGAAAAGCATATAGGCAAATATAAAAAGACAAACTAAACTAAAACACACGGATAATAAAATCCGTGACACTATTTCGGATTCGTACCTATGTGGCCATTGCCACAAGTATATTTGAACGAGATAGTACGTTATCAAAATTACGAACCGACGAACTAGCAAGTTTAAGGCTATTTCTCAGCTTTCGTTAGATCAAAGTCCAACTTCACCCGTCTACCTAACTAAATATCCAACGTTTGTTCATGACCCATGTTCATGCCCGCCATCTCACTGCTTTTTTCAAATGTGTTTCCAATAATTAGTTTTAAATCGAATAATCTATTTCTTACTCTGTCCTCCGATGATCTTTAGCTTTCCAATATTATTCACGAAAATCCGAGATAGACTATGCTAAAATTAGCTAACAGTAGCTGTAAGCGACACGCAGTTGAATATTTTAACAAAAATGACGATTTGGAACAAGTAAACCAGTTTGTAATCGTCCACTCTCCACAAAACTCTCAAAATAAGTATTAAAATTTATGGAGATTTTTTCTGGGGTCAAGGGTCAGTGAAACGTTCATTAAACAAACAAGAGAGCTATGCTCAAATATATGGACACCCAGTAGCAATAATTTTGATGACGTCATAGCGAAAAAAAGTAATAGCCTTCTGGAGAAAAATTTTATCTTTAACCACTGAAAATATCAAAGCAATTGGTCCAGTATTCGAAGAGAAAAGCGATTTTTAAAAAATGGAGACGGAGACAAATAACAATAACAACAAAATTTTGAAACGATCGTTATGTCCACTTCGTGTCCAATGAAGAATGGTCAAGCATTACTATTCAACACTCGGTGGGGAATAGAAACGCAACATATATATCATATGTAACGGTAAATTGGAACAAGTAAATAATACGTAAAAATAAAAAACATACGAATAACGGAAAATAAATATTTATTCACATGTCTTACTTATCTGGTTCGACGTTTCTAAACTTACTTTCTCACTTAATTCGTAATCTCCCATCTGTAACTCGAAATAAATCCGTAAATTACGTGCACGCCTAATGGCTATGGACCTTTCCCCGAGCATCGTTTTCCTTGTTTACTTCGTGACATTGGCCAATCAGCAAGATGCAAAAAATGACGTAACAATGCCCCTTTTTCGCATCCGCTCAGACACTTTTCTCACTCAGACAGATTTTCAAGTGTGGTTGTAAACATTACCTCGTTTTCGCGTTTTTGAACTCTATTACTTAGTTTTCAGTTGTGTTTCGGAAAATTAAATATAAATCAGATAATTAAAGGATCACTCTGTCTTCCTAGGAGTTTTAATTTGATTGCAGTAATAAAAATTAGTGTAGAAATAGCTGTGATAGACTAGCCTGAAACTCTTTACCGGTACTTTCAAAAAACAGATTGTTGTATTCGATAAATCATAATGATGGTTTGTAACACATAACCCATTTTACAGGCGCCAACTCGCAAAAGCACTGTTAAAATGGCCCCGAAAATTTTGCAATGGTAAAGTATGGGAAAAATTTTTCGGGGGTCAAAGGTCGGGGAAAGGTCCATAACTTGCTGGGGATAGGATATAAAATGGTTGCATCAATATGTATTGTTATGTTGTTCATTTTGATGCACTGTTTTAGATTGAGTAATAATAACTGTATAGGTATTTCTTAAACATGGTGGCAATGATAGCGATTCTGGCACGGGAATATTGTGCGCCATTGCTTGCATTATTTGATTTGTGACGCCAAATATAATACAGGCGTCAATATACGTCATTTTAATAAAATGCCCCCCCCCCCTCAGTACACACACACTCTGGCGTTGATCCTATTTATCTTTGTTATGTCACAGATATGGTTTCGGTTCGGTGCTGTGGTGAATAATTTAAAAGACTCAAGACTTCCGAATTGGTTGTTTACTGTACAATTCAACACCTAAAACAGCAAAAAAAAAAAGACGCAAGAAAACGGGACCGACTTCCAGCCCAGCGGCCGGAGAAGAGAACTAGATATATATTTTCTCCCATTTGTGGTCTGAGTATAGACCCCAGACCCGGCTAAAACCTACTCAAATCCAAGGTCTTGTGAAACGCATACATAGAAATACATTATATTATACAAATAGGGACACTATGGTATTTTTAAATGGCGGATAGCCTAAAATTTGAAGATTACGTACATGTTAACCAGTTTGTAAGCGAAGCTAGCGAACACATACTCAAAAAAGCTTCTAAAATAATAATAGTTTAGTACCGACGTAGGAAGAATATTTCCGTAGGGCGCCAGGCGTGGTGGAAACATTATTACCACGCTTCACTGAAAAGCCCGCCAATTCTGGTAGCCCGTAAACCAGGCTGCGGCCTGCGGTGGGTTCTTTTTTCCTGTCTGTCAAGAAAGTCGACTTTGATTTCGCTATGGCGGTACCGGCACTATGCTTGTTGGTTTGAATATTGTTGTTTGTTTGTTTTATGTCATTATATCTATATCGTACATTGATTTTAAAACAATTAATTTAACCGTATTTGTACGCATATATTGGTACAATTTAGCTTTGTAACTAGTATAACTGCGCACGGTAGTAGCCTAGTCTAACTGCACTGGTCACAAAGATTTGATCGGCACGATAATTAGTGGCCAGGTCAACGTACTTCCTTAGTCAGTGAGAGATCCGCAAATGCAGAATTGAATAAACGTGCCGATACGCCAGTCTGTACATTGCTGGATATCGCATTCGTGACTTAACTAGGGAAAATTTGGGTAGAACAGAAGGCTTACAAATATGCGGTTCTGATGAATACCGTACATCTGCCAACAGACAGCACGACTGCATGAACACAAGGTTAGTTTCATTTCATTATTTATTTTATTCCTGCCAATGTGTGATGGTATAGATTAGAAAACCTTCAATCACGGGCTTGTCGGCCTGGCCTTCTTATGCGCGGCGGTGCGGCTCAGCGTTAGGAATACGTTTGCCTCCGCAACTCTGCGGGGATAGTTATGTGCGAGAGGCGGGTGGTTCACGTAACTGCTGGTCGGTTGCGGCTCAAGTCCATGCTTCCGAAAACAAGTAACTAACTGATCCCATACCCGACATGGAATGGTAACCGGACGAGAGGCCGTTGTTCCCCATTAGGTTAAGCCGTCTTATCGGCTTAAGTATG